TCTCCTCTATCCTTCTGAGTGATGCTCTTGGGTCTTCATCTAGCGCTTGAAGAATTGCTTTGATTTTTCTTTGATCCGGCAATTTTTTGTCAATTTTTATGATGAGCGCCTTTTTGTTCATGAAGTGATACATCCTAACATGATACGTTACAGTGGAATAGCTAGGAGCATCCATACCGAAGCATTTTACCAATGTCTCGTAGATTTTTTTACAGTCTTTGCATTTTTTTGCAAGAGCGAGGATGTTTTCTTTATGATTCATTAAAAAAATGAAAAAAATCCCGCCAAAATTTCCCGCGAAACCGCCTCTTGTCTCAAAATTCATTTTATATCCCGGCATGGCGCCAAAATACAACATACTCATCATATACATATATTCATATTTTTTATTATATATTTATAATCAGCATATATCTCCTTTAATAGTCTCATATAGAGCGCTGTGCTAAACGCACCTTTGGACACCCTATAGATGTTGATAATATGTTAATTTCTTCTAACTTTGAGCAGCCATAAAAAGCATTTGAACGGATTTTTGCGACTTTAGCTGAAATTGTTATGTTTTGAATTGAAGAACAACCAGAAAACGCTTCCGAGTTGATCGAATTTATTCTGTCACCAAAAGTTATATTTTCAAGTTTACTGCAATTAGCAAAGGTTAATTCATCTATCTCATGGTTTATAAATACGCTTTTTAAATTAGGGCACCCATAAAAGGCAGCCGGTCCATAATTATGTGAAATTTTAAGTTCTGTAAAATTATTAAATGCAAAGCAAGAAAAATCACGAATATTATAATCTTCTATTGCACTTTCAATACTATCGATTGTGTTTAGAGAGCAATTGTAAAATGCATTGGGTCCAATATATCGAATTGAATTCAAGAACTCAATTGATGATAAAGATATGCAATTTTCAAATTGACTTTCTTCTATTTCAGAAATTTGAAATTCTGAATGTATGATAACCTAAGTGTCGTAAATTTATTATCTCTGTTAGACTTATGCAATATTCAAATACTGAATATGGAGAATCACCGTTGTAAAATATCGAAAAATTTGGGGCGGTGCCATGTGAGGTGAAATTTATCATACACCGATTGGACCTTTTGCTTTCCCGAAAACATAGAATTTATATTGGGGGCCAAATATATGTGCATATATCTATACTAATCAAGCCATATTTACTCATATAGTATTGAGGAATAATGTGTTTTATATAAGATATAAATTTCAAAAAATTTGTTTTATTTCATTTTGAATACAATGAGGTATCTATATATATACTCTATATTGTGTTTGTAAACTCATTTTGGTCACATATCCATTTTTTAATCTGCATCTTATTTGAGATTTCAAATTTTTATCGACAATCATATATGATCACATCGGCATTTGGAGATACTTATCTTGTATCTCCAAATATCGATGTGATCATTGTATTTAATTGTATATTGACCAAGAGATTCCGATGCAGAATATTCAAAGTAGATAGTTTTTCCATTCTGTACACATAGGTGCAGGGTCTATCACTGGCACCCTGCACCAATATGTGCAGAATGGGAAAAGCGCGCACTTTTACCTTTCGATGCGAATGTGTCAAACACTTTTCCCATTCTGCACATATATATGCAGGGTCTATCACTGGCACCCTGCACCAATATGTGCAGAATGGGAAAAGCGCGCACTTTTACCTTTCGATGCGAATGTTGCAAACACTTTTCCCATTCTGCACATATATATGCAGGGTCTATCACTGGCACCCTGCACCAATATGTGCAGAATGGGAAAAGCGCGCACTTTTGTTCTTCGATGCGAATGTGTCGGACATAATTCCTGATTTGCTCATATATTTGCAGGGTCTATCACTAGGACCCTGCATCTATATGAGCAAATCAGGAATTGCTTGCACTTTTTGCTCGCGATGTAAATGTGTCAGACACAATTCCTGATTTGCTCATATATTTGCAGGGTCTATCACTAGAACCCTGCACCTATATGAGCAAATCAGGAATTGCTTGCACTTTTTCACTTGAATGTGATTCATTGAATTTCAATTCGAAAAGGAGTTTACAAATGCAGGGTATTGTTCCTTTACCCTGTATTTGTAAACTCCTTTCTCGAATAGCTTGCACTTTTTCACTTGAATTGACATGAATTTCAATTCGAGAAAGGAGTTTACAAATGCAGGGTAAAGGGACAATACCCTGCATTTGTTAACTCCTTTCTTGTAAAACCTTCCTCCAAAAAAATATAAAGATCACATTCTTCTTAAAACTCTCAAAATCTCATTATTTCAATCTTATAATCATAAATAAACATACTCTTTCTATCTAATATTTCTCTATTCCTTAATTTTCTTATGAAATTTGTTATTTTTTATTTAATTTTTAAAATTTTCAATTTTTTTTGGATAATTTTATTCAATTTTATGATAATTTATTCTATTCTCATTATATAATAATATTGTTCATTTTTATTTTTTTAATTTTTCAATGCATACGATAATTTTTAATTCAATTTTTAAACGAATGTTTTGATGGGATGAGCTTACTGAGCATAGGCTCATCCCATCAAAACATTCCCTTAAAAACTCTGGCCTTCATCGAGGCCAGAGTTTACAATTCATCAGCTCAGAGCCAAGTTCCTCGACGGTCGTCCTCATTAGGCCCGATCCGAGAGGAACTTGGCTCTTCATTAAAATCACAAGCTCTGGCCATTGCTAAGGCCAGAGCTTCGCAAACCATCCTCGGGGCCGGTTTCCTCAAAGACCGCCCTGATTCGGGGCGGCCGGAGAGGAAACCAGCCCCGAGAGAGTTCCCATACGAAGCTCTGGCCCAAGCAAAGGCCAGAGCCTGCAAATACAATCCTCAGGGCCGAGTTTTGCGATGATCGTCGATCATGTCGACGGTCTCGCAAGAACTCGGCCCTGAAAGACATACAAATACAGGCTCTGGCCCTAGCAAAGGCCAGGGCTTCGCTTACTGTCCTCAGGGCCGGCTTTCTCAAATGCCGTCCTGATCTAGGGCGGCAGGAGAGGAATCCGGCCCTGGGAACATCCAAATACGAAGCTCTGGCCCAAGCAAAGGCCAGAGCCTGCAAAATACTCAATGTTCAACAATTACAAATCTCATGTCACCCAGAAAGCTATGAAGGAAGCCCTTTCTCTAGGTTAGGACTTCCTTCATAGCTTTCTGGTACTGAGTGGAGTGGTTTTGGCTTCCATTGCCGCTCACTCCAGTAAGATCACGAGATTGTACAAAAGCCACGGCAAGTGCATTCCAACACCATAAATACACTTGCCGTGGAATACGGTTGCGAGTGCCTGCTGCTTCAACCGAGATTTGCAGCAGACACTCGCAATGATAACTAAAATTCATCATAAAGCTGGGAAATGGGCCTTTTCTCAAGGTCAAAGCCCATTTCTCAGCTTTATGATATTGAAACGAACATTTTGAGAGGTTATTACTGTTTTTCCCGGAATCATCTTGAGATTCCGGGAAAGTCATAGCAAGTGTAATCTATTAGCATAGATACACTTGCTATGACACATATATGCCAGCATCTGCTGCTTACCCCAAATAAGTAGCAGATGCTCGGCATCACATCTTGAGATCCTTATTATCTGCGTATTTTTCATTTTAATATATATAAATGTGTGTGTCTAACACAAGTCTATATGCGCCATGTAAAATATACACTAATACACACATATTGATCATAATTAATAAGATATCAAACTATAAAAACTGAGATATTACTATAAACTATATGTATTATTATATAGGTACCATACTATAAGGTCATATGAATATTATTGAAATTAGACACACTTTATATAATTTTATAATGTGAATAACTTGGGTCATAATTTTTTTACGTAATTCCTACACGAAATGATCGGCATTACCCTAGTCTATCTGCGTGCAAAATACCAAGGAACAAATCAAATACTCACCATATCTTTTTTAAAAAAGGTCCAATCGGTGTATGGTGATTTTCACCTCACATAGCACAACCCCGAAAAATTTCTCAAATTAAGTGATGAACAATTGTAAAAAGCTCTAGTCTCAAGAGAAATTTGATAAATATATTGAATTTCTAATTGATTCAAGTGTTATACAATCTCTGAAGGCTTCTTCCTCTATTCGTTCAATAGAATTCATTGAAATTGATATTAAATTTACGCAATTTTTAAAAGCTCTTGTTAAAATGAGAGTAACACCCTTACAAATTACGTTTTTAAGATAAATACAATTAAGAAAAGCATCGTCATTAATTGTTTTTAAATTTTCATCAGCAGTAAAATTTTCTATTGAACTTGATTCAAAAAAACTTGGGGAAATTTCTTTGATATTCGTCAATGAACATTTTGTAATACTTTGGTTGTTCTTAAAACTCGTATCTTCAGGAATAAGTGAATCAAATTTAATTTTCCCGCCTTTTGAGGCTATATCTTGATTCGATTTCGGATTTTTGTTATGTTGCGCGCCTACATATATATTTGCATCATACGAAGTCTTATAAAAAAGGAATAATTGGCCAAAATATATCAATTTTGGGAAACTGGCATAATTTGCCAATGCATACATATAAAGGGGAAAAATTATATTAATAACAAAATCCAACAGGAGAGATCTATTGCGTCTTAAAAAAAAATTATACTAATTCAATACAACCACTTTTTAAATTTCATTTAAAAGGTGTTTGTATTGAATGTATAAATCCAAATTTATTCCAATTGAGTTGCAAAAAATTTGAGAGACTCAATTGGAATAATTTTTTAACTTTCACCAGAGTTGCTGCATTTTTTAAGATTCAAATCCTATAGCATATCATAATAAATAGAATAAAGAGATATAACTATTTTATACAGGCGTGAAGCATGTTAAAAATGCAATAAAAGTATAACCATCATACTAATGATTATTTTTGATTCTAATGCCGAATAACATTTGAATCAAAAATAATCGTATGTTTGATAATTGTTATTTTTAAAAAATGAACCACAGGTTTCTCCCCAACAGGGAGAAAGAGATCAAACCTGGCATTATGCAAAATAAACATTTAGTTTCAGCAACCAGCAAATCGCCTCATAATGAGAAAATCAAGCAAAATATTCCTTCAAATTGGATATATAATGATCAAAAGACAGAAAAAATGTGGGAAGACTTAGAAAGATATCAAAAGAAGAGAGAGAAAGATCAAAACAATAATCCATTTGTTAAGATCGATGAATCTACAGAAAGGATAAAAAACGTTATTGACAAATACGAGAAAGAAGACGAAGATTTATACAACAAAATGGCAGAATACAGTTTTGGAGATCCAAATGACCCAGGAGATGAAGAATCAATGCTTTTAGACGCACGTTTAAAATTAACTGGGATTTTAGACGATCATAGCGACAATCAACAGAAGCAAAGTGCACTCCTTGCAGGACTCAGATACTGGCTAGAAGGAGTAAAAGGCGGAGGAATTTCAGAATTACCAGATTTTCTTAAAACCGAAGAAAGTTCTTATAATATAGATATGCAAAAAGTTGTTGAAGCGCTTGAAGGCATCAGCCAATCCAAAAATGAAATTGGAGAACGCGCAACTGAAACTTTCAAAGCAGCTTTCAATATTCTCACGAAAAAACTTGAAGAAGCCAATCAAAAAGTACAACAACAGTCACTACAGATTCGAGAACTTCAAACTATATCGGATAAACGCGGTCCCAGAAAATCATTAAATAGATCTTCAGATAAAAACGTTTCCATTGACGAATTAGTTAGAGAAAGGAACAGAAATGCAACATTAGAAGCCCAAATCAAGCAATTGCGAGAGCTCCAGCAACAGCAACCTAAATCTCCTGAATCTCCAGAAAAATCTGAAACAAATTCCAATTTAGAGTCAGTTGTTCAAGCAGAACTCAAAGCAAACAACTTGGAAGAATCAGTTAAGCGTCTTAAAGAAGAAACGAAGTATTTACAATCCCAAATTTTCAAAATGAAGCGAGATGAACTCGCAAATGCCAAAAAGATGACTTCTCTCGAGAACCACAAAGAAAGTTTAGAGAAATCACTCAAAAACGCAACAGACAAACTCAAACTTTATGAAGGAAACAACAATGATTTGCTAAAAAATCAAGAAAACGATAAAAAAGCAAATCTGACAAAAAGTGACTATGAAAAGAAACTCAGTGACATGAAATTGCAGCATTTGAAGGAGATTGATGAGATTAGAGAGCAGAACAACCAGAGGATCAACAAAATCATGAAAGACAACGACAGAAAAATGGAAGAACAAATGAGAATTTTCGCAGACGGAATGTCACAACAAGATGGATCTTCAATTCTAAAGAATGCAGTGAAAATGTATACAGATCAACTGGAAGAATTAAGGAATACATCGGAAACTAAAATAGAAGATAACAATAAAAAGAATAAGGAAGCAATACAAAACGTAATAGAAAGATATGAATCGATTTTGAAACTGAAAGATGATGAAATGCAAAGAAATAAAGCGGAATTTACAAAATCTATACAAATTCTGGAGAAGAAAAATGAACTGGATACGCAGGAAAGAATAAACCAGGAGCTCTTGAATCTAAGAGAACAAACAACAAAAGAATTTCAGGATATGAAAGGTGAATTAGACAAAAAAGTGTCAGAATTAAAACTTAAACTCAAAAGTGTCCAAACGGAAAGAGATACATTGAAACATATCATCGAGGAAAACATGTTGGAAATGAATGACGAAGAAGATGAAAATGAAAATGATTTAATTGAAAAAAGTGACAAAGTTTTGAATGAAACAATGCAACAATTGAAGTTAATTGAGTTAGAGAAGAAACTTGAAGAAAAATATACTTTGTTAATGCAAACACAGCGTTCCATTCTTGAAGAAACAAAATCCTGGGAAATAGACGCAATAAAGAAAAGTTCTGATGATGAAATTTCTCAAAAAGTGTCAGAAGTTCGAAGAAGAATTGCGGATTTGACAAGAAGAGATATTTTGGCCATTAAAGGCACAGATCAACAAGTCATGCAGCATTTCACAAACGTCTTAAAAATATTTGAAAAAGATAATCCAGACCTAGTAAATTCAAAACAAGGATTGATGATGCCTGCTGAAGAAGTCGAATTCAAAATGAACGAATACAGAGAGAAATTACTCCAAGTTTTAAATGAAAACGAGACTTGGAAGATGACATTTAACAAACTAGATACAATCAAGGATAAATCAGAACTAGAAATCCTTGAAGCCCTTAAGAAAGCAATTGCAGATCAATCAAAAGAATATGCTGTTTTGAAAAGTGAAAATGAAAACCTCCGAAATCAAATAATTTCTCTTGTTAATGATCCACAACTCGCCAGTGATTTGCTGCAGAATACATTGTCATCACCACAGAAAACTCTTCAAAAACAACTATCTCAGAAAGATAATGATCTAATGAAGAACATGAAAACAGAAAGACAATATATTTTCCAAGTAAATCCTGGAAGTATTCGTCACTTTTTCACGAAATCTGAAAAAGCAAAAAGTATTCCTGATACATTTAAAGAATTAATTTGTCATTGTAGCGAATGTGGAGAGAACTTTACTTCTAAGAAAGAAGATGTTGAAGAAATTGCTGTTATGGAACCTTTTGTTACTTGTCCAAATTGTCATTGCAAGAATCATTTGTTCTGCATTGATGACGCAATAGAAACAGGAAGATTAGCTGAATTATCACAGGAAATAAAGAACTTGGAGTTCCAATTGAAGATGGCCAAAGGAAATGAAAGACTACCAAATGATTTGAGGAACTTAAATCTCAAAGATAAAGCTGTTTCTTTATTCATCGAAATGTCAAAAATTTTGGTAGAAAAAGAAAGAGAATCATATGAAAACACCGAGAAATGCAAGATATTGACTGATATTGCAGATGGTGTTGAACATCTTGGAGCAACAAGAGAAACAGAATTATTAGAAAAAGTCAAAGAAAATGTAAAAAGTCAAATTGCTGATGAAGAAACAATTGACATGATGTTGAAGGTTTTGGAGAATTCTTCAGCTTATATATCAAATGTTAGTACAAATGAAGTCATTCCAAAGCCTGTGGATTCGCCTCCTCCACCACATTCTTCCCCAAGAGGAAATGATGAAAAAGTGACAAATCCACCACCAATAATTGTAGTTGAAGAGAAAGATATTGTTGAAAATAAACCACAGAACAAAGATAGTGTTAAAAGATCTAGTTCCAGGAGCCAAAGAAGTCAAAAATCAGCATCAGTTTCTAAGAGTGAATTAATTACTTTGCAAAAAGAAGTTTTAGTTCTTAAAAACTCATTTTCTAGGATAAGAGATGCTTTGTTAGTCAACAAAGAACAGGCTGTTAAACTGATTAAAAGTGTTTCTGATTTAGTTAAAAATAAAATTAGTAAATACGAAGGATCCAAATCAGAAACAGCAGAACTTAAAAAACTTTTAACAGAAAGTCAAAATCACGAAACAGATTTGAAATTAGAACTAACAAGAGCTATCAATGCATTGGAGAAACTCCAGATAGAAAGAGAAGAACAAGAAGATAAAGATGCAATTATTAAGAAAATGCAAGAAGAACACGAACAGTCAATGTACAAATTAAATGATGATTTCAACAAATTACAAAAGAAATTAAATGACAGTGAAAAAGTCAGAGAATCTTTAGAACGAAAACTCCAAAAGATTGCTCAAAACAGAGAGAATTATAATATAGAAAACAACGAAATCTTTTCTATAGATAATACTCAGCAACAAACTGTTGTTATTCAACAAAATACTTCTCAGCAAAATTTGTTACAAAATACAAATTTCACAAAACAGAATTCTTCAAAGAAAATCACTGTTCCAAAAACACCAAGAACAATAGAGAAACAAGAACAGAAACAACTGACATTGCAACAAAGATTCCCTCTTTTAGTTTATGATAATAATGATAATCTCATTGATCCTGCAAAACCTCATCCGGTTGTTTATGTAACAAATGTCCAAGAACAACAAATTCCTCCGAAACCAATGACTCCAAAGCAGCCAATTGTTGATACAGTTCCTGATCAAACTGTATTGAGTAAAACAGCTCAAGATAAATACAAGATTTCTCTCCAAGAACAGATAAAACAACAGAAAACACAACAGCAAATTGATCTTCTTTCTAAAAGAATTAAAAGCCTTGAAAAATCATTGGAAGAGAAAACTAATGAATTATCAGATTACAGAGAAAAATCTCATGAATACACTTCCAATGCTTTTAAACAGAAACAAGACTTTGCTAAGGTAAATCATGAATTAACAAAGGAAAGAATGCTCCACGCTAGTACTGTTTCAAGATTAAACAAAGCTCTGCAATTGCTTGAAGATAAAAACAAAACAATTGAAAAATACCGAAGATTAAATGACCAGTTCTCTGTTATTGCAAGCATCGCATCAGCAGGAAAGAGAAGTGATGATAAAAATGATATACTCAAGGTGTTCTCTGCTTTCGGATCTAATCCGTTCCTCGCTAACATGGAGAGAAATGAAGTCAGATCTCTCGAAAGATGGATTGCTGTTCGTGACGAAATTCTTCAGAGAGAAAGAACTCAAGAGATCAAGAGATTGGATGCTTTATGTCTTATCTTAAAGGAAAAAGGAGGCCATACAGAAAAACAACCTTTAGTTAATGTTACCCCCATGAAAAATTAGACTTATATATTACTTTTTTTATTTTGTTTGTATGTATTTGTTTTATAATAAATTATATTATCTATAACTAATTTTCTCACTATCATATCTCAATATCACGCTGGATTGATTGTAATTCCAGTTATATTTTCAGCGAAAGTGCAATTTAGAGTATGATGAATTTTGTACAGTTTAAAATAATCCAAGAGATAAAAATTGAATTGAAAGGTGTAACAGCATATAAAAAGATATTTTATGATTATTTCGACAAATTAAAGAGTAATTAATAATTTTTGACTCGGCTCTTTCAATAGTGTATGGATTGGATAGTTCTATTTTAATGGCTCCATTTCCTCTATTACCTTTTTTTAGTTCATCATTTGGTGACAAAAAATATTTATTGCCACCAAGTAAAATTACATTATACATCTCATATGAAGCGAAACTGCTCCCACCACCACCTCCCGACACATCTGCACCTCCACCGCCTCCATAATATCCACATCCTCCACCGCCTGCTGAGGCTCCGGCTGTTGTTTTCCCACCACCTCCTCTCAGATATTCACCGTGATCTCCTGACGCTTTTCCAAAGCCCTTAGCTCCTAAATATATTCCTCCCTCTCCAGGTCTTGAAAATGTTGCACCTTTTCCTCTGACTTTTTTTGCATCTTCATCTGGCATATCATATGCACTTCCATCGCTATCACCTGCAAATGGTCCTCCAAAACCGCCATAAAATTCTTTATCCACTCCATAACTTTCATATTGCCAATATCCAGATCCACCTCCTGCACCAGATATTAATAGGATATTTTCTGCATATTTATCTTTACATATAAATGTCGCTTCACCTCCAGTACAAGATGGAAGACTTTGTGTTCCAATGAAATTATTCCCCCCTGAAAAATTTTTTGTATTTTTTATACTTGTGGAAGAACATTTACCTTGTTGACCAACGAAATAGTATAGCGTAATATCATTTTCTGCTTTAAATATACCTTCCGAATATGCCCCAAGTCCACTATCACTATTTTTAAGATATCCCCCTTGGGCACCCCAGATTCGAAATAACCAAGTGCCCTTTGAAAGTCTAAAAGAATGTAACTCATTATTTGGATTATTCTGATAATAAAAATTCATATTCTGAATTGAATATCAACATAAATAAAATTGATTGTCAAATTTGATGTATTCACTCTTATTTTTCAATTGTTGATTAAAAAAATCTATAACAAAATTATCTGATTTAACATGATTTAATATGAATAAGTTGGCCAAACTATGAGTTTCTGACTAAACTAGTATGATTGCTCTCACCCTGTTCCAGGCAACGAAAAAGCCTGCTTTAATTTCCTTTTTTTTAATCTGTAATTATGAAATGTTAAAGTTCATTTCATGCATATATGTTATAGTTCAATCTCATAACATGCAAAATTTTTGTAAAAGAGAATAATAAAAATATGAGATTACAATTTCATAAAAATGAATCATATTTTCATATCAAAATAGTATGAGGTGAAAAGGAACTGTAGATGAAACATTAATATGAGAGAAAGGTAAAAAGATCAGAATTTTTTATTTACATTAGCAAAAATGAGAGTTAACAATTGGAATGTTTCGAACATTTATGTTGATAAAAACAATAATACAAAAGTCAATTGGGATTCTCATTTACTTCCGGATTTTCATTAGAATTACTATTATCTTGATTTTGATCTACTGGGATAGTTTCCTGTGGAATCTCTTGTGTAGGTTCCTGTTGAACTTTTGACCAATTTCCAAATTGAATATCAGGGAAATTATTTTTAACAAAATCATTATATCTCTCTATTATTTCATCTTCTCCTAGAGATGTAATCTTATAATAGTCTGATAATCGTTGACTCATGTGTGAGTTACTATCTTTTTCGCTCTGTTTGTCTATCATCTCTCGTGTTTCAGCACTATAAGAACCAAACTTAATGCAAATCAGTGCCAAGATTGGATCAAGTTTTGTGTAAGAAATTTTCAATAAATCTAATTCGCTGTAATCAATGTCAAAACTATTTACATATGTTAAAAGCTGTATAAGTGTTTCGTAATTTTCATTGATGCATGAAGCTCTAATGAGTGTTTTTGCTAATTCTAATTTTTTACTTTCTTCGAGATCTGATCCGCCAAAAATTCGATCTGCAAGGAGATAAAAACATCTTGTATCCTTTGTTAATATAGAGTATAGTAAAGGCGTGAATCCTTCAACTTCTTTAAAGTATTCAGGTTGAAATTTTTTTTCAGATCTGATTATATATTCGAGAATTTTTGCACTCTGGCAAAGAACACAGTAAATTAATGTTGTTGGCCCTTTTGGGCAATAATTTTTGTTATCATTGGGAATATTTAGACATTCAAAAGGTAAAATTTGGATGTTAACTAGATGTTTGTTATGTTGTAATCTTATGAACTGATCCAAATTGTCATTCGCTATTATTTCTACTAGTTTTCTTTGGTCGACGCTCATGAAAATCACAGAAAATACTGGTGTGGCAAATTAATTCTGGAAAAATTAAAAAAAGTGAGTTCAAGTAACTTTCAACTTCTTATCATGCAACAAACTTGAATTTTAAAAATTTGGAACATTGATGTGGAAAAAAATTGCGGGGATCAAATTTAGAGATAATGACTTTCTGCATTCAGCATCACTTTTGAGTTTGCTATTGTTCATATCCTTTCATTTTGATTATTTTGCATATTTTGGAAATATTTACAATATCTGATTTTCACGAGATACCTTATAGCATTACTTCAAAGTAGTCATGTGTTCTTTAATTTTCATCTCAATGCGTATTAACGCGTGAAATAAACCAGAAATATGAAATTGAAGAGAGAAAAAAAATTAACTTCTGAATTTTAATAGTCATATTATTTTGATCCTCTGATCCATTATATTCGAAATGTCAAAAATATAGCAGAAAAAAAAATTCAATTTATTAAAAATGCTAGATGATATAAATGTTCCTTCGCAGCTGCAAATTGATAGCTGGAATAGTATTAACCTATCTCCAGTTGTCGATACAGCACCGCGTGTCGTACCTCTTCCTGTTTTTATTACTCCTTCCTCAGAAGGTTATTATGATCGTGTTACTACAATGAAAACGGGCATTGACGGATCCAAAGTTATCAAGAAAATACGCGAAGTAGAGTCAAATATATCCCTTGCAAACGATTTATTGAAAGAATGTTATTGCAGAAGATCAATTTCTCACGCCTTACTCTCATACATCGAGTCAGTCAAGAAACAGCGAGGAACTAATACAATGCCTCAAGAATTTCAGACCCCAGAAGTGGCCAATATTGCCAAGAAAATGGCAGACCCTATACTTGAGGTTTTCAAAGCTATCAAGCTCAACGCTGATCAGACTGCTGAATGGTTTTTCTTTACGTTATCTGATGACGAATTATGGAGTAATGGAATTTATAATGATACATTATTGAACGGTATGTGCACTCTGATTTACAAAGTAATGGCCTTAGAGAACGTTGTTATTTACAAGCTCGCTCTTATCGACGATATTTCAATGCTTCTTAAGTTTACGAACGATCCTCAATACGCACAAGAGGTTACTGTGCTCAGATCTTGGATGTCTAACTTTGGTGCGATGACAAATACAATTGTCGAGAGGTTATCGGCACTTAAAGCTCAACAAGTCCAGTTTATTTTCGATCTTTTATATGAATACGTCCACAAAAAGATTATCAAAGAAAACTACGTCACAGCAGAATCTAAATACAGTTACATTGCAACTTTGATCTTCTTAATCAAAGTTTATACAAAAGCTCAAGAAATTGAAGCAGCTTCTCTTAAAGAAGTAAAGAAACCTAAACCAGTTCTCAAGCCATTATCTCTAGATGTCAGATTCTTCTGCCACAACGTATGCGAAGTCCACAAATCCATTGTTTTGATGTACGAAATTGCTCCCGAACTTTCTCAGTTCTTTCCATACAAATTCTTCGACTTTACGCAGAAGGAGCTCAGAGACAGACCAGCCCCTCATCTTAAAGTCAAATCAGAGCAAGATGTCTTAGATGAAGTCAGAGATTCTTTCGACGAGACATCCGCTTTTGTATCGTACCTTCTTTCCTCGGAACGTGTCTCCAAGGAGAGCAAATTGGCCGACCTTCTCCCCACAGTTTTGAGAAAAGTTTCATGTGCAATTTGTTTCATTGCCGAAAAGATCGAAAACCGTAGATTGGCCGTTCCTCCGATACCGAAAGACTGGACTCCTGAGGATATCAGAGACAAAATCAAATTCTCAAGGTATCAATACGAGTACGGAATGAACGAAGGCATCTACAACATCCTTCCTCGTATTCTCCCTCTGATTATGTCTATCCGAATCACAAAGGAAGTCCTTCAAGAACATATTGAAGTTATATCTCAACAATTGGCAGCTTATATGCAAGAATACATCCAAGAATTCTGCGTAAACAAAATTGCTTACCTCGTTAGTAAAGAACCAAAGCTTTCTGATGATTTAATGGTCATCAGAACATTATTAGGTTATTTCACTAGCGACGACAGCCTCAAATTCCAAAAGAAATACAAGCACGAGACCTTAAACTACCCATCCACCATTCCATCTCTCCAGTTCCTTGACCTTGCACGCGCACAATTGCAATTAATGATAAATCCTGGTTCAAAGTACACTAAAAAGAAAGGTTTACTTAGCAGCGCCATCATCAGTGGTGAAATACTCGACACTATCCAAGAGTTCCTCGCTAAAACAATCTTCTTCCCCGAATTATTACGTCTACCGGAAATTTTAGATGTTGCATTTGACCAATCCAGGCTTTTCTTCAAGGAGCACTGGCTTGATATCTGCAAAGTCAGCTATTTCAAAGTCTCCTCCAGTCTTCCATACATTCTTTCCAATTTTGCACTTGTTAATTACAACCAAACTGAACTTACTGGTGCAATTTTCTATCCACTTTCGATTTACGATGATGCTGCACATGTCGCTTTGTATGATTTGAAGAGTAAAATGCTTTACGATGAAATCAAAGCTGAAGCAGAGATTTGTTTAGTTTCCATCACAAGAATCATTGCAAACCAATCATTTACTCCTATCAGAGAGTTCATTACTGTGAAATCTTTCTCAGGCAACATTCTCAAAGAGCTGAGAAACGAGAGATTACTCAAGATCACACAGAACTCTCCTGCAGTAAGATTAGGAGTTCTTTTGCAACAAAACCAGTTGTTTGTTTTAGGCTGTCAAATTGAAACAAAAGTTTTAATTGCGAACAGATTAAATGAACTGTTCGTTGACTTCCTTAAAGGATTCCTCAAACTGGCGAACGACAACGGACCAATCATCATGATCGCGTTCGATAGATTGGTTGATTTACTCAGACAAACTCATCAAATGATCGCTGGTTTCGAAATTCCAATGTCACCTTTCAATGATTTGTTCAATAACGTCATGGCGATGGATACTCCCAATTCATTGCAGAGCGAAATGCTTGTACAGATGGCTCAGTACATGACAGGACCTCTTTTAACTGATTACTTCTTGATGACAACACCATTTAGACTCATTCCAAGAGTTCAGCCAAAAATCGATTTCCATTCTTTGTTCCATCAAAACGAAGGCGTAATCATCGAGAGAGTTTTGAGGCCAACAGCTACTTTCGTGTCTATTGAATCATTCAGAGCATTGTTTAAGTATTTGGATGATGGCGCCATCGCTATGTTGCACATGCAATTATATTCATCGATTCGCGAAATCATGAATGATTTCATTAGTATTTACACGAGTTTCAGAGATCATATCACGAGAATTAGAGATCCACCACTTTCCGCATCATGCCACCAAGCATATGATAGATTCTACGGTGCTTACAACATGTTCTTGACTTCTCCACAGTTGAACAAGTTGTTTGAAGTCATGTCACAAATTGGCGAAATTTTCGCAATTTCTGAAATGATGGATGACGCGTTTAACCTCAAATTGACATCAGAAAAGATGATTTCTGCATATGTAACAAGCAGATCTCCATTGTCAGAAGAGGTTGCAGAAGTTCCTGAGTTGTTTGATTCATTCGATCAACAATTTAGAGATACCGCGAATTACTTTGCAACACTCAAAGAAATGCCAACTGTGAAACAAGTTTTGCCTCCATTTACTTTTCTCACGACAGAAGAATTCGTGAGAATTGTTAATGAAACTGATGTTTTCAACGAAACTTCTGGTTCTTTGACCAATTTCCAGTCTTTGAAAGGTTTCGCAGCGATGTTTTCCATCATCGAATTCCTCTACAGTATTATGGAAGTAAATACTGGAAATGCAATGACAAATTACGGTGAGTCTGTTTTGATTTGTGCTGCAAATCTTTTGGCGGCAACAAAACAAGTCGATTTGTACAGAGTTGTTTCTATTACAGGAAGAATTTTGACTCACGCAGAAGCAGATTTTAATCACTCTTCTAACAAGAATTTGGCCGATTTCTTGAGTATTTCCAAACTACTTAGATCTTCATTGTTCATCGCTTTGACATCTAGTTATCCTTTCCATGAGGAATTGTCAAGATAATAATAGTTATTTTTTGCTTTTAATTTTTATTATTTTATTCACAAATAAAAAAAATCTTATCAAATTTTAATTCACTTTAAATTGTTTTGAATGGAAATGCGTCAGAAATTTTCCTCTTTCAAGGAATTTTAACATAATCTCGCTTTGTTGATTAGGGAAAAAATAATAGGAAATGCTGAAGAAATAAATTCATCGTATTTTTCAAAAAAAATTGACACTTTGAATTGTGTAAATTTTAATCGTCCATTTTACTTTTTTTAACTTTAGAATGACACTTTTTAGCCACTTATATTTCAAGATGTATGGTGTGCTTTTTGGTCTCATTGTAAACAATTGCTTCACACAGGAGATTCAATGATAAATTATTTACCAAGTTACCTACATTTTGCTAGCTTAAAATTTTTGTTCAGCATTGAAATGATGAAAATTTATGTTGGATATGTAGGAAGTTTTTATAACTTGGAACATTTCTTTTGTATTAAAGTAAACCCACTTTCCCACGTAAAATCTCCCTATCGTTTATCTGCCTCAATATTGAGTGAATTTCTATAAAAATTCTGAATAAGAGACTTTTTAATATATGTCATTTTCTTAAAAAATATTAATGATAATTTATAAGATTACAACCAGAATACCTCTGATATTAGTTCAATAGCTAGAAAGCATATTAATAGAGGAGTAAGACAAATTGCTATCATTAAACCACCATCCAGATATTCAGATTTTTCACTTTCATTTGTCCTGTCCATCGAAGCTACATTCTCATTTATTGAATTAATATCAGTTTCCATATTTATGTTATTATTTATATTAATTAATTCTGTATTATTGTCAAAATCATCTTCTGCTTTGACTCTATTAGATGTTTTATGCAACAAATTTTGCAATCTCTTGGTTACCATGAAGATATCTTCTATTACAAAAAGAATAATGAGAATAATTAAAAATGCAATAAAAATATGAAGAAAAATCAAATAATTAATAATGCTGATTACTAATTTTCTTGATCCTATTCTATTGCGAACGATACCAATCAATGCTAAAATAAAGATAATAACCATGTGTATAAATATGATTATGTTAATAATTGCATATTTCTTATAAGCCGGTTTCTCTTTTGATTTTGAAAAGAAATGATGTATTGTTTCCATATACATTATCGCAAAAAAGCTACAAATAAACATCAAAACAGATGGTATCGTATGTAATTTAATGTCATTGCTTCCGTCAAATATTTCATAGCAATTGTCGAAGTTACAAAATCCAATAACATTACTATCTTTATCAAATGTGAAACTGATTTGGTAATTACTAATATACACCCCGTTTGATGGTACAGTATTCGTAAATAAATTCTTTTCTGCAATTCTAAAAACCTCTCCATTAAATAAAAATTGTTGTTTATTTTCCAATATTTGTATTGAAAAGTATTTGTCATAATATTGGCGCTTGAAAAAACCTCGATGAATAATATTTGTTGATACATAATCGCCTGCTAATTCATATGGAATACTTAAATTTGTAGTTTGAGTATATAATCCCCATAATTCATGATGAAATGCTCTTGATATGAAAAGATCATTTTGGAGATTAGATATTCCGACATAACTAAAGCCTTCTTCTGGAAGCAATGATATGAAAGATGTAAATACCATAGTGTTCCCTTGTAGATCAAATCCAATGATTCTTCCTGAATAGTACTGTTGGAATAGTCCATGTGAAATGTTTGGATTTTCCTTTGTCAATTTATAAAATTCTAAAAGCGTTGAATTGTATTTGAACAAATAACTTTGGTTATTCTTCCCAACCAGAGCATTAGCAAAAATGGACAAATCTGTTATGGTTGATATCGCTGAACCTGAAGGATAGAATTGATTTGAATAAAACTTTGTTTCTTGTAATTTGCTTATTCCCTTTTTGGTTTTTATTTCATACGGAATCGCTAATTTACTGAGTTGATCTTCACTAATGTCTGTCCTTAGTGGATCAATTGAAGTATTATTCATTCCAAGTTTTGATAATATATTTTTCTTAACATACTCAATGTAATTAATTTTAGAAACTTTCTCAATAATTAGACCTTCAACTGCTACTCCAAAATCGGAATATGATACGAAGGTTCCAGGCTTGCAAAACTGTCTTGGCTCGTTTTTAAGGATAACATCCTCAAGATTAACAGAGATTCTATTGCCAGGAATAATTGAATCCTCTGCTGTCATATCCCAACCTGTATCGTGATTCATGAGGTTAATAATTCTGATTGGATCTATGTATGTCAATCTCTTGAAAAAATTTTTACCGAGATATTTCGTTATGTCATCATGCAGATTGAGTTTACCTTCTTCATAGAGTTGCATAATAGAAACATGTGTCAAAAGTGAACTAATTGATGACCAAGGATAGAGAGTTTCCTGATTTGTTATTAAATATCCATCTACGTATTCAAATATATTTTGACCTTTGTAATTAATTGAAATTGCCCAACTGGCTAATAATGAACTATTGAACTTGCTAGAAATGTCTGTGAATAGTTGATTAAATGAATCAGAGGATATATTATTTGGTGTAATGATTGATTTCGTAAACCATAGTAAAAAGTAAGAGAAGCACATTTAATGTCTTTTAAAATATTAAAAATGCACACTGACACTTTTTAAAAAAATTTTCAAAAATTAATAGATCCGATTGCTTTAATTTTTAAGCAAAAAAATCTTAATTGTAATGATACGGAATTGGTATAATAGTTTTTTATTATCTTATAATTTTAAAATCAAAAAAAGAAATTGTAATTACAATTTCTTAATTACATTTGAATTGAATTCTATATAATTTTGTTCAAAATGATCCTTAGAATTAATTAATATCTCATTTATTTATGTATCAATTCATCACATCCAAAATTAATTTCAAATAAAAAAATAATGACGTTAATGACCGAAATAAAAAATATGGTTATTTAATCATATTAGTTATGGATTTTGTTCTTCAAATTCATCAGAGAATGGATCTTCATCATGTCCGATTTCATCTCCTGAGAACAACGGATTGTCCTTTGTTGCTTCTTCTGTCGTAACCCCTGAAGTGGTTACAATATCTGTTTCTCTATCTTCAAGATCGGTATTGTCAGAGCTTTGTGGGTTATCGTTATTATTCTTTGTCTTCTTGATGAACAAAAAGATAGCAACACATATGAGAACAGCTAATAAGATAGCCATGATGGCAATTCCAGCAATTAATCCGGTAATAGACCTTCCTCTGGTCTTTGTTGATCTTGAGTCTGCATTGTCACCTGTATTTGATGTATCCTTTCCTGTCGTATTACCCGGATTTTCATCTTTTGAGTAAATTTCAAATGCAATTTCTATAGGAGTAGACTTTAGATCATCTGAGTCTACAATATATATTTCTAATTTATGCGGACCTTCTTTCATCTCAGAAGATAAATGGAATGTGATCTCGAATTCTTGGACTGTTGAATCCGAAACAATTGTATGGACTGGCATCGCTTTACCATCATCAAATTTACCAATGAATGTCAAGTTATTACCTGCATCAGAGTCCCTTACGTTTCCCTTAAGAACTAATGGATCGCCTATTTTAATTTTATCGCTGACTAATGCCGCATCAATGAATTTAGGAGGATTCTTAATATAGAAAGAAAATGTACTTAAATCGGTTGTTTGGTTATTTATATCAACTGCCCAAACATTAAAGTTATGTTCACCATACTTATAATCAACAGGAATAGTTACTCTTGCTTCGAATAATTCAATTTCATTTGTAATATTTACTAACGTTTTCTCTGTCAAAGTATTATTGTCTATTTTGTAATGTAGATAAATATTTGAGTTTGCCCTAACGCTTCCTGTGAATTTAATTTGTTGGCCATCATTATAAACTAAATTATCTGGAGCAGTGATATTTAATGATGGCTTATATGTAATTTCTAAATCAATCTCAAACATATTTGATCTCCTAACGTAATGTAAATTATTCATTGGTTGTAAGTTGTTAGATAGCCAAACAATAACTTTCTTCTTTCCTATTGGTTCATTTTCTGGAATTACAACAGATGCTTCAAAGAATTGGTCGTTTGTTCCATTTGATATAACGTTTCCACTTGACTTTGTAACTTTGTTTTCTCCAACTTTGACAAAGATAAACAATTTCTTACCTTCATCAATATCATTGAATCTTCCTCGAACTCTCATAACTTCATTTTGGAGAGAAAATGGCTTTGAGAAGCCAGCAAATGGAATATATGGTGTATTAACAATATTAAATGTATAGAACTTCAATGTTGTCTTGAAATTGAACTCATCAAATAAAAGAAGCTCTAGTTTATGAAGTAATTTGTAAGAAATATCCGATGTTATTGGAATGATAATCTGCTTCTCGAATTTCTTGTTCGTTAAGTCAAGGTTTTCTGTATTATCTTTCTTTTCTTCAGAATCAATCAGCAATTTAAATGTGCATTTCTCATACTTTTCTACATTAATATTGATTGTCATATTATCTCCATATGAATAGTAGTTCTTAGAATTTGAAATAATCTCGATTGTTGATTTTGCCTTGTAAGATATGAAGATGGGAACTGTGACAACATTAGATTTCTCGTTTTCAAGGAATGTATCTGCATAATTACGATCAGAAACAAATATTTTAATATCAACTTTTCCAACCAAATCTGTATCGAGATTGAATTTAATAATGATTTCTTGATTTGTCTTTCCATTTGATTCATGATTCCACTTTGAAATGCGAGGATCAGCATTCCCAATCTGATAATATACATACAATAATTTCTTATCATCAATATCATCTACGAATCCAGTGCAATTGAAGTCATTTCCTTTCAAATAATTCATGGTTTCAGTTGGAAAATCTTTTAATGTTGGTTTGTTCTTTAATGTGAAAGTTCTTGTAACTGAATTTCCAGTTACATCTCCATATGTGCTTGGAATTGCATTTACCTTTACAGTTCCATATGAAACAGATGCTGGAATATCGATCTCTTCATCGAATTTATCACCATCACTTAAAATTTTAACAATTGAACGAGCAGGAATATCATTGAATGTCAAGCGAATCTTGAATATCTGATATCCTTTCATTGTACCAGAAAGTCTGACTCTTGATCCTTTCTGATAAATTCCATCTGGAATTTCATTTAATGTTAGAACAGGAGTATCAACAAATGTGATAATCTTTGAGAGTGTAGCTGATCTACTATTTCTAGACGGTTCTTTTTCTGAAAGATACATTTCTGTTGTATAGAAGAAACTCAATATATGCTCACCTTGAGTGATTGACTTTGGCAAGCGGAATCTATAATATGGTTTTTGATGATCTTTTCCGCTTGATGTTGTATATCTCCCAATCTTATAATTCTTTTTGTCAACATTCATCCATAAATAAAGATCTTTTCCTTTATCATAATCATTGTAATCTGGTGTCATTTTGACATATGAACTTGTTAAAAGAACTTCACCAGGTAATGTGATATCATTAATCTTGGGTTTATTTAGCAAATAGAATGTTATTTCATAGTTCCAATAAGATGTTGTCCTCTTTCCGTATTCATCAATAACTTCAATAAAGCAATCATATCCTTTCTTTTTATATTGATACTCCTTTGGGAATCTGAATTTCAAATCAATAGACTTTTCATAATTATTACTTGTGTATTTTCTTTCGTAAATAATTCTTCGATCAAAGTAGACTTTAATATCTCCCTTGGTTTCATCATGAATTCCAAGATTGATTAAGATTTGATCATCATATGAATAATATCTTTCCTGTGGGAAGTTGAAGTCAACAGTTGGAGGTTTAGTAACAACCAATTTAACCTTCTTTGTTTCACTCATTGAATATCTTGATCCATCAGTTTCTTTGATATTTTGTACCCAAGCTTCAATTTCTAAATTTCCTTTCTGATTTAGATCAATATTGAAATAAATTGTATGGACTTTGAAATCATTGATATTTCCATAAGGTGGATTAACATATTTCTTCTCATAGTTAATAACGCCATTCATTTTCATAAAGAAATACAAGCTGCCACTGGTATTGTAACTTACTGAATAATCAAGTCCAACACTTTCTCCAGGAGATGCAGCTGATGTTGACAATTTGAGATTTCCTAACTTTGGAGGAACTCTAATACTGAATTCAAATTCAAATGGTTCTGATTTTGTTAGATTCTCTCCAATAGCCTTGAAATAGTATTTGACATTGCCATGCGCTCTCTTGAAGTATGTCGTCCATGGGATTGTAGAAGAGGTATTGTAATAAATTCGATGGATTTTGTTTCCAAATTTCTCATAGAAAAATTTATTATCATATATGTCGATGTATCCCTTTAAGTCAGCAATGATTTGGATGTCAAATTTGATATCTTCATAAACTGTGAATACCTTTTCTTTGGGTGGTGTGACAATTAATAATGGATCATTTGCCATAAATATTGAAACTTGTAATGTATCAGAATTATCGTTTTCATCTGGTGTTTCAATTGAATTATTGTAATCTGTTACCCAAATATCGATCTTCTTGTCTCCAGATGTCAAATAAACCAAATTGCGCAATGGGAACTTAAATTGCTGTAATTTTCCATTTGAAGTCATGTTTCCGAGAAGAATTGGATCATATCCAACTATACGTTGGAAGATATACAATTCTTTTCCTTCGTCAAAGTCTTCAATTTTACCAAATACATTCACTGTTTCATCATTGTCAGCTTTAGTCTTATCTAATTTTACATCGGATAGAATTGGTTTGTTTTTGATGATAATATCTACTTCTTTGCGATAATCATCAGATGCTTCAAAATCGAATTCGTCGACGGGGTAAAATAGCAATTTATAAGTTCCCATTTTGATGTCATTAGAAAGCTTTAGAGTTGTGTTAATTTTTGCGGTTGATTTTGTGGCAGTGTAATGAAGATCTTGATTCATATCTTTTCCATTAAAGAAGAATTTGACTTTTCCACTTGTATCGTCAGTCACTGTCATCTCTATATAAATTTCATCACCTCTATGATAGGATGTACTTGGCTGGAATAATGTTGTCATTTTAGGAGGATATGAAATATTAATATACTTGATATCTGGTTTAGATTCACCATTCCTTTCTGGATCAATATTTGGATCTTCATCATCTTCAATCCATGTTGTTAATTTGAGATTCTTTGCTGTTTCTTTCTTCACTTCATAGTCGAACTCAAATGGTTGTTCTTTGCCATTGGAAACTATATGATATGCTTGATTTGTCCTTCCATCATCTTCATTTTCTGATTCTTTGATGAAGAAATATAAATCTTTCTTATCATCTAAGTCTTTTAATGTTCCCTTAAAATGAATTTTCTTTCCATCATTGATATCACTCCTCAAAAGATTCTTATTGATTTCAAGTTTAATTATTTCTGGCATACTTCTGATTTCGAAATTGTATAAGTCTCCAGAATTAGAATTTAGACCAAATTCATCTTCCACTTCAATTGATAAATGATGAAGATTATTGCTTGGTGAATATTTGCACCATTCTGGAATAGGTACTTTAACTTTAGTATATTTGATTGATCCTTTGCCTTCTTCAACTTTATATGACTTAATCATTGAATCATGGAAAGTAATATCTGTTCTGTTATCAATCTTATAGATGATCTTTCCTTTTGATTCATCAGTAACCGTGATGCTAACTTCAATGAACTCATTATATCCTATAATTTTCATGGTTGGATATTCAACTTCAACTATTGGTGCCATTGAACTCTTCAATGAATAATTGAATAAATTGGAATCTGATGTTTTAACTTGATCATATTTATTAATATTTGATCTACTTGAAATGAAGAATTCAAGATTGTGAACTCCATGAGCTGGGTATGTGTAATTAGCTGTATATTCTGAAACTCCTTGAGATTTGAATGGGGTGTTTTCAACTTTTGTGATTATTTCAGAATTGTCAATTATTTCTCTTTGATATATGTAAAGATCTTTTCCTCTATCTAAATCTTCATAGCAAACTGTAAGGGATTGTTTTGTGTTTGGTTTAGCAGATTTAATAAGCTTGATATTAGTGATTTTTGGCTTATTTCTAATATATATTTCAGTTGATTTTGGTACAGCTGGATATCCAAATTCATCTTCAACTCTTATTGAAATTGTGTAAGGATCTTTTGAATATGTTAATTTATCGCTTTTTTCTAATTTGATATCAACATCTACAGCTGCCTTTCCTGAACTTGATGTATAATTAACAAAATTTTCTGTATTCATGAATGTATAGTATACTCTTCCTTCTGTGTCATCATTAATATTTACTGCGATTGAAACTGTTTGTCCATAACTGAAATAATTTTCAGAATAGTTTGGTTTAATCTCAAAATCAGGAGGAATTGTAATTGTTAGCTTTAAGGTTGTCTCATAGATAGTCTGTTTATGCGCATCTGTAATCCACACTTTGCATTGAATATCTTTCTTAGGCTGAACTCCAGGAATTTTTGTCTTTAATAGCAATTGTTTGGTATTTGAATCAAATACTTCATATTCTTGTGAAGATTGTTGTTGTATATCTGGTATTAAAAGATTAAGCTTCACCTTTGGTTTGTTGGATGTGTCAATATTGTTGAGTCGAAGATCACATGTCAAATTTAAATCATTATTTGGCAATTTGACGTTTTTGTCGAAATTCATATTTTGAATCTCGGCGTCGAATGCGACATAAAATACAAGTTCATCTGAATTCCTTTGGTTAACATATTGATTTGAAACGGTTATCCTTAGAGAACGTTTTCCTGCAGAAAGATCGCCTATTGTAAATGTAATTTTATCAGATGTTGAACTTGATTCTGGTCCAAGATCATATGTTTTTTCTTTTAGTGATTTGATGAGTTGATTGTCATTGTAAATTTCAATTTTTGCTGTTGTTTGGCAATCTCCATTAACTTTAAATTCAACAGTAAATTGGTCATGTTTTCCATATGGTGTATCTGTTGGAGTTGTTTTTATATTTACTGTTGAAGGACTAAAAACATTTAAAACGACATTTTTCTTCTCAGAATCAACATTGTTTGTGTCATCATGAATCCAAAATTTGCAGTGATAGCTTCCAATGGCATTTGGAGTATAGGTGAAATCATGTTGAATAATATTATATTCAGAATTATCAAGCTTTGTTGTTTTTTCATCATTGTTGCAGAGTTGATGAGCTGTGAATTTTGATTCTTGGTGTAGGATATTTAGACTAGTTTTCAGAGTATATGCTTTACCTGGCTTTAAATCTGATTTCTGGGACTCTTCTAGTTCAACAATATCAACTGGAGAATCCATAAGTAAATATATATGTACTCCATATACTAATCTTCCCTTGGCAGGGATCTCTCTTTCATTCCAAGAAAAGGAGATTTCTGCATCTTTGGAATTTCCTTTTGGATCTTTAAAAACATTCATTGTCTCTAAATTTAGAAAAGGATTATTTTGGCCTCGAGATTTGTATCCATACCATTTGTTATCTGCTGCAATAAAACCTTGTGTTTCGCTAAAATCTCTGTGATCAACGACAAATTTCTGCCATAAATGAATATTTTCTTTCTTTTGATCAGAAATTACATAATATGCTTTATTTGTATACAATCCTTTAGCATCTTTTATTGGATAAATGCTGTTTGAATTTCCATCATCTGTATTAAACATAATATTAGTAAATGTTCCGAGTTTAACCTTTTTAGCTGTACTTTCATTGTTTTTGAGAGTAAAAATTAAATATCCGCCTAATTTATCATTTTCATCAATTCGAAATTCTGGTGTGATAGTGATTCCTTCATATGGACCTGTGGATAGATTTTTGGGAACATGTTGTATGTTATCAACATAAAATCTAACAGAAATACCCGAATTTTTGTTTGAAAATGGAATTGTTGCACCTGTTTTTGATGTAAATTTCAAATCCACGAAGTTATTACGATATCCTGGGTGAATAATTTCAATGGCCGAGAGAGCAAAGCTGAGAAACAAAAAGCAATGCATATTTTTGATAAATGAAATGAAAATTTAATTGAATTAGTCGGCTTTCAAATTTTGAAAAGAATTGAGAGCCATCTAATTCTCCAAACTAAATCACATTGTTTGAAAAACGTATTTATTCATTCGAATATCAATGTATAAAAAAGACTATTTAATCTAAACATGTGTCTTGAAAATTTTGTGAAATTCGGAAGAAATAATTTGTGATATTGCACCTTATATATCATTTTCCAACTTGGTAGTTTGAGAGGGATAAAAATTTTGAAAGAAAGTGTCAAAATCAAAGTAAAATAAAAGAAACTTTATTCAAATTTGATATTTTTATCAATACCAAATTTTCAAAATATATGAATATGAATTTAGCTTGTGCAGATATTATAAAAAGGAAACCTGTAACAAATTAATTTTGAATACTATTCCCTCAATTTGATTTGAATTAAAATAAAATATGTAATCTCTGCATACTTTTTCAATGCTCGATTTTTAAAATCTATTTAAAAATGGAGCTTATATTGAAATAATGCAGAGATACTAAATTTTAACAGACTATTTCAGAGAATTGAGCGGGAGCTCAATTCTCTGAAAAGTCTGCAGAAATTCGTATAATTTTATATTTATCGATCATCTCCGATTACTAAACAAAAACTTTTGCATATAGAAAGTATCAATATGTAAACCCTTTGATTAAAAATGTTTACATTCCTAAATTTGTATAGTTTTCGTAAAAAAGACGCTAATTTTTGTAACTGTCTAAATTAGGATTTTAAGCATATTTCATGAAATTAGATAACATTATAATAATCTATATTTCATTTGCGACTTCATTTCGCAAAATTCGAAATATCATATTTGAATTGTTATATCAATATATTGATCTCTTATTGTGAAATACAAAAAATAATTAGAAAAGGTAATTAGGTCAGTCAATTTTTTTTTCAAAAGTCAATTGATTATGCTTGGAAAAAATATTCTCTCGATTTATTAGGAAACATTATTAATTTGATATTCATTCATTACAAACATGGTTCTAATAATGATTCTCTATATGGAATTAAAAAAAAAATGAAATTCAATCAAATATAATCAGAATTTATGTTATTTTCTCAGAAATATAATCATTTTATGAGTACTACTTATAGCTCAGGGGAATAATAATGAGTTTCTATGATAGATTCAATAAATTTTATAAACATAGAGGTGGAAAAAAAAATATCGATTTTATATTCAATTGTGATTAGGAATAAACCTTTTAAATTGATAGTCCAAATTCCTTAAATCCTATATTATCGTATCCATCCTACACGGAATGCATTGTTTTAAAAACTGATTTCATTAGACCTTTTAATGATTAAATTTCAAAATCAATTTCAACTCCAAGAAAAAAATATAGATTTCAATAGAAAATGTCAATTTCGCCGGCATTTAAATACATTATTCATCTATTGGATTCAGAATTAAATAATTATTTATGAAATTTTTTTTGCAGAATTTTTTCAATTGAAAATAGTCGATTGAATAAATTTTCTGCAACTAATGCCGCCAACGAATTACGTGATTTCTCTTGAGGGAACAATATCTTTTAAGATTGAACACTTTTATAACCTACTCTTTGCTCCATGTTGTAAAACTTAGACATATGTTTCACAAAGATATTTCCTTATTTAGGGTCACATAAAAAAGTTATGCAAAGTAATTAAAAATTGTCAGGCTGTAATTAAAAATCTCTTTATTTTTTATATCTAATGAAATTCATGTCCAAAAATATCATAAATAGAAAGAGAAGTATCTTTTGTATTATCTTTTGGCACCGTGTGAAATAAGAAGTTCGATTGTTTCTTTACAATTAAACAATTCTGCCTTTCTAAGAACAGAATCATCATTATAATTTTCTTCATTGATGTTTGCACCATGTGAAATAAGAACTTTGGCTGTTTCTTCACTATTATTTTGTGCAGCATAATGAAGAGCAGTTTCTCCATCTTTATCTTTTTCATTGATATTTGCACCGTGTGAAATAAGAATTTCAGCTGCTTCGTTACTATTTTCACTTGCTGCAAAATGAAGAGCAGTTTTTCCATAGCTATATTCCTTTTCATTGACATTTGCACCAAGTGAAAGGAAATATTCGCAAAGAGATGAAATATTAAACTCAGTTGAATATAAAAAGCATTCGTCAATATCATTAGTTTGATCGAAATAAACTAAAAATGATTCAAGATTATTATATTCTCCGAAAATATTTCTAAATATACTGAGCTCGAAATTGTACTCATTCATCAAGAATGTAACAAAATCAATGTTGTGTGAAATAATTGCATACATCATGCATTCTAAATTTGGTTTTTGATATTTCAAGCATTCATTCATGATCTCTGGATTTCCTCCTAAAAACGAAAATTCTAGACATTGAGAAGTTATTTCTGAGTTAAATTTCGTTCTTAATAACTTGAAACAATCAACTGCTCCATAGTAACAACATAATTCAAGCAATGATAATTCTTTAGAAAATGGATATAAATCACTTTCAAGTTTTTGATTTTTATCAAAGTCGTCTCTTCCCGTGAAATAGATGAATCTTTTTAAGTCATTATCCATAAATGCTTTATAAATTGTATTTTCTGTATGAATATCGATATTTCCATAATTTAATATTCTGATTTCATATAATTCAATTCCATATTCTTTATAAAATATGAAATTTGAAACGTCATGGATATTGTTTACTTGTTTCATAGGATAATCATCATATACACGTTTGGCAAGATATAAATATGACTTTGTATAGCGATTATTAAACGGGATTATATTCAAAATATCCCTTAGAATATTTCTAGGAGGATGTTTCTTTGAATCAATCATTTCTGTTTTGATCATTTTGTAAATTGAGTTTAATTTTTCTTCTTTTTCCGTTTTTAGCTGATACAACGCAGTATACAAATCAATGTAGTATTTGTAGGTACTTCGCAATTCACTGTATTTATTTGGGTGGATGTCTTGATCAGACATTAAAAAATTTAAAACAAAAAAAATGTCGAAATAATATTGATTGGGAAAGGATTTTATATAGGAACTCTCCTTCCTTTATTTGTATTGCATTCATTATTATTTCAGTATGCAAAACCAAACTATTGAGCAACTATTAAGCAGCCTCTGCACTTCCTATTAAACTTATTATATTTACTCTCTTATTTCATATTTTCAATATGAATTCTACTTTTTATGATTCAATTTATAATTTAACTAATGATACTAAGGATGACATCATAAATTCTGCCAGAAAACTAATAGACATTGACTTCTCTGGTTGTATTTTTGGATTCTTAATTGCTTCTATTTATCGAACAAATTTAATACCAGAATATGCAAATATTATTAAAGAACTGATAACATCAGAAGAACAAAAACAACAATTAATTAGATATTTTATCGAATTCATTACGAAAAGATCAATACAGCCACTCAAAAATTCTATTTTAGCTTTATTATACACTTTATATACATTATCAGTTGTTAAAATTGACGAAATTGAACGCTTAGCCGAAAATTACTCATCAGATCCTCAAATTCAAGATAGATTATTAGTAGATCTTTTTATTTGGTTTGCTCCAGAAGTTAGTCAAGAATATTCAATGCAAATCTACGACATCAGTGGAAATGAAGATAAATTGCAGGGAATGTTTCCAACAATTCAAAACTTTTTCTTTAATCTTGAAAGTTTATGTGCGAACGAATGCAAATTATTACGAAAACTCAGGCATGATGATAAAGAGCTTAAGACAATTGATGCTATTCTTCGTCGCGATAATGTTCAATTACTTGAAAAAGTTTATTCTTTAGGAAACTTTGATCCAAATCAAACAATACAAATGTCCGTTTACGAAAGACAATTTCTAACCAATAATGAATGTCCAATTGTCAGTTACTGTGCTTTTTACGGATCAAATAATTGTTTGAAATCATTAATCGAAAAAGGAGCTGATCTCAATCAAGTCGATTCCAATAAAGTCACTTTAGCTCAATTTGCCGCTGCAGGAAACAACAAAGAAGCCTTAGATTTCCTCAAAGGAAAAACATCATTCGACGGAGCTGCCGAATTTGCCATGAAATACCATCATCTCGATCTTTGTATCTCATTACTTGACACTGGTATCAACCATGGCCTTCTCCATCGTGCTGCTTCCAGCGGATTTCTCGCAGGTATCGAATATTCACTGAAAAACGAAGATCCTAATGCACAAAATGCAAATGGCCGTACTCCTTTGATGATCGCTTGCATGTACTCCCCACCTGCTGCAAACATTCTCATTGAAAGAACAGATGTAAACATTTCTGACAAAGAAGGAATGACAGCTCTAATGTTCGCTTCACAAAACGGTTTTTCTGAAATTGTTTCCTCACTCTTGAAGCGGAAAGACATTGATGTCAACATGCGCCATCGCTTTGGAATGACAGCACTTTTTTGGGCATCACAAAAGAACTACTTAGAAGTCATCAAAGTCCTCTTAAACGACGAAAGAGTTGATATAAAAATAAAAGACGATGAAAACTGGAATTGTTTACATCACGCTGTACAAACTAATGGTTTAGAAGCATGTTCTTTCTTAATATCCAAAGGCGCTGATATCAGATGCAAGCAGAATGAAGGATTAACACCTCTTCATTTCGCTGCTTCTCGCGGTTTCTCGGAACTTGTCAAACTTTTGATACAAAAAGGAGCAAATCCGAATGAAGGAGACAATGCTGGAATGACTCCTTTGCTTTGGGCAGCTCAGAATCAGAAGATAGAAGCAATAGAAGCTCTTCTTCAATTCGAACAAACTGATCCTTCTTTGTGTGATGATGAAAACTCAAATGTCCTTCATTGGGCTGCTCAGTCGGATCTTTGTGATGTTGTTCATTTGGTTGCATCAAAAGTCGATGTAAACAAAAGTGACAACAACAATATGACACCTTTATTGATTGCTGCTGCTTTCAGAGCGTATTCATTCATATGCAAACTGATTGAATTACCACAAACCAATGTAAATGTACAAGATCCAAGCGGAATGACTGCTCTTCACTTCGCTGCTCGTAATGATGACGAATTCACAATTCAAGCTATTGTTAATTCTGGAAGAGCTGATGTCAACATGAAGAACAAGAGTGGATTGACTCCACTGCACATCGCTGCATCAAATGGAAACGAAGCTGCTGTGATGGCTTTGATTTCTGCTCCTGGAATTGATAAAGAGGCAAAAGATGATGACGGAGAGACACCAAAGATGATTGCAAAGAGTTTCGGTTTCACTAATATCTATGAATTACTTCAATAAAATTATAGTTATGATATATGGTTAAAAAAAAATTGTAATTTTTTATAAAATTCTCATAAAACTAATTTTTTACATTAAAAAAGTTATCACTATGCAAGAACTAACTGTTCATCAACATATCATTTAATATAAATTTAGATTGCATGAAGAAATTATCTTAATATGAGCAATAATGAATAATCTTTAGGATTTGTCATACAATTTGTTGGTGTAATTAATAACTATAAACTAAGCTATCAATTCATTGTTAGAAAAAATATCTCTTATTATTTTTGATTCTTTATGTTGGTAATTATAAAGAATAAAATGTGTTCTTGTTTGAACTTCATTTTATATACTTAAAACAGGAATTTTGATAATAATATTTTTGTTGATATTAAAAAAGGCCTTTAGAAATGGATTGTTTGTCATTATTATTTAGAGAGATAAGCAAAAACGATAAAGAAGTTAAACACAATAAAAAAATGTTTACAATCAAATTTCAAATATTTTGTTTGTCTGAATGATAAATGATTAAAAAAAATAGGTAAACTATATCTATAGATGTATTACAAATGATTAATTTCCGCCTTTCTTCGATTTGGGTTTCTTCACTCTTGTACTTGCAGGAACAGCGTTCTTTATGTAGTCCATTTCAGCGAGAGCTTTTATAGTTGGTCGGTCTTTCGGATCTTTTCTGAGGCAGATCTTTATGAACTCTTGGCCCTTCTCGCTGAGCTTTGACTTGACTTTCTTATCATCGAGGGACTCGTTGACGATCTTCTCGCATGTCTGAGCATCAACTGTTTGGATTTTACGCTTAAGTTCGTTATCATTTGTCATCATTTCGTAATAAATGATGCCAAGGCTCCAAGTATCTGTAGACAATGATACTTTATTGTTAGAAGTGAATGTCTCTGGCGCAGTATAGCCAACTGTGCCTGTTCCTGGTGTAGATTGCATAATTGACTTTCCTTCATCGGCAATTTTAGACAAACCGAAGTCGGCAATCTTAGGAACGAAGTTCTCATCAAATAGGATGTTCGCTGGCTTGAGATCGTAGTGGATAATGACTTCTGATGTATCAGATGGTTTTGACTTAAGGGCTAGAAGGCCATCGATAACTTGTTTGATGATGCTATGTGCTTCTGACTCTGTTAATCTTACTTTGCGAAGGATACCGTTGAGATCTCCTCCACCTGCAAATTCCATGACATATGCAACGGTATTATCAGCTAAATAGAAGTATCTGAGGATCTTTATAACATTCTTGTGCTCTGTAACTGTCATAATATCGATTTCTCGCTTAAGATGGTTCGCAAATTGAGCTAAATTTACATTCTTTGGTAATTCAATGACTTTGACGGCCACAATTTGGGCGGTTTCGTAATCCCATGCTTTCCAAACCTCTGCAAAACCGCCACGGCCGATTGGCTCTATCAACTGAATTTTTTCATTATCTAAGAGATGAGCAGGCTGTAAATTGTGTTTCTCCGCTTCCAGCATGTTGAGTATTCGGTTGCGGTCTTCCTGTAATCGTTTCTCCTTATCCTTAACGACTTCCATTTCTTTTTTATAAACTTTAATTAAAGCTTGGGAATCGCTCTTATCGATTTTCTGCTGTAGTATTTCTTTTTGTTTGTTGAGGGAGGTTGTTTCGGTGCTTTCAAACCATGTATTCGTTGATGAATTTTGTAAAAATCCGATATTCTGCATTGAATGTGCAATTTCTGTAAGTTTTGCTTGCTTTTCAGCTAATGTTTTTTCGTCTACCATTGTTTTTGCGAAATTAGTAAGTCTTTGGTATTTTTCTCTCATTGAATTTAATTCTGCAAGTAATTCGTCGTTCTTTTGCTTTAAATATGTATCGTTGCTGTTTAATGCAACACGTAGTGTCTCGCTGCTGTCTCGTTGATAATATTTTGAAGTTAATTCATTTGATAAAGGATTTGTAACTGTCGAACTTGTTTGATCTTGTATTATCTGTATGGAATTTGTTTGGCTGTTTGTTATCGCATCGTCGGCATCTTGACCTTCCATGCGTCGCCTGAGTAGTTCCTTGCGTTGAGCCGTGGATTCGGACATTCGACTCATTGATTACCTCAGATAACAACTAATTTTGGACACTGATTGTCACCTTTTGGGCTTATTGTAAATTTTCAAAGCAATTTTCGTATCGATAATTTTTTTTCTTCCATAACCTTTTTGCATTACAGGATTATAATTTTAGGACAATGATACTGAATATACTTAACTATTTCCCTAGTTCATGCTATCGTTGAATTTGTACGTAATAAAACTAAGGATTTAAAAAGTTGAAATATAATTTTATTGGATAGAAGAGACAATGCAAGTATATAATGTATAATAGATAGGTAATCATTATTGGAAGTAAGTAGTAATAAAATGTAGAAAAAAATTATGCAATTAATAAATAAAAAAATTCATTATCAAATATCATGATTTTCTTTTATTGTTTTGGGTTCATGAATCTAGCTGTTTTATATTATGATTCTAGATTTATTTTGATTATGTTTAAGTATTAAAAATAGTTTAAATAAATGTAAAGCGGGTGAGTAGTCTAGTGGTATGATTCCTGTTTTGGGTACAGGAGGTCCCGGGTTCAATTCCCGGCTCGCCCCATTTTTTCTTTTTTCATTCTTTGATTTTTTTTAGATTTGTCACTTTTATAGAATCGAAAAAAATCAGTAAATAAACAAATCATCGATTTCATCAAATAGGAAGCTTCTCAAGGTACAACATGCAGCATATATCTAGTGCTACATATCACTAATCAAAATATATATTGTTTGTACCTTTAAACCTTCTAGTTCAATGATAATTAGTTGATAAAATCGATCATCAATTTTTCGAATACAAAAAAAGTGCCAATTAACTTTTTTTTTCTGTCCAACGAATTCTCATAGCATTCTTTAACAAATTACCATGGGTATCTTTTAATGAGATTATCAAAGCTTTTAACGCATTCAAATGATAATCGATTTCGTTTTGTAGGAATTTGGTCAAAATAGCATGTGGACTTACTTATCTATCCTTTACAAAATCAAAATGCTATTAAAATGAATATGTACTTCTATCGATTTTTTCAGCGATTAGAAACCGAATCAGTTAAATCAATGGTTACGAAAAATAACAAACCCGTGTTGATGTGAAGCAAATATGATATGTTAGAATCGTCTAGAATTATAGAAATTTTTATTGTTAAAAACAATCTGATTTTCTGAGCTGAAATACTCGAAAAATATGACTTTTGGAACTCACAGAAGCTAATTGTATCATTAACCAAAACATTGATAATCAATTGTAAGAAAAAGTGAACTTTGCTATTATCGTTTTTTCAAATGGAATCGAATCGAATAGGAAACTATGAGCTTTTTGACAAAATTGGTGAGGGATCATTTGCATTTGTATGGGAAGGTCGAAACACCATCACAAATTGTCCCTGTGCCGTCAAACAATTTCGAAAAGATACATTCAACCACGAAGCCGCCGTATCAATGAATAGAGAGATTAGTATCATGCAGATACTCGATCACCCACTCATTGCTCAGCTCTACGAAGTCGTAGAAACCCAACATGATACATTTTTATTTATGGAATTAGTAGACAACGGAACGTTACTGGAATACATCAACAAAAATGCTCCGATATCCGAAAATAAGTCTAGAATTATCTTTGCACAGATAGTTGCCGTTCTAGATTATTTGCACAACGAAAAACGAGTTGTCCACCGCGACCTCAAAGCAGAAAACATATTGATTGATCAAAACGATAATATAAGAGTCATTGATTTCGGTCTCAGTAACGTTTTAAACCAAAATACAGTTTTATATACGGCATGCGGCTCATCAGCGTACGTTGCCCCAGAAATGTTGTTAAACAAGCCGTATACCCAAGCTGCTGATATCTGGAGTGCCGGAGTTCTGCTATATGCTATGAATGCCGCTCATTTACCATTTGAAGATTCGAATGTTACTCGTTTAGTTGATAAAGTCCTCAATAGACAACCAGAATACCCACTAGCGTTCTCTAAGAACCTCACAGAGCTGATATCTAAGATGCTAACTAAAGATCCGTCGCAAAGAATTACATTGGAAGGAATTCTTCACGATCCTTGGTTTTTATCTGATGCTCTTGGAAATAGTTTTAGTTACAACTTCAAAACTCTTAGCAAATACAAACTTATATCAAATCCTTACAATATCGAGCTCGATGAAGAAGTTTTATCAAGATTGGCAGAATTCGGTATCGATACTACAAATCTCAAAGCTGATTTGGCTATGAATAAGATGACAGATGCAACAGCGGCTTACAAATCAATACATAGAGAATTATTCTTAGAAAGAGGCGCTTGTTTGATCGATGAGATGATTATCCCGGTCCTTCGCCAATTCTCTAATTCTTCAGTTAATGTAACTCGCCATATTTTGTTATCAGAAATTCCGCCAATGAAAAACTCGACAGAAACAAATCTTGCTATTCTTCAGAACCCGCCTCTACTTGCTAAGGTGCCTTCGAAGTTTGGAGGTCAAATTCCGATGATTCCTTCGAAGAGTGGCCCAATTATTAATTTAATTGTGCCAAATATCAAGAATCGATCAGCAACCAACTTACAGTCGCGTCCATCACGCAGAATTATAGTTAATGTTTGTAAAAAATAAATTGTTTTTTTCATCTTCAGAAAAAAAAAATTCAAAATCATTACTGTTAATTTTTCAATTGAATGCAAAAGTTAGCGTCACGTTTTTGTAACAACTGCGCAATTTTTGAATCAATAAAATCAATATTATTATTTATTGTGTGACATCTCGAGTTAACGTGTTTTTGCTCATTGACTGTCATTTCGATTTCGAAACCTTTGTCAAAAATAAACAATGAGACGCATCACAAAAGAATTAGAAATTCTTAGTATACACATAATAGCTATTCAAATGGCCTGCGAAAAACAAAGTTATCGGCAATTCATTTCATTTTCAGAAATCTGAAAAATTAAATAGTTTTAATGAGTTGGACTGCTTCCACTATGTATCCATAAAATAATGAATGTCAAAAGGCAAGCGAAATATTCGTAAATCCGAAATTACAATTATATTTTGAGTTTGAATCTTTCTATATCCTTGTTGTAACATCAAACAATGCAGTTCAATACGTTATTCAGCATCAATCGCTATAATGTGTTGATTCTTTTGTGGGGAGAATTTATATACATGTCTATGAAATTAGGTATTATGCCTCATGTTTACTTGTAGACATACTATATAATGAACATGTATTTGCATCATAAAATCTTATATTTTAAATTTGTATTAATTCAATATAATTTTTGGGAATTAAGCAAACTCAAACTTTTACTATTTTCCCATGTCAATTATATTCTTCTCTTCTTTCTAAGAAATCTAGAACATTGAAATTTCAACCATTGATAAAGTCCTGGTTTTCATATTATGAGTAGTGTAATGCATTAGTTGGGAAATTGTGGTTATTCCATTGGCCAAACTTCATGTTTTTATTGAATAATTTGAGATTTGAACTGCAGAATCTTATTTTTTCAAATTTTTCCAATTTTATTATATACGAAATGATGCTTTCACAATTGCTCAACCGCAAAATTTACATAAAAACAGTCTCTAATAAAAAATGAATACAGGCGACACTATTAGCCACTATATGCTTGGCCCGCAGCTTGGTCAAGGTGGCTTTGGCAAGATATTTGCTGCACGTGATGTGCGTGATGGAAAAGTTTATGCATTGAAAGCCGAATCTGAATTATCAAATAGAAAATCGCTGGAATTTGAAACTAAAGTTCTCGAAAGAATAAAAACTATTAGATACTTCCCACAGATACGCGAGCATGGTGTTTATCATAACTATCACTGGTTAACTTTAGAATTAATTGGTCCATCTTTATCGGCTATCCTTAAAGAACGAACTGATCACAAATTTTCTCTTTCTACAGCATTGAGAGCATCAATACATGTTCTTAGATCAATAAAAAGTCTTCATGCCTTAGGATTTATTCATAGAGACATAAAACCAGCAAATATCCTTGTTAGAGTTTCCCACGGATTACCCCTTTGCCTAATTGACTTTGGACTCGTTCGTGTTTACAGAGATCAAAAAACTCACGCTCATATTCCACCAAGACAACATACAGGATTCAGAGGAACCAAGACATATGCATCTGTTAATGCGCACGTTCTCTCTGACCTTTCAAGGCGCGATGATCTTATTTCATGGGTGTATTTTACGATTTGCCTCATGGTTGGCGGATTACCATGGCAAGGAGTTAATGACAACTCTGAAGTCATGAGAATGAAGCACGAATTCAACGTCAAAGAGGCTGTCAAAAATGTTTGTCCTGAATTTGTCGAAGTTTGGCCACTTGTCGTTGGTTTGAGGTTCGAAGATGACCCTAACTACGATGCACTCGAAGAAATACTCATCAAGGCATGCGAAACTCGTGGTTACAAAGGTACTGATCCTTATGATTGGGATGAATACGTTCAAAGATACAAAGATACACTCGCTCGTAATTTTGGAATGAAGTTTAATGACGAAGGACTTGATCCCCGTACTTACATGACAGAACTTGGCCTTCCTCCTCCTGCTTTGCTCGGAATTGCCGGAATTAAACAGCCACTGCTTGCTGGGAAGAAGGAATATAGAGAACAAAGTTCAATGCAGCTTAGTGAACTTAATGAAAAAGATGAAATCGGTTGCTGCTGCTGTTAATTTAATAAAATATTGTTAGTTGTTGTTTTTTTATAAAATATTTAATATAGAGAAAGTTTTACAATTGAGGAATATTTGTCTCCAAACGGAATATAAATATTTTGCCAGTTTCGCATGCTTTGATATTGAGATAAATATTTTGCCAGTTTGCAGTTTCCAAAAGTTTATTCAAACCGAATTTTGCATTTGAGGAATATTTTTTTCTCCAAACGGGATATTTACTATCTAATAAATTGAAAATTTGGGAAATTTCGACATTTATAATTTTTGGTTGATGTTCAAGGGAGAAATTAACCAAACTCATTATGACAAACTGATGGAGATTTTTGCAGGATATAGTGATGTCTATAATGCTTTGTACAGGCTGAAAACAAATAACGAAGAAAAATTAAACGAAATTTACAAAAAAATCAAACAAAACCTGATTGACTCTTATCAAATTTCGCCTGGTGAAATTATCGATAAAATATCCGAACTTTCAATTTATAACAACCGCTACATGAAGTCATATTTAGCAATTGTCAAACAAATTGTTGACGAATACCATCCAAATCAGGTCAATAATATCAACATGGTTTTTAATTACCTTTTCTACAAAGAATACGACATAGTATTGAAAAGGATTTGGGAAAAAAGTTATAACGATTTTGAAGATGCTCATTATTCATCTGATATTCACCACCAAAATACAATTCACAGATCTATTATGGACGATGACAAAATGTCATTGATAAATTTTACAGAAAGAGAAGCATTTGATAAAAATCAAAAATTAAAAAGTGTTTTATATCCATTTTCAAAAAGAGGTATTTCGTTACTTGAATTATGTTGTTATCATGGATCTGTTGATTGTTTTAAGTTTTTAAGAACGAAATTTCAATCAGAAATCACTCCAAATTGTCTTAGATATTCGTTTTTGGGTGGAAATCCAGACATTATGAATGAATGCTTAAAAGTACAAAAACCAGATAAGATATGCATGGAATGTGCAATTATATCACACAATATTGATTTTGTCACATTTTTGATGAATGAATACAATATAAAAATTGATTTAGAATTGTGCTATAAATACGATAATCTTCAATCATTTTTAGTTTATTTGGATCAAACAAATGATATCAACACATGTTTTGCTTATTCTCCTAATTTCCATCTTTCATCACTTTTAGAATATTTTATTTCAAATGGTGCAGACATCAATGCTAAGACTAAAGATGGACGGACCCCTCTTCATTATGCAGCCTTGCATAATTACAAAGAAATAGCAAAAATTCTTATTTCAAATGGTGCAGACATCAATGTTAAGGATGAAAATGGAGCAACACATCTTCATTATGCAGCCTTGTATAATTACAAAGAAATAGCAAAAATTCTTATTTCAAATGGTGCAGACATTAATGCTAAGACTGAAAATGGAGCAACACATCTTCATTATGCAGCCTTGTATAATTCCAAAGAAACAGCAGAAATTCTTATTTCAAATGGTGCAGACATCAATGCTAAGACTAAAGATGGAGAGACCTCTCTTCATTATGCAGCCTTGCATAATTACAAAGAAATAGCAGAAATTCTTATTTCAAATGGTGCAGATATCAATGCTAAGACTAAAGATGGAGAGACCTCTCTTCATTATGCAGCCTTTCATAATTCCAAAGAAACAGCAGAAATTCTTATTTCAAATGGTGCAGACATCAATGCTAAGACTAAAGATGGACGGACCCCTCTTCATTATGCAGCCTTGCATAATTACAAAGAAATAGCAAAAATTCTTATTTCAAATGGTGCAGACATCAATGTTAAGGATGAAAATGGAGCAACACATCTTCATTATGCAGCCTTGTATAATTCCAAAGAAACAGCAGAAATTCTTATTTCAAATGGTGCAGACATCAATGCTAAGACTAAAGATGGAGAGACCTCTCTTTATTATGCATCCTTTTATAATTACAAAGAAATGGCAGAAATTCTTAATTCAAACAAGACAAAATAAAGAATTTCCTTATTATTCAATGCAAATAAACTTGATTGGAAAGTTCATTCAACATTACATACACAGTGTAATGGTCATTGAGTTTTTGTTATTCAAAGTAAACTTGATCGGACCATTCCCTCAAACTGTTTCATTCCTTGTAAGGATGTCGCTTGGGGGACAGTTGGAGACCCGACCAAATAATTTTCGAACTCTGGTGGACATGTAAAGTGTCAAATATTTTTGTAAACTGATATAATCATAGGTACCAAAGATTATTATTTATGACTGCTAATATGCATAAATAAAGGGATTTTATATCATTGTACTAAAGGATTAAAAAAAAATTAAAAATATGAAAAATTATGAATAATTATAAGTGAAATACATCTAGGCTCCTAATATTTGATGCACATATATGAGTGTCCAAGGTTTTTAGTTAAAATCGAGAAATGATTTTTGAAAATCTTAGCCTCATCTCCATTTTAATGAGTTAAATTATGTTTTTATCAAAATGTAAATATGAATGTCTAAAAATATGCATATACCAATATGGGGAGTCACTTTTGTCCCCCACCCAGTCCTTGAATGGATTTTTATAAGAAAAAAAGAGCAAACGAAAGAATCCACGTGCATTAATCATCACTGTTGTAAACATAGGTAATGCTTCAAATGATGTTTTACAAAAACTGTTGCATATCATTGTTAGTTATGCTAACGATAATGTTAGAAGAGCTTCAGATATTGATATCTGATTTGTTTTGTTATGTCATCCAAAGGAAGTTCCATCCATGATTAACCTTTTGCCTTAGATCTACCACACACATGTGATGATAGAAGGAGCACTTGCGATTGGCATTTCATGTGATGGAAGAGTCGTAAATTTTACCAAGAATGTCATTATTTCCATGGCGAAGTTCCATAATGCATTGCTTTTATTCAATATTCAATGCTCAATAAATATAAAATAAATTGAAAATTTAGAAATTAGTTTATTAGGTCAAAAAATGAACCATTAAGATCAGAAATGCTAGATTTCATATAAACTCACTGAGCTACATGAACTTTCCGCTTGGTAACTTTATAAATTTTGTAAATATTTAAATTTTGAAAGGAAAAACTATAAATTTTGCTTGGTCGTGAAATAAAATTAACTGGTTCAAATGCTTATTATGTGGAAACATTTTGAAAAAGATAAATTTTAAAAAAAAAATAAAGACGATGCATTACATTGTGGTGACTCTCTTATATTGGCACTTTATTAATGCAATATCGCTTTCTAAAGATTCATTTTCCTTTTGGATTTTTTCAAATTCTGCTAATAAAGCCTTCTTGTCTTCATTTCGTTTCTCAGCAGCGCCTTCAATTGATAAATCTATTCTTGCCGATTCAACTTTGCTTTTATAGCTAATTTTCTCCTTTTCAGGATTGATTTTGTTTTCTGTAGCTTCAATTTGAGCATCTATTTTCTTAATTTGGATTTCTAGTAAGCTGTTTTCGTAGTTTAGATTTCTATTTGATTCGCGCAGCTTTGCAAGCTTCTCTTTGAGTTCAATAATCTCTGACATTTTCGATAATTAAACGCCAATTTTGGATAAATAAAAACTATATGCATATGCTATTTGATATATGTTATCAATAAAGGTCTAACGAAATTTTGTTTACAGTTGTAAGAAAAAAAAACATTTTGGTAAAACTAGAATAGTAATTTGCATGCATGAAAAACGATCATATTTAATCAACGAAAAATTGTGATAAGGCTCGGGCGGTTATGAATAATGAAAAAAATAATCGTCTTTCGACGAAAAATGAAAATAATCGTCAAAATCACGACGATAGAGCTTGAAACGCAGGAAAATCAATTATAGAGTTAAATTTTTTGCAATATTCCTTTAGGAACAATTAAAGTATTGGATGGGTAATTCATTCATATAGTCAAAGTACTATCTTGTGTTTTTTTGTTATATTAAATAAAAGATTTAATATGATATCCTAGTATTTGGACATAAATAAGTAATGTGCAAGATAGTTTCATATGTGGACAATATGTTTATAACTGTGTTATTGTGTGAAAATGTATCAACAATTCCAATTGATTTGTAAAAAAATTAAACAGCGTGTTTTTTGTGCCAATCTATATTCTTTGTTTTTAGCAGATATAGGAACTATCAAATTCAATGTGAAATTGTGATAATGCCATGAAATACAATAATTTGATATCAAATGAATAAAATATCTATTTTTAAAGGCGCACTTATCATTTCCATGATGTGAAATATCATTTATTGATATTTATGTGCTATATTCACATAAGATTAAAAATTTGTAAAAAATTTCATAGCAATTCATTAAAATATTATTACCATTTGCATTTATAAATGATATAATAAGTAATGGTTTCATCAAATATAGAAATAAAAAGACATTTAATCAGAAAATTTAAATATTGAGAAAAGAATAAATAAAATGTATCTGAAACATGTTTCTTTCTTGTGGTGGTTCTATTTACCATATATATGTTGAATTCTGAAGCTAATAGATTTAATATTTTAACAATTTATCCGAATATGGTTAATATAAAAGTACATTTCATCAATTAAGTAAGAATTTTGATATAAAAGAACTATTTTGGTCTGAATTGACATTAAAATTGGTAGTCATTTGAAATACTCCCAAAATTGTGCAGAATATCTGATTAATTCATTAGAGAATACAGTTACTTATCAATTTGTCATTAGTTTGGCTAGTTGTTATCTCTTAAATACTATTTTTATCAAATTTTATTTCGAAATTTAATCAGTTTCTAATTAATTTCGGGAGTATATGTATTAACATTAAAAAATAATTCTAATCAACGTTCTATAAAATTCCAAAATAAATTCGAAAATTCAATTTTGAAGAATTTTTTGTTGATTTTTTAATTGTTATTTTATTTTTTGAAAAAATTTTGGAAAATTATCATCGCCATTTTCATTATATAACACATAGAATTCTCTTTTTATGCCGATTTATCACCGTTTCTCTTATTTTTAGATAAAAAGAAAATATTATGCAATATTCTCTACACTTTTATGAAAATAGCAAATATCACTGATAGATTTTGCTTTTACATCATCAACAAATACTGATTTTATTCATATTTATCCATTATATCTCGTTTCAGGTTTCTAACGTATTCATTGATTTCCAAAGACGGGGATATATGCATTAAATATTAATGCAATGCAAAATATATTCAATGCCCACTCTTGGTTAATCCATTGTAATACATATCTCTGACTTAGAAACGATTTTTTTTAAATTAAGCATACAAACTCATAAATCATCCGCCACATAATTACAAACTTAATGAAGCGCGAATGCTACACTTAAAATCCAACCATTACGATAATTTAAATAATATATTTTCGAAAATCGAATTTTTCACGAAATTAGTTATACAAAAATGCTTAAAACTCAGATCTACAAGCATAACTCGCATGTGAAGGCTTTTTCACAAATCGTATATTTGATTTAAAATTATTCTAAATCTCAAGCAATTTAATACTCAGCTTATACTGGAGAATCATTTCCACAATCACTTACTTTAAAAAATGTGACTTACACAAATTTTGATTATGAATTTCGTCGAAAACATACTTACATCAATGACATATGTCGTCACCATGGGGAAGAAATATCCTCCTTATACTTTCTTAACTTTTTATGAATAAAAATTTATTTATATTTTTGATTTCATTTTTCAACCTTTTTTTCATAACAATATATTTATCTTTCATATGTAGTTTAAGATTATGATGCTCGCATTCTATTTACACTTCTTCTTAATGAAATTTATTTGAAAAATAGATATCTTACTATATTATTGGATTTTCTGATATAGAAATACAACTTATAGAATGAGTTTTGTAAGATTCCAAACAATAATAGATCTATCACATATATCTCATAATTATGATTTTATATAAGAAATATATCTAGGATGAGGTATATATTCATTCCTTGTAAAAACCAATATTTGGGAATCTCACCCTCTATCGTCGTGATTTTGACGATTATTTTCATTTTTCGTCGTAAGACGATTATTTTTTTCATTATTCATAACTGCCCGATAAGGCTCCATTGAAAATAAAATTGAAAGTGTTATTGTATTTTTTTTTAGGAACCTGAATGGAGGATCCATTTGAGAGGATCTCTCTATTCAGCTATGATAGCAATCTTATATATAGTTTCAAATGGAAGATCCTATTATTAGGTTCTATTCTTAAATCTACAACAACTAACAAATGGTTACGAATTATTGGAACTATTTCAATTGTATTCAACGTTATTTCATATTCGATACCTGCGATGTACTTCATTTCATCATATACATCAATTTCTTATAAACTTCCAAATAATCCTCTTGATATCTTCGAAAGTGGAACATTTTTAACATTTTTAACGAAGTCCATCTTTACTAATACATCAATTTTAGTGTTCTGCTTCGTTTTTTACTTAATTAATGATGTTGTAATTTTGCAAGCCTTCAATCATCCCGAAATAGTCAAAAAGATTAACTATCTAACGACTCCAAACTTCCATTCAATTCTCATGCCATGGAACGCTGCAATAGTCGTTCATTGTGTAAAAATTATTCTAAATCCACCAGAGAATGCTCTTCCGCATATCTTCTTATGCATTGCTACATTTGTTGCATTCATTCCGTATCTGATTTTCCAGTTCCTTTTAGTGGTTATCTTTGGTTCAACAATTATTTTACCAAATCCTCAGTATACTCAATGGTTTGACAGTGGATCTTTGAAGCTTGTCCTCTACTACTGGTTTGTTGCTGTTGGATTTTACTCTCTTCCGAGATTAACACATACGATACAAACAATAATACTTTGTATCATTTGTTTGGCCAGTGTATACTTTGTGATATTCCAATTGAAATCATTACCCGCTATCGCTAAACTCGGAAAAGAATTTGGTATCATGAAAGTTTTATTAAACCTAGTTTTAGCCATTACATGCTTAATTGCCATCAATGGATATCTTTCACATGCTGTTACGCTCGCTGGATTGATGCCAATTGGTTTAGTTTTGTTATTTATTGTTTCATATTTCTTATCTTACTTCAGAATGAAGTTTTACATTGGTATTATTGAATCCTTAGAAGCAGTACATTCACCAACCTTCGAATATTTCGAATCCATTCTGAAACACATAAGAACTGAGTTTGATTTCAGAATTCTCATAAAATTAGGCATCAGTTTCAACTCCTCCTTATTCTTCAAGCAAGAATTCCTTGGTTATGTCATGTCCAGATTCCCAAATAGCGAATGGATGTTGAGATATGCAATTTATTTGTATTCAAACGTCTGGGGTGTTGATAATACCACATACAAATACTTCTTGCACCTTCTTTCAGTCGAGAAGCTCGAATTCTCCACTCAGTTGATGCTTTTTGAGGCTGTTTATTGTTATATGCAGACATCTGAAGAAAGTTCACCGTTAATCAAAAACGATATGAAACAATGCATTGAAATAATCTCACAATTTGGTTTGGCCACGAAAATTCTATGGTCTCATGCTCCGAAATCTTCAGATACTTTATACAACGACTTAAAGAGCGTAAATGAAGTTTTGCAGCTTGCATCGACCCATATTAAGAAGATGTCTGCATTGTACCAGTTCAATCATAACGTTTACTTCGCAAAAAGCATTTATTACGCAGATCTCAAAAAGAATTTCAGGAAAGCGAATGATGCTTACAACGAAGGACTCCAGTTATTCAACGAGAAGCAGAAGTACGTCACGACCACCCTCAATTCTAATCAGAGACCCTACTTTTCCGCTCCAATTAACAAAGATTTGATAATGAAGCAGCAGCCGTCATCAAATGTCCTGACATTTTTGTCCGTTAGAGACCACAGCGGTGATCTGGTCAAGCGAAAACCGAATATTGACTTCAAATCACCTTATATGAACTTATATGCCAATATTTGTACAGCGGAAAGGAACCAGCTATTGCCAAATACGCCGCTCATCACGAATTGGTTCCAATTATTCAGGTTTTTCCAGGTAATTTGTGTAATTGCTTTCATGACATTTTTGATTTTCGACCATACGATGTTCAAAAAGTCATGGGTCCTTGCAGATGAGTACAGATTGGCCTACGAATGCATTTACAAGTTCCGAATCTTTATAGATGCCACTGAAAAGTTGACATATAATTATATTGTCCTTCAACAAGCGAAAAGTGATGGAAATTATCGAATATGTCCATTCATTATCGAACACTTTAGGCTTGTCCAGAAGAATTTCACTCGTATCATCGGTGTTGTCGATAAATTAAAAGATTTTGTCAACATTTCGGACGTAGAAGGCAACGGTAGACATTTATGTCCTGCTACCAAAAATTCAGACAGCTCATACATTCTGCTTTCACTAACTATAATAACTCCTACGTATATCCTACCGAACAATTAATAGAATTAAGAACTAATTTAATAAATTTGTCGATGATAATCTTTTATAGGATACAAAATAGAATCTCCAAAGGAACATTTGAGGTATTCCTGGTACATGTTCACCATCAAAAAGTGCTTTTTACGTCAGTTGTTTTAATTTCTTTGTTGCTCTTCTCGGCAATGAGATGGATCTTCAATAAACTGAAGAATGATATGTTCCTTGTCTTCTCTACCCTACAATATCCTGTTAGAAAGATGCTTGAAAAACAATATGATACGATATTGTCTTCGAAAGATCCGGCTTTGGCTCCTCCGAAACCACAATCTGTTTTTATGCTCTTCTTCTCCCTGAACTTGGCCTTAGGTTTCGTTTTAATCCCGATTATTCTTGGTATACGAAGATTAGTAATAGCGAACAGTTTAATAACACCACAGAAGCTTCCTGAGAGCCCACTGAACATCACTATCCCATTTATGGCCTATTACGAGCATATTTTACTTGAATCAAGATTATGTAACAATATGATGGATAAATGTCCTCATGAACATGATGTTCGTTGCGTACACCACTTCTTCCAACGTGCAGAACCTCAAGATATGGTTCCTATCGTTGGAGAAATTTCGGATGATTCTTGGAGCAGAATTTTGATGCTTCTTATGTCACATGCTGCTGCATTTGCCTTTTTTGTGTTCATGACGAAGCTCAAGAAGCTAATGAGGACGTTTTGGGAATCATCTCATTTATTATTCGCAATTCCTGTTCATATTGGTCGTTCAAACTACATATTCACCAAGCTTATTACAGGTGATAAGATAGATTCGAGCGACTTCACAGAATATGTTCGAGAATTGTGGAATGATACGGCTTCCTACGATTTATTCGGAGTATTGAGGTTCAACCAATCAGGAGAGATCACAGAGAACGTTGGCTGCGCTGTCAAAATACTCGGAAAACTTCCAAAGAACGTTGATGAGCTCAGAGAAGCATTAATCAGCTGTGGTGTCTCGCCATCAGCACTAGAACACTTCTTTGAGAACAGAACCCCTACAAGTGTCATCTATGGCCGAGGTACTTCACCTTTCATGGCATATTTCTCAACACCCACTGAATTTTTCATGAAAGACGAGTCATCGGATGTCATATCATCAAGAACAGACATCATTAACTCACTCTGCGAGAATTCTAAGATAGAAAGACCTCCATTAGTTGAAAATGCTTTGTTATTATTCTTCAAAGGAGTCACAAAAGCAGATTACGATGGAATTCTTGCCGAATACAAAAAGTCTCTCGATTTCTTGATCCTTGCTGAAGGAAGATTTTCATCATTAGTCTTCACATGCTCAGTTTCATCTCCATCCATTGCTTCTAAGGTATTTGAGTTCGCTAAGAAGTGTAATTTCCAATATCACTCTGGAAGATACGCTCTTACTTACGGTGGCCAAATTAATATTTTGCAACCGAACAGATGATTGAGAAGTCAAGAGTACTAGGTAGACCATTCAGAGATGCCGAATACATCGTTAACTGCATGGAATTAGAAGATCACAAACTTTATGTGCAGAAAGAACTCTTAGATCTCTTTGAATTTGATACTTCTGCATTAATTATGAAAGAGGTGACGATTCGCGAAGATAAAGTTAATGTAGCTGTTTTCTGATTTTCATAATTTCTTTATTTCTAATTATATTTGTTTTTAAAATAAAATATCATTGATCATTAATAAAATATTAAAGTCTTTTCTGTTTATGAGCTCAAAGAAGGAAAGAAAATTGAAATTCAAAATTTGCTTTCAAGGACAAACGTAAAAAAAATAAGCAAACATGAATTGATACAAAAGCCATTTTTATCTCGGGTAAGTTCGTTCAATAAGGTTGTGCAATCAAATTTCACATTCCGATTGTTAAAAAGTCACTTTTACTATTTGCCATGTCAAATCTCAAAGCCTCCTGTATATAATCATGTACTGGATTAAAAGCACAATATAGTATAATGCGAAATTGAAGGACAATAAATTTAAATTGGCTTTACAAATTTTCGTGGATACAAATTTTTGTTGATCCGATTTTTGACAAATCAATTTTTGTTAATACAAAGCTTGTATAAAAAAAATCAAATTCAAACAATCAATTTTTAAGAATTCTTGTGTTAGTAATTCTATGAGCCATATGATCTGTAAGCATCTGATTTTATACCAAACGAGCTCAAAGAATCTGATAATTCTCAAATTTTATGGTTTCATGAAATTTCAATCATTCGTTCTTAAATTCATTACCTATGATAATATATCAGTTGACTATTTAAATTCTGTACAACCTCACAAAACGATGACAAATTTCACTTTTTCATGCTGTTCTTTCTCTTCAGCCCGATTTCAAGTTATCAAGTCAAGGAGGATTCTCAGATGTTAAGACTCTGGAATCTTGCAGATGGCAGAGCCCTTGTTTACCAGACAGTTTCCAGGAGATGCATTGAAGGTCCATGCCCAAAGGACGCTCTCAAGCCAGACTATTATGCTTATGTTTTTGATGGCGCTAAGAAGTTACTATTTGTTAGTACATCTGGTAAACTCAAACTTCAGGATGGAAGAATTGCTTCTGTTGGAACTGACGGATATTTAAGAATTATTGACAGCAGTTCTATTGCTTACACAGAAACACATTATGTAACCAAATATTAATTAATTTATTCTAAAAAATTTTTATTTCCAAACTATTTAAATTTGATTTTTTGCTTATACCAGTTTGCGTAAAACTACATTCTTGTGTTATATGTACAATACGATCATGATCTTCCATGGACGCATAATTTTGAAGATCAAACACATGATATTCATACATAATATAAAACCCATATATTATATCAAACCTCAGCGATTTATTTTCCTTCTGATTTTTGGTGTTTGGCAATTATTAGCAAATTCTAAATTCCGAAAATTTGCATTTTATATAAATTAGGTTAATGTATATAAGGGTTTCGTTTTGCTAAAATTGTCACTTTTATAGCATATTTGTTTTTGGATGTTTTGCGAAACCAAAAAAAAACTATGATATACAATGTGTGTGTAAAGAAAATACTTTATTTACTAGTTAAAAAATCATTTGGTATTGATCAAGTTATTTTTTCTGGATAAGATATTATATGGATAATTGGATAGAAAATACAATTATATAATCTTGTACCTGGTTTAATTAAGCTAATTGTCATCAGAAACTTGTAATTTTTATGAATTTCAGATTTTCTTTTCATTACTGCTTTTCTTAATAGGTCAAGTTCTTATTTACGTTATAAAGTATGATATTTACAAATATCAAGTTATCGTGTTTTTTGAGAAATTATGAGAAACAAACAAAAATGAAAAAGATAGGAATAGCAATGAATAGTGATGTGGGTATAGAAAATGTAAGAGATATGAATGCAAAGCAATCAGTATTTAGGATATTGACCATAGATTTCGAAAAAAAAATGCTGCATATTGAGCGAAAACTATGATTATATTATAAGGCTGTCATTTAAAGCATAATGAAACTATTCCCTTTTCATTTTAATCGAATAAGATAGTAAAGATTTTTGAATTAGCTAGAAACTGATGAGATGTTTTCACAAATCAGATTTTTAATCTCTATAATGCATAATTCACTCAATATCTCAATTTTGATATTGCGAGATATTTTTGCTATCGGTTTCGCAATTTTGACACAATAGCAAGAGGGTTCTATAAGCATTATTATCAACGTAGAATCTGAATATCATATCAGAAAATGTCGCAAATCTGACATTTACCCGACCAAATAGCAAAAATAATTGAATACTTTTCGCAAAAACTTTAAAAATCGATAAAAATATGAAATATAGATATTAAAGAGACTTTTTATATAATATTCATAAAGATTTTCCAAAAATATGATACCGCAAAATTAAAAAAGTGACGTCTTGAGTGGAGTCAAAGGTCGAAATTGCTAGCTAAATGTTTTTTTAGCGAAATTGCGTATTGTACGTTTTTTTCGCAAAACGAAACCCTTAATGTATACATTGATATTGTATATCCTCAACATAAATATGAGCTTCTCAATTGACAATAATTTTTGAGAAAGTCTGTGAGGAATTAAAAAAAATAGCTATAGAAGAATGATGTGAAAGTGTGTGTAAGGGTGCAATTATGCCCATCCGACTTTAGTTCAAATTTCTCGAAATTGGCATGGGGTGATTGAAAAAAAAACCTTATGAAATCAGAGCATTAGTTTACAAAAAAATAACGTTATTTACACCCTGAGTCTTCTTCAAGAGATCTTTTTTAGATTTTGAAACAATAAAAAGATCGAGTATGATCAATGTATGCTATATTTAAGTTTATTCATAAAAATATCAATTCTATCATAGAGAAAAAGTATATATAAGTGCAAAAAAATTGAATAGTTGTAAACTAAGGCAGTGAGATCTTAAGGGTTCCGACCGACCACCTATCTCCTCTCAAAAATTTCAACTTTGGAAGGTCATATCTTGGCGAATACGAGGTTTCAATCCGAATCCCAGGTACATCATTCCTCCTTATAATATATAGTATTTAAAAATGCCTCTAAGTGAAGTCTTTATCGATGACTCTTTTTCAACCCTCCTTTTTTCGAATTTTTTCGATTTTTTTCACCCTCTCCATTTGAGTGAGAAAAATCATGAATATTCAACCGATGTTTTTAAGATTTTAATGGGATAATCTATGACCTATATATATGCATATATTGATGTCAAATTCGAAAATAAAAATTTTTGACACGTAAAATTCGTCGATTTTGCGTGTCAGAATGAAGTGAAACGTGACAAAGAAGTAGGCAGACTAAAGAACGAATTAGCTTATAATTTTATTATAAACAGTATTATTAATTATCAGAGATTATGAATCTATTTATCATTTTTTCACAAAGCAAAAATAAGATTTTCAGATCTTCAAATTCAAAAGATTATACTTGATGCTAGCAAAGTAGTTTTTGTGGTGCCGAAATAGAAATGTTTGTAGAGCCAGAGTGGTAATATTTAATAACTTTATGAGATAATTCATAATTCATGCTAAAAATGTTTTGAAACTATTTTAGCAACTTGTCAAAGAAATACCATTAGGTTTTTAAGGGAGAATACGGAGTAAAAATCTATTGTTTGCGAGAGAGTTAATTGAAATCAAATAAAAAGTATCAATAAATGGAATTATTGATTAAATTGCTTCCAAGCTGGGATATCTTGCTTGTTTAGTGAGTAATGGATTATATGGAAACCTTCTTGCTTTGGTGTTTTTAGATAGAAATTTTGAAATTTAATCAAAAAATTGTACGTTTATCATCATTATGAAACCAGTAATATTATAGCTTTAATCAACACCTTATGTTCATATTCCAAGCTGTAATTTTGTCAAAACAAGATCTAATATTTTTTTATACTTTTCCAAATAAATGATGGATTTTAGTGCGAAGAAAATCCTTTTATTGCATTTTTGATTGAAATATGCTACTTGCAATGGCTCCTGACGTAATCACACTATAGATATAATTTTATTATCACAATTGTGATGTAGAGTATTATATCTAGAAACGAAATATGCTAAACATTATTGAGTTGGATATTATGGCAGGCTTAATTGGAAATGAGCTAGTTATCTCATTCTTATTTTCATTATTTTTGTATAGGGGCAAGTAAAATGTGGATGTTCATTCAACAACGATATACTTCATTAGGTTTAGATGCATAACATTTATTTGTATTTGCTAGAAAAGCATATTTTAATGTAATCAAATTTAATATCTCGTAATTATTTGATTTTTGAAGCAGAGTTTAACTGCAATTATTTTATACACTTTGTCCTGATTTCATTTCCGTAGAGTCGAAAAAATCGAATTTTTTAGGTGCAACTCGAGGCATTTTACCAAGTACTTTTAATAAGGAAAAATGAAGAAATGATGGTAAAAAATGCTTTCTTTAAGGCAATATGGTGACTTTGAGATTCACCTACCATATATGTATATCTTTATATGAAGGATTACTATCATATTGTGTATGGTAGCAAAGAAAGATATCTATCATGTGAGCCAACAAGATGCTATGAAGTTGATGAAAATTGAGAGGAGATAGGTGGTCGGTCGGAACCCTTAAAGACCAAAATTGAAGACCATGTCATTAGAACATTTACAAAGTTTAAAAATATTCAGTTTTTCCTATAAATTGGGAAAATTGATAACTTTTCATTTTTGGGAAATTTAATATTTTTGATACCGATTCGAAACCCATGATGCTCTTTTTTATTATTCAACTAATTGAAACGGACCAAGCCCTAAGTACTTCACTTATGAATAAGTACAAGGCATACATTGATACATGGGATTCAATATACCAAATAAATTCAAATGAAATAAACTCAACAACAGGATTATATAATGAAATCAAGGACAATTTGATAGATACTGGATATTTTAAACCACAAGAGATAATCCATTTGATACGGCAAATTGGCTTTGTAAGGCTACATTATCGTCATGGATATTTAGAGTTAATTAAAAGAATTTATGAAGAATATCATTGTGAAAGTGATTATGATATCCAAGTTCTTGCATAATCAGATAGTGTCGTTGCTGTTAACCTTCTTGAAATTCTTATAAAAGATGATGATAAAAAATTATTGAATTTCTTGAATAATAATAGAGAATACAAGCTCAATGAATTAATTATAGGTTGTTGCGAAAAGGAGCAGTTAATTGTTTCAGGTTATTAAGAGATAACTTTAACGGGAAAGTCTCTAAAGAATGTCGTGATGCTTCATTTAGAATAGACAATCAATATCTCATTGAATTATGTTTGAGAGAACAAAAACGAGATATAAAAATTGCTCACATTTGCTCACATTTTGGCACTTTTTTGTACGTTTGTCAAAAAATTGTGAGGAAGATCTCACAAAAATAGTCAAAATGTGAGCAAATTTTGAGAAGTGCTCACATTTTGACATACGATTATTTTCATACGTTTTTTTGATGAATTCTAATAAAACTTCATTATCACTTTCAGAACGAAGCGTAACTTTTCAGCACGTAACGCTCTATCATGTGTAGTGACATATTATTCAAAAAAACTCAGATTGCTTATCTTATAATAACAATTTCATTAGAAAAAATGCACGATTTCACGCTAAAACTTTGAAGCAATTCTTAAATTCGGATAAAAAATCGATATGTATTACACTTTAAACTTCAAAAAATGGTTCAAAATTTAGACTTAGTTTATCTTAACAATATAGCAGATTTTAAGCCGAACAAGTAGGAGTAATAGAAATAGCTCTTGAAAATAATTACAATTAGTAATATGTAAGTCAAAGTTCGAGTATTCTAATAAATAAACGTTCCGGATTTTCTTTACTACAAGAATCAATACTTAATATATAGAAGCAACAGTAAAAACTTATTAGAGATTCAAAAAGAAAGTTGACTAAAGAGAATCTTTTTATATAAGTAATTTTATTTTTTTGAAATACGAGATCGAATAAACATGTATTTTATTTTATTACTATAATAATACGTTTTTACATAGTAAGAAAGTTTAGAGACTGAAATGAAATTAAAAATTGAGAAAAAAATAAAGCTTTTCTATAAAAATTCATATTAATATATAGTATAATGATATTACAATTTATTGATAGTTGTGTTAGAAAAAAGGTACATTCACTATTTTTGACAAAATTTTAAATTTTCATGGGGTTGTAAATCTTATAATAACTAGATGAATAAGGAATAAATCCCAGTATGATGTGCATCATTATATTAAACACTATATGTAAGGCTGGTGATTCTATTAACACTTATGAAGATCTATAGTATTTGAGCAGATAAATTTGATAATTTCCAAAACTCTTATATTTCAAAATTAAAGTGTGCGAATGCATTTAAATGAGAGCAAAAAGAGATTGATGCTGTTAAAACTAGGTGTTAATTTGCAATTATTTCGCATCACAAGAACTACCCAGTAAATTCGGCTATCTTTCTTTGCAATTATTTTCTATTTTACATATATTATAATGGTTAGGGTTTGAAGAAAAGTTACTAGAGAATTATTGACTTTTGAAATAATGCAGAATTTTACTTGAAGAAATCATTAATTTATGAGTTCCAAATTGCTAAGCATGACGAAGGATCATTAAATTTGCTACAATTAAATACACTTATTGCAGAATTAAGATTTTTGAAATTAAAAGTTTGAAATATTGCCTTTTTGAATAAAAATTTAAATTTTATTATATAATCATGATAATATCTTATAGAAATTAAAAGAAAATATTTTAAACCATTCAAATATTTTGAATGTCTTATCAATTTAAAATATTAAAAGATAGCTTGATTTTATCATCATTAGTTGTTATCAAAGTTTTCTTCTTTTGATGAACAACAGTAAATGATTTGTTAATTACTTGTCTTCCTTTTTCGCAGCAAAATCGAAAGTTATGATGATAATCTTGCTCTCAATTTTGAAACTCTCTGATTTACAAGTAAGCATTCCTTTGGAAAAGCAGTCCTATTCTGTTTTCAAGATATTTTAAAGCCTCAATTTCATACAATGCGCAGATCTATTCGAAATTGCAAGAACTCTCAAGAAAAATGCAGCAGCAAAGAAGATTCCATAGTTTCTAGCATCAAAAATTTACAACCTTAATACAACAGTTAAAGAGAAGCTCGAAAAGAAAATATTTAACCATAAAGCTGGAAACCATTCGATATCTACTATTGGATCTAATAAAAAGTTAATTATAACATATTTAACATGCTATTTGTTGACTTTGTTCCATTATATTACCATATATACCTTTTTGAAATCTAAAATATTTTTACAATTTTAACCATGTGTTGTTGAAACCATATATCAATCTTAGCTAAAGTATAGTTTATGAGTCTGTCACCATCTAACGTATGAATTTTCAAAAATGTCAAATATGTTCATTTTTTCTGTAGATTCAGCCATAATTTCACGTTGTTATACTATTCAACTATTATTTAATATTTTTATCGATTTAAATATATGATGAGATGCTTAGTTCTCCTGGAAATCGATTTTTAATCGCAATTTTAACTTTCCAAAAAAAAAATAAAAATATCCCTCTCAATTTTCTAAGTTTTATAACTCGCCAAATCTCTAGCCAAATTTTTTTGGCCCGTATAAATATTGTTTGGCACTATATAGGGATGCTATTTATCATATTTTCATCCCATTTTACTGTTATCACCTAGTGAATGTACCTTTGTTAGAAAAAATATACAACTAAAATGTCAGTTTTAAAAAATTTAAAAATTATATTAAAACAATAGTCATTGAGGATGGTTAATTGCAAAAACTCAAGAAACTATCATTATCTCTCTTTGCTTAACACATCTACAACTGGAAACATCATTCCAAATGAAGTTCCTCAGTCTCGTCAAAATTTCTCTCTCATCTACAACAAGCTTAACTCAAAACTCAAGAAACTATCATTATCTCTCTTTGCTTAACACATCTACAACTGGAAACATCATTCCAAATGTTGCATTCAAGAATCCTATTATTATTCTTTCTTTCAATCTTTTATATTTACTCTTTAAATTCTAATATAATATAAATTCTTCATTTCCTTTGTTTAAACTTTTTTCATTTTAATACCATTTTATCAGATAGTAATTTTTGTTTTTCTCTGACCAAAAATCTTCTCAATTTAACTCCACCTTCACAAAAATTCATTGAGTTCTCTCAAAATTCTTGTATTTTTGGTATACTTAAAGTATCATCTTCAAATATTTTTTTGGAGAAAATTGACTTTGCATAATATCGTAATACTTTTTAAGGCAGATAGATTTACCGTAAGTTGAAGAACTTTTAATTTGAACAGAAATTATTCAACAAATATTCTTTTTATTTGATCAAGATACGTATACCAATATGATCTACTTGCTAGGGATATGTAGATCACGTTCAGAATTTGCCAAGTTTGGTGAATATCTATGGGATTAGGGACATCTATTTAATTTAAGAACTAAAAATTAGCATAGGCGTATTATGCTGTTACTGAAATATATTTTGGATGTATAAATTTTTACTTAATACTCTTTTATTGTTATCATTTTTAAAGATTTTTTATTATGAGCAAAAAAATGGCAAGACAATAATATATTGTACATGCAATTTATTATTACTGAATAAATTTATCAATCAAATTTGATCACATACAATTTTTACAGATAAATACATTATCTCAAAAAATATCTATATATTAGTATATGTTACACGAAATGTAATAAAATGTATTACTTTGGTTTATCAATTTATAAATAAGAATGAAAATTTGTTATAGCTTTGTTCCAATATTTATTTTTATATATTTAAGTTATCCATTTTACTGTTTTCATTCATATTTATAACAAAATTAGAGTCCTTACATTATTTATCTTATTTCAATAGTGATAAAAATCAACTATATTTTGTAAGATCTTAAAAAGTGACAAAAATGGAAAACTACATTAAATTTATTTATAAGGATACAAAATTATATGTCATTCCACCAAGAGCGGTTAAAGCATTAACACTTTATTTATATATATCTCACAAGCTAAGTTTACCTCTAAACACATTCGAATTAACAACAAATAACTACATCATACTGGGATTTATTCCTTATTCATCTAGTTATTATAAGATTTACAACCCCATGAAAATTTAAAATTTTGTCAAAAATAGTGAATGTACCTTTTTTCTAACACAACTATCAATAAATTGTAATATCATTATACTATATATTAATATGAATTTTTATAGAAAAGCTTTATTTTTTTCTCAATTTTTAATTTCATTTCAGTCTCTAAACTTTCTTACTATGTAAAAACGTATTATTATAGTAATAAAATAAAATACATGTTTATTCGATCTCGTATTTCAAAAAAATAAAATTACTTATATAAAAAGATTTTCTTTAGTCAACTTTCTTTTTGAATCTCTAATAAGTTTTTACTGTTGCTTCTATATATTAAGTATTGATTCTTGTAGTAAAGAAAATCCGGAACGTTTATTTATTAGAATACTCGAACTTTGACTTACATATTACTAATTGTAATTATTTTCAAGAGCTATTTCTATTACTCCTACTTGTTCGGCTTAAAATCTGCTATATTGTTAAGATAAACTAAGTCTAAATTTTGAACCATTTTTTGAAGTTTAAAGTGTAATACATATCGATTTTTTATCCGAATTTAAGAATTGCTTCAAAGTTTTAGCGTGAAATCGTGCATTTTTTCTAATGAAATTGTTATTATAAGATAAGCAATCTGAGTTTTTTTGAATAATATGTCACTACACATGATAGAGCGTTACGTGCTGAAAAGTTACGCTTCGTTCTGAAAGTGATAATGAAGTTTTATTAGAATTCATCAAAAAAACGTATGAAAATAATCGTATGTCAAAATGTGAGCACTTCTCAAAATTTGCTCACATTTTGACTATTTTTGTGAGATCTTCCTCACAATTTTTTGACAAACGTACAAAAAAGTGCCAAAATGTGAGCAAATGTGAGCAATTTTTATATCTCAATGAATACGGCATAAGGATTACTTTAGATAAATGTGGTGTTCACAAAAATCTTCATGCATTTCTATTATATTTGAAACAAACTAATGATATTGATGGATGTTTTGTATTTTCTCCTGCTTTTCATATTAAATCTCTTTGTGAATATTTTTATTCAGAAGGTGCAAATATTAATTATGTAAATGAAAATACTGAAACAGCACTTCATGTTGCAGCTTTTGAAAAACAAAATGATATTGCAAACTATCTGATTAAGCAAGGAATTGATATTGATAAAGTAAATAAAACATATGGATCTGCATTTAATATTGCAGTAAATACAAACAACACTGAATTGGTAGAATTACTTAATGCGAATGGAGCTTCTATCAATCTCCAAGGAGAAATTGAAGATCTTAGGCCACTTCAAATTGCAGCAATTAAAAACAATATAAAAATTGCTGAAATTCTGATTTCACGAGGTGAGAATGTAAATAGCAGCAAGAACTATCTTGGGTTCACCCCTCTAATTTATGCAGCACTATATAATTATAAAGAAATGGCTGAATTCCTTATTTCACATGGTGCAAATATCAGCTTAACAGACCATAATGGAAATAATGCTATTACATATGCATTAATGTATAATTCTAGAAAAGTCAAGGAAGCAATTCTTGAAGAAAATGTAGGATACATAAAGTTACCTGATGATTATAAAAATTCCTTACTTTCTGGAGATATAAACAATGATATGATTGAATTTCTGATTTCAAATGGTGCAAATGTCAACCAAAGAAACTCTTTTGGAAACACGCCTCTACATGTAGCAGCATTATTTTCTAATAAAGAAAACGCTGAAATATTAATTTCTCATGGCGCTGAAATAAATTCCTTAAATAAAAATGGTCAGACTCCTCTTGATATTGCTGTTATACGTTATCGGAAACAAAATGAAGATTTTCTTAAAAATCATCAAGAAGAAATGAAGCATTTACAAGAAAATAACCAAGATGTTCTTAATTCTTTGCATGAGGAATCTGAAATAGAAGCTCTCTTAAAATCAAATGGTGGAAAAACTAATACAGACAAGGAATTCACTGATGATGCTTATGAATTAATTTTTGAATATATCTACAACGAACCTAATAGTTATACATACATAATTGTTGCAATTCAATTTGTTTTGATAATTATCAACCTTAAATTGAAACGCAAAAAATCGAGAATAACTGATCCTTGCACTTCGGCATTTGTTCGAGCAGTAATAATGACTATAAATGGCATCCTTATCATTTTCTTTTTCCACTTGTGCAAGAGAGTGTTGGAAATAACTGCGAGAACGATGGACTAAAACTTATTTTCTCTGATTTTAAGACTATTTTTCAATTATACTACCTACCATTTATCAATAATTTGAAGTTTATAAATAAGAAAAACACTAATTTAATAAAACTGAATCAAGTGAACATAAGATTTGATGAAAGTTTATAAATAAGAAAAACACTAATTTAATAAAACTGAATCAAGTGAACATAAGATTTGATGAAAGTTTATAAATAAGAAAAACACTAATTTAATAAAACTGAATCAAGTGAACATAAGATTTGATGAAAGTTTATAAATAAGAAAAACACTAATTTAATAAAACTGAATCAAGTGAACATAAGATTTGATGAAAGTTTATAAATAAGAAAAACACTAATTTAATAAAACTGAATCAAGTGAACATAAGATTTGATAAGTTTATAAATAAGAAAAACACTAATTTAATAAAACTGAATCAAGTGAACATAAGATTTGATGAAAGTTTATAAATAAGAAAAACACTAATTTAATAAAACTGAATCAAGTGAACATAAGATTTGATGAAAGTTTATAAATAAGAAAACACTAATTTAATAAAACTGAATCAAGTGAACATAAGATTTGATTAATGTTTATAAATAAGAAAAACACTAATTTAATAAAACTGAATCAAGTGAACATAAGATTTGATTAATGTTTATAAATAAGAAAAACACTAATTTAATAAAACTGAATCAAGTGAACATAAGATTTGATGAAAGTTTATAAATAAGAAAAACACTAATTTAATAAAACTGAATCAAGTGAACATAAGATTTGATGAAAGTTTATAAATAAGAAAAACACTAATTTAATAAAACTGAATCAAGTGAACATAAGATTTGATGAAAGTTTATAAATAAGAAAAACACTAATTTAATAAAACTGAATCAAGTGAACATAAGATTTGATGAAAGTTTATAAATAAGAAAAACACTAATTTAATAAAACTGAATCAAGTGAACATAAGATTTGATGAAAGTTTATAAATAAGAAAAACACTAATTTAATAAAACTGAATCAAGTGAACATAAGATTTGATGAAAGTTTATAAATAAGAAAAACACTAATTTAATAAAACTGAATCAAGTGAACATAAGATTTGATGAAAGTTTATAAATAAGAAAAACACTAATTTAATAAAACTGAATCAAGTGAACATAAGATTTGATTAATGTTTATAAATAAGAAAAACACTAATTTAATAAAACTGAATCAAGTGAACATAAGATTTGATTAATGTTTATAAATAAGAAAAACACTAATTTAATAAAACTGAATCAAGTGAACATAAGATTTGATGAAAGTTTATAAATAAGAAAAACACTAATTTAATAAAACTGAATCAAGTGAACATAAGATTTGATGAAAGTTTATAAATAAGAAAAACACTAATTTAATAAAACTGAATCAAGTGAACATAAGATTTGATTGAAAGTTTATAAATAAGAAAAACACTAATTTAATAAAACTGAATCAAGTGAACATAAGATTTGATTAATGTTTATAAATAAGAAAAACACTAATTTAATAAAACTGAATCAAGTGAACATAAGATTTGATGAAGTTTATAAATAATAAAAAAACACTAATTTAATAAAACTGAATCAAGTGAACATAAGATTTGATAATGTTTATAAATAAGAAAAACACTAATTTAATAAAACTGAATCAAGTGAACATAAGATTTGATAAGTTTATAAATAGAAAAACACTAATTTAATAAAACTGAATCAAGTGAACATAAGATTTGATTAATGTTTATAAATAAGAAAAACACTAATTTAATAAAACTGAATCAAGTGAACATAAGATTTGATGAAAGTTTATAAATAAGAAAAACACTAATTTAATAAAACTGAATCAAGTGAACATAAGATTTGATTAATGTTTATAAATAAGAAAAACACTAATTTAATAAAACTGAATCAAGTGAACATAAGATTTGATGAAAGTTTATAAATAAGAAAAACACTAATTTAATAAAACTGAATCAAGTGAACATAAGATTTGATGAAAGTTTATAAATAAGAAAAACACTAATTTAATAAAACTGAATCAAGTGAACATAAGATTTGATTAATGTTTATAAATAAGAAAAACACTAAATTCTAAAAAAAAATATAAAAACATTAGATTTAATATTATATATATAATTTGATGAAAATTAACATAGTATTCGCAAGTCTTTAATAAACATATAAAGTTAAACAAGGTTAAACTTTGAAGGTTCGAAATTTGTAGAGAGAGCCCTCTTCTTTGTACCTTTTTGAGTGTGATTCTCATGAGGGAGTTCGAGATCATCCGAAGTGAAGCTGCTGCTCTTCAATCTCTTCGCCATATTCATGTTTTGGTCGATCAAATTGTCAACACCTATTGATTGGAAGTCTGAGAGGCTCTTTTCTTCCTCAATGTCATCAAGGTTGAACTTGGAAACGGATGTTTGAGGAGAAGAAGCAACAGAGATGTCGTGAAGAATATCTTGATCGTTTAATGGCGAAAAGTGGTATCTTTCTTCGAACAAATGTGTATCTGTCGAACTCTTGAGCTGAGGTTTGAAAGGTGGCTCGGCTGTTTCTGGGTTAATTCCCTTCAACCACGGATTTTTGAAGATATCGTTGATATCTTTAACGCCGAGACGTGTTTCTGGGTTCGGATCGAGTAACCTCTTGATGAGATCTTTCGCTTCCGGTGACATTTCGTCGTCTGGCTGAAAATCAATTTTATTAAGTAAAATGTTCTTAGTAGTTTCTGTATCTGTATCGGCGTGGAATGGTGGCACGCCCGTAAGGAACTCAAAAAGCATTGCTCCGAGTGACCAGTAGTCGACACCGAAAGAATGAGGTAAATTCATAAGAATTTCAGGGGCCATGTAATCGAGAGTACCAACAATCTCTGGCTCTGCTTCGATATCCTCTGGTTCGTTGGACATTTGGCGGTTTACAATGCCTTGATGGCTCAATCCGAAATCTGTAAGTTTAAGGGTTCCGTTTTTAGTGACAAGAATGTTATCAGGCTTCAAGTCACGATGGATGATACCGTTTTCTCGTAAGTACCTCAGAGCGTGGAGAATTTCTGCGATGTAAATTTTGGAGGAATCCTCGTCGAAGCTTCCCAGGGCTTGGAGTAGTGAGTAGAGATCTCCTCCTGGTACGAATTCCGTAACGAGATAAAGGTTTCGTTCGCCAAGAATCGAATAGTAAAAAGTAACAATGTAAGGGTTCGTAAAATTCTTGAGAATGTCCTTTTCTGTCATAATTCTGCTTGTTTGGTTTTTCTGAATAACCGTTGTTCGAGGAATGACTTTTATGGCAAAAATGTCACCGGTAAGCTTCTTTTTTGCAATGAAAACAGTAGCGAAGGCGCCGCTAGAAATTCGCCTGATAAATTCGAAATCAGCGATCGTAACATTTTGGAAAGTAATTGGTTTTGGATTTTTGCTAATTCTGGTATCGCTTAGACCAGCGCTTGCTGTACTCATAGCTTTGCAGATGCGTATGCATTCGCGGATTGCGTTGATACATTTATTTAAAATTGGTCGGATTTTGTCACCGCTTTGGAGATATTTGAGAACAACATGGAGGAGCTCTAGTGTTTCGCGAGCGTCAGGCTGTGAGAAATCCAGGTGCTTGACATGTTGTAAAATGAGGGACATATGAAGAAGTGGAAAATGATAAGAAACCATGATATCCTGGCTTTGCGGCCAATTGACCTTGAGTTCCTTATTAACAATATCATTATATATTTGGTCTATCGTGGCAAGGATTTGAGCTTTGCACTTATGGCTCATATATCCTTGGATACAGAACTTTGTATGGGTTTCTATTTTATCTATAGGGATTTTCTCTTCACAAATACGGCAGATAAACATGTTTTGATCGTCCTCAGGGATTAAAATCGAACCATCTGGTTTCGTTGGTGAATTAATTTGGAATTGTTGCTCTTTTACTTTTTCATATTCATTATCAGAGCGAGTTCTGGCATCAAGCATGGTTGAGATTTGGCGTATCGATAAAGCGGATTTAAGTAATAAAGAAGAACATCTGTCGACTCGTTCAGTTAAATTCTTAGTGGATATGATGGATCTGACTGAAACGATTACTTCATTAGCGGTATCTAATAAATGTCCGAATTTGCACTCCTGAAGATTTTTAATTGATTTCTTCAGATTTTTAAGCTGGGCTTTTTCTGTCATCGACATGGAGCCCCCAAGTGAATCTATGTGTTGCAATAGGGAGCTTAAAAATGTTGACTGGGATCGCAAAATGAAAAAAGGTCTGATGTATTTAAAGCCTTCCTGGAGATTTCGTCCTTGTGCCATCATGTCTGTTCGAACTCCAATAAGCGTGGTTTGGAAAAGTTTCTTGGCTGGAGGGCCTTTTTGCGCCGTATTTATCATTGAGAATTAATTTATTTCTACAGCCACAATAAAAAAAAATTTAAAAACGTGCATAAGCTTGATAAATGTATTCTAGAGATATCAGACGATTAATGGGTATTTCTTAAATGTCCAAACAGCCTATTGAAAAGTATCCTTGAAAATTTGTGGGTTACTATCATTTATTTTGAATGCGTTACAAACAATGCCAAAGAAAAATGGTTGTTAAGCACTGCCTAAAAATCAAGAATATCAAAAAATAAATATTTGTAAACATGAATGGGAATATACAATAGAAACATTTCAGAATAATTTTTTTTGGCTAAAAATTACGATCGGGTTTTTTTGTGCATAATGATGTGTATGAGTACTTGATCATATGTAATTGCTAACTATTAATGAATGGTCGAGAAATTATTCAATTCCAATGCCGAAGATCTGATTGGATTCAGTATTAAGAAAATGTGCATGTAGGTTCTCAAGAAAGTGTTAATATAACATTAGTGCTTATCATCATATCATTTATTTATATTTTTCAATGAGAAATTAATTACAAACTTTGATTTAAGTGTTATACATAATGTAGAATAGTGTATTTATTGCAATAAGTAAATATGGCTATTGTGAAGCAATTATTCACATTTTACGACTAAGGATCATCAATAATCTTCCAAAAATCGGAAACATATCCACCAATAAGTTCTCTAGTTAGATCGTTTCTCTTTCTAATCTGATCCTTCTCAATTCACATAGCAAATTAGAATGAAATGAAATTTTGCATTCAATAGCTTTGATAGACTGGTTTTGTTAAGAAATGATTCCACTTCCTACATTTGTAACGATTTCCATATATATATATGCATTTATTGATTCCAAGATGAAATAAGAATAGAAAACAAACTATTCAATCATTCATTCTTATTGAATAACATTGTCCTCCATATTCAATATATGATAGCTCAAGAATAGATTTTGATTTAAAAAAAAAATTAGGAATGTAATGTGAAAAATAAGAAATACGTATGGTTAATAGTGAATTTGAAGAGAATAATCTATATTATATGATTGGATTTTAATATAATAAGAAATTGATAAGTGGGATACGAATCAGTTGAATTATTTGTGTGAGCAATAAAAGTATCATGCTAGTTCAATAATATATAAGTTAAATTTAAATATCTTAGTTCTTATATTTCACTGCAATCTTCAAAGGATACTCAGCAATATTCATTTAAATGCTCATTCGCTCGCATTTATAATGTGATGGAGGTACATGTTTAAATGTAATCAGCTGGTTAATCATATCTATTAAGGATATAATTTTTTTGAAAAGAGTTGAATTATATTCGAATGAACCTTATAGTATATAACAAAAATAAAATTAGAGATCAGCTACGCAAATTAAATAAGTCAGTCTTAAAAGAAGAAATTGGAGAGAAATTGCACTAATGAAAGAATTGGATTAATGAAAGAAGGAAAACATACCGAATAAAAGTCAATCGCATGCATTTCTGCTTATATCACAATTTTGGATATTGTGTTTATGCAAAATGGTTGATTTGACACTTTTCATATCTCTAATGATTCTGAAAATTAATACTTGCGAATTAGTTAATGGCATGTCCTAATTAATAATATGTGTATAAATTTCACTTTGAAGAAAAAAACTGCGACATTTTGTTTGTTAACCACTTTTGAGAACCTCGAAACGAAAATGCGATTACACTCTTAATAGAATGCTTCTGGTTGGAATTGTTATAAGTGATTCAAAAAGTGCTAAAAGTCATTGAATTTGATTATATTACTTAGCATGATATGATAAGCATAATATTCCTATAAGATTTTCAAAGGAATTGAGAAAACTCATTGAAATAATTAAAAATGTTTTATTGATGGAAAATACTTGATTTAAAATTCTATAACAAATGCCTAAGGATGTCAATTCGGAAAATTGTTTTCATTTTAGGAGAATATAATTTTCCTTTTGGAAAATCTAAAAAGTGAGACGCGCAGGATTCGAACTTTTTTAAAAGTTGATTTAAATATATTCTAGTGTGATTTCTAAGGATAATATCATATTTAAAATAAGAATATACTAGTTTGGGTGGTATAATTTTTTCGATAAATTTGAGAATATGTACGTTTAGGGCATCAAAAGTGTCAATTCGCTCAGCGAAAGCTGAGCTAGCTTTCGTTTTCGAAAAAATAGGGAAGGAGTGAAAGAGAGTGATACAGATGTTGACACATTCATATCATTTCAACAAATTTTGATCAAATTGAAATGCAATGAAATTCATTCACTTCATATCCTTCAGTCAGTACATTGACATCCTTCTACATCACAATGATAACTCGTACATCAATAGTTCTACAACTAACTCAGAAAAAAACAAGATTTTTCCTTCCAGCTTACAGCTTTTAAAAAATTTTCGATGATAAAAAATCACTCTACTCTTGTTTATCGATATGTTGTGATAGTAGGTAAACGTATTCTTATCGATATTAATAAAATATTTTTACGAAAATCTGAACCAATTACAGAGTTATTCATAAAGTTTATGAATAACTGTAATTACTTCATCTTTGTTTTATATTTGAATAAACAATTTAATTTAATTTGCATAATTTTTTTTAGTTGAAAAACAGGAAAACTTATTTGAGTTTGTATTTTTTTATCGTTCAATTCATTGTATCAGTGAGTGATCCAGATATTTAAGATATTTAGAAAAAATTTTTAATTTGATTAACAAATTTTAATCAAAATAGCAAAATCTATTTGATAGCTGTAAGCAAACAATAACTTTTATTTCAAGCAAAATCACTTATTTTCATCTAAACGTATAAAATTGTCAATTTTATGAGAATAAATTTAAAATCTCATGAAATATAAAGAAGAGTAATATTTTTCAATTTTCTTTTTTTTCTTTGTCTCAAATATTTTTGTTGGGAATTTTCTTGTTATCAAAAAATAATTTTAATATTTGTTTATTTCATTACATACAATAAAATTTTAAAAACTCTATTTGTTCACAAGAAAATTTTTTCCCTTCATATGAAGAAACATTTTGTTCTCCATTTGATGCTGAGTCTAAATCTCAATTTTTGATTTTTCTTCTTTCCAAATTTCTTTTTTCCAAATTAGAAGTTTAATTCAAATTTTCAATAGTTTATATATTTTCTCAAACCTTCTTAGATTTTCTTACTTTTTGGGGATTTTCTCTCAAAATATACAAAAATAGTAATATCAATACATGTGTCTAATATACTTTAAAACCATCGTGATAAAATTCAAAAACGAAGAGATCTTCTCTCCAAATTTTTTTCAAAATCAAAAAAATGAGATAAAAAATACGTTTGGAAATTCATTTTTAGCATTTTAGGAATTTTCTCACTTTTCTTCCAAATTGACATCCTTAAAATGCCATATTTTATTTCCAATTTGAAGGAACCGTAAAATGCGCCAAAATGAAAGCACATAACGTTCTTAAATTTCAATCCTTCATTCAATTTTATTATAATGGTCCAACAACAAACATGTTCAAGTAATGATATTCTCAATAATTCAACAACATTTTTTTTCAAAATTGTTTACAAAAAAGGTTTCAACTAAAAAAAAAATAAATTCAAAATGCATCATCCATCAGCACATTATAACCCGGAAGTAATCAATAGTGTTGCTGATGTTGCATTGACATACTTTGGAGATTCTCAGTTTCAAACCCCAGAAATTAGAAGTCTTGTAGCGATGCATTTAAGAAATTACATTGCCGGAGCAATACCGTTTGATTTGCTCGAGAACAACGTTAAGCAAATAATTCCAAATACAGAACCTCTACAACACATCAAATCTATTATCGAAATTGGTCAACAACCGATTCCCGAACAACAAATTACTCAACCTCAAGATGACACCGAATCAAAACGAAAGAAATCACGTCCTTGGTCTCAATATGAAGACGACCGCCTTATAGCAGGTATATTACGTTGTGGATTAGAAAATTGGACTTCGATTTCTCGTTTTGTTGGAAACGGGAGAACCAAGTCACAGTGTTCGCAGCGATGGTTCAGAGGTTTAGATCCAAAAATCTCAAAAATGCAGTGGTCAACAGCTGAAGAAGATCTTCTTATTCATTTGATTTCTATTCATGGAAATAAAGCTTGGACTACAATTTCCTCCCAAATGAAAAACAGGAGTGATGTTCAATGTAGATACAAATACAAACAGCTCGTTAAAGAAAAACGAATTCACAATGGAACCATTTCTGCTATAAATCCGCTAGCACAAGTAGTTTCACCGCCATCCCATAATTCCCCCGCTCAACAGATTTACGTTCATCCTCAATCTTATACGCCAAAATTCGTTCAACCGATGTATTCTATTCCAGTTGTACCTCAAGAAGCCCAAAACTACCAGAACTACCAAAACCAGACCATCTTTATACCACCAATGCAGTCGATTGCCCCTATAAAATCTTCAACTCCTCCACAACAATCAACTCCAATTTTAACACCTCCACAGCCTCAATCGCATATACTAGTACAATCCCCATCTACTCTTCCTACTCTCATGCAGCAATATCCGCATATCGAAAATCCAAGACCTTCATTACCTCATGTACAGCCTTTCTTCGAACATGCTTCACCAATACAGCCATCGCCGCTGCAGCCTGATATACACCTTAAAAAGATTGAGAAAGAATCATTTAACGAAGATCACGCTGACGCTTTACATCACAGTTTCCCTCCAATCGAAGCTCCTGCAATTAACGCGAAGCTTTACTCTGTATATTAATTTAATACTTGTAAAATTATTTGTGTTTTATTTTTTCTCTTTCCAAAAGAAACAAAACGAAAAAAAAATTTTTTTTATTCAATTCTTAAAAATTGTGACGTATTCTATTTAAAATTTGTTTGAATTGAATGGTTTACACGCAAAATTTATTGAAAAATTTAAGATTTTCCAAAAATTTAGCCCGACTGTAAATGATTAGGGATTATCTATATACTCCAAACGAACCATTGGTGGTATCTTTAAGTAACAGTTATAGTAGAAACGATTACAAAAGATATTTGTAATTTCTATTAGAATATTGAATGCAATTAATTCAAATGTAAACTATATTAGAGATACCTTGTTGATACCAGAATTGATTAGAGTACTCATGTTATATGATATGCAATATGAAATAATTACGAAATAATTCATTGCCAATCAAGGAATGAATGCAAGAGAATGTTGACCTAGCTTATGTAACTTAAGATGAACATGTGTAATTGCTTAAATCAAGAGACAACTTAAACAAATTTATCAATAAAACAATCTATTTAATAAAAAACAACATAAAAATACATATATAACATATATTAATTTCCGCGATTGACTTCCTTTTGGTTGATTTTCCTTGGCTGAGGATGAAAAGAGTTAATTGGAGTTGCTCTAACGCATAAATTATCTCCAGCAGGGCGGAATGGCCTTCTTATAGGTGCACGAGCTGTATCTTGTCGTTTCCATTTGCCTTTCCTGTTGTTTTCTCCGTTATCGTTTACTTTAATTCCTTTTCCTGTATTTCTAATCAATCTCTTTGAGTGCGAACCGAGTTGAACAAGTGGTTCATGTACTTGGTTAGCGTCTGTTTGTGGTCTTTGCATTTCATTATAATATTGTAATAAATATTGTTGTTGTGGACCAATAATACTGCCAGCTCTGCACAATCTGATCCATCCTATTGCCTCTCGTGCTGTAAAACCATGATTTTTAATCATGTAGCAGCCTGCAAGAGTTCCCGTTCTTCCAAGACCAGCTTTGCAATGAAGAGCTATTATTTCATCTGTTTCTGCAATTTTTAGAAAATCTTCTAAAATATGTTGCGGTGGAGTGCTTCCATCGAGGAAATATAATTCGGTATGCTTGAATCCTGCTTGTTTAAATTCTTCGCAGTCGTAAAATGGTTTATTAAGTCTAATAACATGTGTGATTCCAAGATTTTTGAATTCTGGGATGACAGTTGCTGGAGTTGCAACTCTAAAACCTCCTGGAAGGATATTCGTCGAATATGGTGATGCAAATGCAAGTAATTTGTTTGGTATGAGCCAGTTCATATCGCCATTTTCGATTGCTTCAATTCTTGCCCAAGTCTCTGGATCGAAGGTATCAATATTAAACCATCCGAGTTCAATTGCGTGTTGAAGACCTCGTAAACAATCTAACACCGATAAATCAAATGTTGACGGAAGAGTTGAAGCATCACGAAAAGGTTTAAGTGTTGATGATATTGGACGTAGTGGTTTAAATGATTCTTCTGCATTCATTTTGCAATGTAGCATTCTAAAACTTGAAATAAAAACAGCTGCATTTGATTTCGCTGATTGGTTAGGTGAAACGTAAAAATGAAGCATCATATTTGACTGGGTCATAAAATTCTCGATCATTTTGGTAAATGAATAAAGTTGGAGTAAAGATGGAGGTCCAAAATCATCAAAAAAACCTCGATATTGAAAATGAGGTTCATTTTCTACGCTGAAATATAACATCTGAGGGGTGCTACGTGGCTCTGACCTCAAAACGGAAAAGAATACTTTGTTTGGAAGAATTGTAATATTTTGGAATGATTTCTGGGAATTCATATTTTTATAAAAAAATTTATCTCCAAAAAAAAATATAAAAAACGTCCATCATTCAATTTTTAAGACTTAATGAGGACATGCTAATATGCATTAGTAGATTATTTTTCTTTAAAATCATCATGAAATTTTCGAATTCTTAAACGGCTATTTTTTATGATGTCCAGGATACCAATGAAAGCATCGCGTATTCCTGTGAAACCAGCCCAATCAGAAAACACTACTAAAACACAAAATCTCACTCAAGTTAGTAAAGTTGGAAAACCAAAAACTGGCAAGAAAAAATCAGAAAATAAGCTTAGCAAGCAAGAAATTGTAACACGAATTCAAGAAATGATGGAAACTATCACAGAAGATAGTTTTAAGCTCGATCCTGCTAAATTAGACTCAAAAACTTACCTGTTAATTCTAAATACAATTTTTTCATGTTTTCCGATAGATCTAAAGCAGGATAAAGTCGATTACATGTTTATCAAAGATTTTCTAGGATATATTGGCTGTCCACATCAAGTTAATAAAACTCACCTTCAAACTATTGGAAACCTTCAGTCATTTGCAGATATTATGGCCCCTTTAGTATGGTTCTACGATTTACTCAAATTATATCAGACTGGTGATGAATTTCCTCAAGATCAAGAAACTAATTACGCAGAAACTAACTTTAATAACTTACTAGCTTTCTACCATGAATTTGAAGAACTTGGCCGTGATGATGATGACGGACCGATTAAAGAGAGGATAGCGCAGACGTTTGAAGAACAATATGATGCTGCAATTAAATCGTGCAAAGATAAAATAGAAGATTACCAAAACCAGATTAGCTTTTCCGAGCAAAAAATGGAACAGATGAATCAGAAAGCTAAAATCATTCATGAAAAGAAAAGTAATATTGACACACTTCAAAAAGAACTTACAAAGCTAATCTCAGAAACAGAAGTATTAGAGAGCCAAAGTAGTGCTATGGACTTGGAAATGACAAAATTGCAAATGGAATTAGAAAGATCTCAAAATAAATATTCTGAAATTGTTAAACAAAGAAATTCTGCAGAAACCAAGGTCCAAGAACTTAATTTTGATGCAAACGAAGTAGAAAAGATTAAGTTCAAGAAAGAAGCCATTATTAAACAAATTCAAACTGAATTAGAAAAACAAAGTGCTACAAAGAAGGATATTATGAATCTTAGAAAAGATCTAGAGGGTGCTCATGAAGCTTATGATAGATTTGCTCCTTACTTCGTTGAAAATATGCCTCCAAATCATACTCTTCCTGATAGTAATGACAAAGAAAATCGTCTTAGTCAAGCAAAGGCTTTAATTAATGCTTTAAAGGCAGAACTAAGTCAAGAAGATCCTCATGAAATAGAAAAACAACTACTCGATGAACAAAGTGATATTGAATCTCAGATTGCTGATCTTGAAAAGCTTCAACGAAGCCTTGAAAAAGAATTTTCAGTTTCAAAACCAAAAAAGAAAGATGAATCTACAGATGTACTTCAGGAGAAACTGAAAAATGTGCTGAACAACCAGAAGAAATTCGAAGTCGAAAGACAGAAAAACATCGCAGATGCAAAAGCGAAGCTGGATGAAGCTGTGGATGCTCTAAATTCTTATAAAGCAGATGCAGAAACTGCTTTTAATCTCATCTTAAGAGAAGTTGAGATGACAATGGGTACTATTTAAAAAATTGTTTTTGTTTTGTTTTGAATATTAAAGATATAATTTTAAATAAAGAAGATAGTTTAATTTCGTAAAAAAAAACGAAAACAAAGAAGTAAATAGACTGCACTTGCATATCATAACACAGTTTCTAGAGTACTTACATTTTGTAATTAAAAAATAATTTTTGGTGAAAGTAAATGAATTTTTGTTAAGTACCAAGACGGACATTGATGATTTTATGACTCTTTCCGTACTGTACACGTCTTATTTTAATAGTAAACATGTAAGTTAAACAGGAAAATCATATGAATGCGTTGAAGATCAATTGTTAAGAAGGTTCATTGATCACATATGCTTTTTTGTTATGTGTTTTGAATGCGAGGCTTTATATTCTTTAGAATAAAGATAAAAATGCTGTGAAACGGGATTTGAGTTTGAATATGTCAATCATAGCTACAAAACAAGCTATTGAGGTCATTTTAAGTCTTGAAATTTTTCCAAAAAAAATTCAAAATCCTGAAAATGAATGGATTTCTAACATTTTTGAAATTGAAAAAATGAATTTCAAATTTTTTTTGAAGTTTTTTTTATTGAAATCAATTTTTTGATATATTTTTCGGGTGAAATGAGCAAAATATATCATGGACTTAGCTTTATTTTAACACTAATTACCATATATCACGTTAAATCAGTGAAATATTGAATAAATTAGTAAACAATAATTTAAAGTGTATAATTATCTAATTCATAGTGCTTAAATGGCTTTATTTCTGAATTTCTAATCTTAATCTCTATTAAAGACTACATTTTTGTGAAAACTGTGTTACATCTAGTATCAATTTAATTGATTTATTCACTGAAGCGGCTGTATATCCATAAGAACAATGATAATTGCAAAAACAGTGATCAAAAAGTCAGTTAAAATTCTCCCAGCAAATGAACTTCATGTTTCAATTCTATAATCTATAAAAAAACAATTTATTCTCTATTACAAAACTAGAAATAAACATTTCAATCAAGTTTTGCCCATTCTGGCATATCTATCGAGAAATCGAACAATTCTGATTTGTAATGAACAGAACGGAGATAGATCTGAAACGTGATCTCTTTATTGACCCACTCTTCTTCGATTTCTTCTGCGAGGAGACCTCTTGATTTTGCTTCTTTGAGGGCAGATTCTTCTTCAGGAGTTAAAGAAGCAGTTGTTCCACCATAAAATACATCATTGGATATAGGAAATCCTATTGATGCAAGATGGACTCTAATTTGATGGGTTCTTCCTGTAATTGGATGACATTTAACTATACTTTCTTTACCATTTGTAGTAACAAGTTCAAATTCTGTCTGAGATGGTTTCCCACCTTCTTTGCATACCATTTTAGCTCGAGATTCGGCAGATTCTATAATAGGTAAATCAACAATTTTCTTTTCTGGTGGAAACTGGCCAAGAACTCTTGCAATGTAAGTTTTTTCGATCTTATTGTTGTTCAGCATTTCTGTAAATCTCTTTGCAGCGCTGTCTGATTTAGCCATAACAATAATTCCAGATGTGACACGATCAAGTCTGTGAACAGGGAAATAACGAGCACCGATCTGTTTTATTAGCGAATTGTAGAAGTATCCGCCTGTGGCATGAATTGGTAATGAAGCTGGTTTGAAAACTGCGATGTAATCTGATGTTTCGCCAATCAAAGTAGGAGAGATATCATATACTGGAGATTCTATTCTTGGTGCCGTATGAATTATCTTGTCATGCTGTTGAATAACATAATCAACAGAAATTGGATTTCCATTTACTTTAATTTTTCCATTCTTTATTCTATCTTCTAATACAGATCTTGGAACATGCTTAAATTCTTCCGAGAAAACGTCAAGAAGCTTTCTATTGTACCATCTACCTTTAGCTGTTGTGGAAAAAGTAAAATCATATGGTTCAAAGAACCGCAGTGGTCCAATGACAATCTTTGGTGGCAACTGCACATTAAATTCTCTCGTTGGTTCCTCGCTAATTTTGTCTGAAAAAACTTCACTCATAAATAAAAGAGGGGGAAGAAATTTTTATTTTTTGTGGTGTCAAATTTCTTTAAATGTTATCAAATTGGTATAATTTGAATGGTCCAATAGGTAGCGGAAAGACAACTATATTTAAAGACATTATTGCACATGCATTGGCAAAAGATATTCCAATTTTTGGCTTTTATCAGCCATTATTAAAAGAAAAAGGAGTTAGAAAGGGATACGATATTGTAGTATTCGGAAATGGCAAAGAAGAAAGATTTCCATTCGTAAGACCTCGTGAAAGAGTGAGAGAAGATGGAATGCTTTGGAAGTTTGATCAAAATGCTCTTTCTAATACCAAAAACTTCTTTGACTCAATGAAATTACCAAGTAAGCGTTCAATCATCATTTTTGACGAATTTGGCCGCTTAGAATCGAAAGGAAAAGGTCAATGGAGTAATTATCAATTCCTTTTGACGAAATTAACCTCAAATGGCATCAAATCATCATCAATTATATCATCACGCAATCAAACTCTTGACAATTTAAGATCATCAATGAAAAGCATCGGATTTGGAAAAGAAACATCACAGATCAACTTACCAGCATCTAAAAACCACATTGATACCTTTATTAAAACTATTTTAGAAGATCCAATGATTTGATATCATTATTTTCTTTCTTTATTAGAAACACTGTGGTAAATCAATCCAACCTTACTGTTCACGGTTTGTTTTCTTGATATTTCATTGGATTTGATTATTTTTAGTCGAAAATTTAGTTTATGATGTAAAAATATACAAAATAGAACTTTTCAATAATAATTCATACCATTGTTTCTTATTTATTTTGCAAATTTCAACCTAAATTTTGAAATTCTTTGAAATTATCGATGTAAAGAAATTCACCATAGAAAAAACACAATAACACAATATGTGGTCAGTGCATTATATAAATACATTATGCTGTTAAGTTCATATCTTTCTTTGAAAAATAATTTTCTTCACCAATAAGTTTTTGAGAGGATTCAATCAAACAAATATATTGGACTACCTAAATAAATCTCTAATTTCCCATGATCATTCTCAAAGTAATGACAAAATTATTGTTCTTTTTGAATTGAGTCGAATACACATAGAATCAGATGAATTGTATCCAACACAGATGACTCATTTATATTTTCCTAGTGAGAAGTTTGAGTACTTTAACGTACATTATCATCCTTCAAATTCATTTAATCAATTGTATCCATTTTGTAATCATTACCTCATTTAGGACAATAGAATGTACGTCTTTCAACCAACATTGTGTTTCTGCCATCCCCGTGCAAAAAATGAGCTCTCAAACAAATTGACGATTTTTTTCAATTCAATTTTGATGTACCTTGCTTTGAAAAATTTCAGCCTTAACGGACATCATTTTATTAAAATGCGCATTGCAAACGTGTTCTATACACTAGTACTAACATCGTTCACATGCATGCTAGTGTGCTGCACATCTTATAGCAACCAATTAAACAATCATCGCATTTTCCACAATGGCTTGAGATTACATACAGATGGTTCTGCGTTTAGTACAGAATCATTAACTCTTCATGATAGAATCTTTGCAAATCCTGATGAGATACGTGTTGAATCATCATCTTTCTCTAATCTCTACGCCACAGGATATTCCATCCAGTTACAGTGTGGTGGAGCAATATTCTCTAATGGAACAAACGTTACTGTTACCAATTCCAGATTTGATAGCTGTACTGCAACTTATGGTGGTGCAATTGCAGCTCTTCTTGGGTCAATTAACGTATATAGTAGTACATTCGAGAACAATTTGGGAAATGATTCTATTGGTGCTATTTGGGTCATGTCATGCTACAATTCCTCAATCCAAGATTCTAATTTCTCATATAACAGAGCCAATCTGTATTTTGGATGTGTTGTTGCTAATTACTCCCAGATTGATATCCTAGGCTGTTCTTTCTATAACAATACGGCTCCAAATGGCTGCTGTGCAATAGCAATTGAACAATCCAATACGGCAAAAGTCTCAAGATGCACATTTGATAATATGACGGAGATTCCTGTTTTATATATTGAATATTCTATCAATGTTATGATGACTTGTCTCAACTTTGGACAGAATATTAATTATATTGTGAAGAATGTTAACATATTTAATAATATTCTTCACGATTCATCTTGTGTACTCTATAATTTAAGCTCAAACGATGAAGAATTCGTTAGAACAGTCGAAGTTCCTACAGTCACAGAAAAAGTTGTGACATCCTATGTTCCAACGATTGTTGAAAGAGTTGTAACAACAATTGTTCCAACATATGTACCCACATATGTTCCAACAGTGACAGAAAAAGTTGTAACAACAGTTGTTCCAACATATGTACCAACAGTAACAGAAAAAGTGGTCGAAAGAGTTGTAACAACAGTTGTTCCAACATATGTACCAACAGTAACAGAAAAAGTAATTGAAAGAGTTGTAACAACAGTTGTTCCAACATATGTACCAACAGTAACAGAAAAAGTAATTGAAAAGACAGTTACTGTTCAAAAGATTGTTGAAAAGAGAATCACCTGTGAAGCTCCTGTATATTTCCCAGTTGCACGCAGATCAGCACATTTGCTTCTTGGTCTGAACTTTGTTTCTAATTAACAACATGTATTTTCATTCAATTTAATATTAAAAAATAAAAAATCTTTTATAAAATGTCTTAACATATTCTCTAAATAGTTACTATTGAAAATACATAAAGAATTAGAATAATTTAGTTTCTTTATTTATATTAATTCAGATATCACAATAATATTTGAGAAAAACAATATATATAAATTAGTCAGGATAGCGTAATCCCTTGCGTTCAAGAGCTTCTGTCATGTATTTCTTCAGAGCGTTGAATGTTTGATGATTTAAGCGAGTAATTTCAAGAAGAATCTCTGAGGAGCCAACATCGAGCTCTGGCTGGTTTTCATTCAATATTCTGATCATTTCTTTCTGATCTTCCTCTGATTGAAGCTTTTCTGCGGCTGCAATAAATCTTTGTAACTCGCTTTCGCTAATTATAGGTGTAGTCTGTTTAGTTGTTCTACCCTGATTAATAGATGATGAGAATTGGCGGACTTTGTTTGGTAGATTGGACATTAATTCAGCAAATCTTGTTCTAAGGCGGAAAACTTCATTACACCATTTACTAAATGGAAGTATATCGTTCTTTCTAAGTTGTTTCATGAATTGCTTGAAGCAATGGTTAGCTAATAAAGTAATTTCACCTTCTCCATAGAATTGCTTTGTATTCTTATAAATAAGCTCAACATCTGTGACTACCTCATCAATTTTCTTATATTGTTTGTTTTCTAAGCGCTTCTTGATCGATCCAAAATCTTGTGGATTTTTAATCACTTGATAATAGTCTGATTCAGTGTCAGGTTCAGCTTCATAAGGAGAATTGAATAATATAGCAGCTGGATGTTGCATAACATTATCGATGGCGATAATTGCTTTCTTATACCAATCCTCGCTCATCTTTTGTAAACTTCATAAACGGAACATTAGAATTTCAATCAATTGGAGAACAAAGTTATAATAACAGATAGATGTAGCTCTTAATTTCGAATTGAAAAATAAAAATTACTAAAAATTCAATTCCGATTTCTCTCATTTTTGAAGAAAAACCAAAGTAATTTTCATAAATCAAATAATTAACAAAAATTAGAAATATCTATATGAATTTTAAAATGAAATTTCAGAGGAATTTCCGAAGTCCTGTCAATGAGAGCTTGATGGAGAAATCTTTTGGTGCTAAAAGATTAGTGAAGTGGCAGAGAGTTGTAGCTTGGTCATAAATAACATTTCCAAATTGAGAGGGTTCAAATATACTCTGAGAGGTTCAAATTGTGTATTGAGAGTATTTATAAATTCTATCATGCTCATTTATGAGAATTGGAGTTTTTTTACAATAAAATATTTTTGCCTTTATGTCAAAAATAAAGTAAAGATGTGGTCGGAAAGACAACCTTAAACCAAAAATTTTACAAAACATGTTCAGTTCCGAGCAGCCTAAAAATGAAAATGAATGTAATTACAGTGACCTTAAGCCAATTAAAGTATTTGAATACCTAGATCAAGCATCAAAAACTATTTGGGGCGTCAACTCAAATAATATTTTACAAATATCTTCACAAATTATCGAATTAATTACAACCCACAAAATACATTTCAAAAGTGCGCTTTATTTGATTGATATTTTTTCACAAATTCGTTTTAGAGAAATTAAATTATTTTCAGAACTTTATCAAGAGGTATCAAACAGATTTCCAGGCATTATCAAGCCGGAAAATGAGAAATTGGCGGCGCTTCTACATTACAAAGGTTTCAAATTTGAAAATTTCGAACCTGAAATGAAAGAAGAAGAAATTCTGAATTTATATTCAACAGAATCACCTTTATACTATATTGCATGGGATAAAATTGATGATCTTAAGAGTAAATTCCCAAATCTTGATATTAATGAGGAGATTAATTATATCACTCCACTTGATTGTGCAATTAAATGTGGATCAGAATTGTGTTTCAATTACTTGAAAAATTTAGGAGCTTATTATACTAAAAAATCCGAAGAATATGCCATTCAAGGTGGAAATAAAGAGATTTTTATGGAAATGATAGAAGATGGTAAATCATTTGATGACATGATTAATACAGCATTGGATTCTCATAACTATGAAATTGCTGACTACCTTAAATCAAATTTTGGACAAACTTTTGATTCAATAGCAGAAAGTATGCATTTCGGAAATTATGATGTTGCGTCTTATTTACTTTCTAATGGAGAAGATATCAACGATATTTATAATCTCTTTCTCTTCATATTTATCATTTTTTTATTGGATTCTCTTTCTTTTTATATTTATCAATGATTTATGAAATTCTCTTTCTTTTCATATTTATCATTATTCTATAAAATTCTCTTTCTCTTCATATTTATCATTGTTTTATGAAATTCTCTTTCTCTTCATATTTATCATTGTTTTGTGACATTCTCTTTCTTTTCATATTTATCATTGTTTTATAGAATTCTTTTTCTTTTCATATTTAATTTTGTTTTATTGGATTCTCATTCTTTTCATATTAATCATTGTTTGATTACATTCTTTTTATTTTCATATTTATCATTGTTTTATGATATTATCTTTCTCTTCATATTTATCAATGTTTTATAAAAATCTCTTTCTTTTCATATTTATCATTGTTTTATTGGATTCTCATTCTTTTCATATTTATCAATGTTTTATAAAAATCTCTTTCTTTTCATATTTATCATTGCTTTATGAAATTTTTTCGATATTAACGAATGTCCCCTTAGTATTGCCATTAATTCGAATTCAATAGAAATTGTTCAATTCTTAGTTGAGCATGGTGCTGATGTTAACATGAAACTTATTCTCTTTCTTTTCATATTTATCAATGATTTATGAAATTCTCTTTCTCTTCATATTTATCAATGATTTATGAAATTCTCTTTCTCTTCATATTTATCATTATTTGATAGTATTCTCTTTCTCTTCATATTTATCATTGTTTTGTGACATTATCTTTCTTTTCATATTTATCATTGTTTTATGAAATTATCTTTCTTTTGATATTTATCATTGTTTTATTGGATTCTCTTTCTCTTCATATTTATCAATGTTTGATATAATTCTCTTTCTTTTGATATTTATCATTGTTTTATTGCATTCTCTTTCTTTTGATATTTATCATTGTTTTGTGACATTCTCTTTCTCTTCATATTTATCATTGTTTTATGATATTATCTTTCTCTTCATATTTATCATTGTTTTATAAAATTCTCTTTCTTTTCATATTTATCATTGTTTTATTGGATTCTCTTTCTCTTCATATTTATCAATGTTTTATAAAAATCTCTTTCTTTTCATATTTATCAATGTTTTATAAAAATCTCTTTCTTTTCATATTTATCATTGTTTTATGAAATTTTTTCGATATTAATGAATGTCCCCTTAGTATTGCCATTAATTCGAATTCAATAGAAATTGTTCAATTCTTAGTTGAGCATGGTGCTGATGTTAACATGAAACTTATTCTCTTTCTTTTCATATTTATCATTTTTTTATTGGATTCTCTTTCTTTTTATATTTATCAATGATTTATGACGTTCTTTTTCTCTTCATATTTATCATTGTTTTATGGCATTCTCTTTCTTTTCATATTTATCATTGTTTTATGATATTATCTTTCTTTTCATATTTATCATTGTTTTATGAAATTCTCTTTCTTTTCATATTTATCATTGTTTTATTACATTCTCTTTCTTTTCATATTTATCATTGTTTTATTGGATTCTCTTTCTCTTCATATTTATCAATGTTTTATAAAAATCTCTTTCTTTTCATATTTATCATTGTTTTATGAAATTTTTTCGATATTAATGAATGTCCCCTTAGTATTGCCATTAATTCGAATTCAATAGAAATTGTTCAATTCTTAGTTGAGCATGGTGCTGATGTTAACATGAAACTTATTCTCTTTCTTTTCATATTTATCATTTTTTTATTGGATTCTCTTTCTTTTTATATTTATCAATGATTTATGACGTTCTTTTTCTCTTCATATTTATCATTGTTTTATGGCATTCTCTTTCTTTTCATATTTATCATTGTTTGATATAATTATCTTTCTTTTCATATTTATCATTGTTTTATGAAATTCTCTTTCTTTTCATATTTATCATTGTTTTATAGAATTCTCTTTCTTTTCATATTTATCATTGTTTTATGGCATTCTCTTTCTCTTCATATTTATCAATGTTTTATAAAAATCTCTTTCTTTTCATATTTATCATTGTTTTATGAAATTATCTTTCTTTTCATATTTATCATTGTTTTATGAAATTATCTTTCTTTTCATATTTATCATTGTTTTACGGAATTCTCTTTCTCTTCATATTTATCAATGTTTTATAAAAATCTCTTTCTTTTCATATTTATCATTGCTTTATGAAATTTTTTCGATATTAACGAATGTCCCCTTAGTATTGCCATTAATTCGAATTCAATAGAAATTGTTCAATTCTTAGTTGAGCATGGTGCTGATGTTAACATGAAACTTATTCTCTTTCTTTTCATATTTATCATTTTTTTATTGGATTCTCTTTCTTTTTATATTTATCAATGATTTATGAAATTCTCTTTCTTTTCATATTTATCATTATTCTATAAAATTCTCTTTCTCTTCATATTTATCATTGTTTTATGAAATTCTCTTTCTCTTCATATTTATCATTGTTTTATAAAAATTTCTTTCTCTTCATATTTATCATTGTTTTATAAAATTCTCTTTCTCTTCATATTTATCATTGTTTTATTGGATTCTCTTTCTTTTCATATTTATCATTGTTTGATATAATTCTCTTTCTTTTCATATTTATCATTATTCTATAAAATTCTCTTTCTCTTCATATTTATCATTGTTTTATTACATTCTCTTTCTCTTCATATTTATCATTGTTTTATGAAATTCTCTTTCTTTTCATATTTATCATTGTTTTATTGGATTCTCTTTCTTTTGATATTTATCATTGTTTTGTGACATTCTCTTTCTCTTCATATTTATCATTGTTTTATAAAATTATCTTTCTTTTCCTATTTATCATTGTTTTACGGAATTCTCTTTCTCTTCATATTTATCAATGTTTTATAAAAATCTCTTTCTCTTCATATTTATCATTGCTTTATGAAATTTTTTCGATATTAACGAATGTCCCCTTAGTATTGCCATTAATTCGAATTCAATAGAAATTGTTCAATTCTTAGTTGAGCATGGTGCTGATGTTAACATGAAACTTATTCTCTTTCTTTTCATATTTATCATTGTTTTATGGCATTCTTTTTCTTTTCATATTTATCATTGTTTTATTACATTCTCTTTCTTTTCATATTAATCATTGTTTTATGGAATTCTCATTCTTTTCATATTTATCATTGTTTTACGGAATTCTCTTTCTCTTCATATTTATCATTGTTTTACAAAAATCTCTTTCTTTTCATATTTATCATTGTTTTATAAAAATTTCTTTCTCTTCATATTTATCATTGTTTTATTACATTCTCTTTCTTTTCCTATTTATCATTGTTTTACGGAATTCTCTTTCTCTTCATATTTATCAATGTTTTATAAAAATCTCTTTCTTTTCATATTTATCATTGCTTTATGAAATTTTTTCGATATTAATGAATGTCCCCTTAGTATTGCCATTAATTCGAATTCAATAGAAATTGTTCAATTCTTAGTTGAGCATGGTGCTGATGTTAACATGAAACTTATTCTCTTTCTTTTCATATTTATCATTTTTTTATTGGATTCTCTTTCTTTTTATATTTATCAATGATTTATGAAATTCTCTTTCTTTTCATATTTATCATTATTCTATAAAATTCTCTTTCTCTTCATATTTATCATTGTTTTATGAAATTCTCTTTCTCTTCATATTTATCATTGTTTTATAAAAATTTCTTTCTCTTCATATTTATCATTGTTTTATAAAATTCTCTTTCTCTTCATATTTATCATTGTTTTATTGGATTCTCTTTCTTTTTATATTTATCAATGATTTATGACGTTCTTTTTCTCTTCATATTTATCATTGTTTTATGGCATTCTCTTTCTTTTCATATTTATCATTATTCTATAAAATTCTCTTTCTCTTCATATTTATCATTGTTTTATTACATTCTCTTTCTCTTCATATTTATCATTGTTTTATGAAATTCTCTTTCTTTTCATATTTATCATTGTTTTATTGGATTCTCTTTCTTTTGATATTTATCATTGTTTTGTGACATTCTCTTTCTCTTCATATTTATCATTGTTTTGTGACATTCTCTTTCTCTTCATATTTATCATTGTTTTATAAAATTATCTTTCTTTTCCTATTTATCATTGTTTTACGGAATTCTCTTTCTCTTCATATTTATCAATGTTTTATAAAAATCTCTTTCTTTTCATATTTATCATTGTTTGATATAATTCTCTTTCTTTTCATATTTATCATTATTCTATAAAATTCTCTTTCTCTTCATATTTATCATTGTTTTATTACATTCTCTTTCTCTTCATATTTATCATTGTTTTATGAAATTCTCTTTCTTTTCATATTTATCAATGTTTGATATAATTCTCTTTCTTTTGATATTTATCATTGTTTTATTGCATTCTCTTTCTTTTGATATTTATCATTGTTTTGTGACATTCTCTTTCTCTTCATATTTATCATTGTTTTATAAAATTATCTTTCTTTTCCTATTTATCATTGTTTTACGGAATTCTCTTTCTCTTCATATTTATCAATGTTTTATAAAAATCTCTTTCTTTTCATATTTATCATTGCTTTATGAAATTTTTTCGATATTAATGAATGTCCCCTTAGTATTGCCATTAATTCGAATTCAATAGAAATTGTTCAATTCTTAGTTGAGCATGGTGCTGATGTTAACATGAAACTTATTCTCTTTCTTTTCATATTTATCATTTTTTTATTGGATTCTCTTTCTTTTTATATTTATCAATGATTTATGAAATTCTCTTTCTTTTCATATTTATCATTATTCTATAAAATTCTCTTTCTCTTCATATTTATCATTGTTTTATGAAATTCTCTTTCTCTTCATATTTATCATTGTTTTACAAAAATCTCTTTCTTTTCATATTTATCATTGTTTTATAAAAATTTCTTTCTCTTCATATTTATCATTGTTTTATAAAAATCTCTTTCTTTTCATATTTATCATTGTTTTATAAAAATTTCTTTCTCTTCATATTTATCATTGTTTTATAAAAATCTCTTTCTTTTCATATTTATCATTGTCTGATAGAATTCTCTTCCTTTTCATATTTATCATTGTTTTATGAAATTCTCTCGATATTAATGAATGCCCCCTTAGTATTGCATTCAAAGCTAATTCAACAGAAATTGTCCAATTCTTAATTCAACATGGTGCTACAGATGCCAAACAATAAATTTTCTAATACCTTTATCTCGTATTGAAAGGTAGATTTAGTAAAGCTGGCATTATTTGATAATAAACATCCCATAATAATTTAATGTTAATTCACTAATACACTCGAATTTAAGGATGGTTACATATTTCGGGGAATCAAAAATCGTTTTTCAACATATTTCGAAAATATTCCTTCCATTTTTGATGATAATCCCAATAAGATTGTCATGCAGAATTTAATATAAGTGAAGGTTCAACGGCGGGTCACTTTATTTTGTTTGTATTTCTTTCCTCATTTGAGAAACATCCAGACTATTATTTAATTGCAGACATGTTCTCCCTCTCTTTGTGGGCCAAGTACCACAACTTTATTACCTTAGGGCAAAGTTCTGCTGAAGTATCGCATATGATACTTCAGCAGAACTTTGTCCTATTAGAATAAATTTACATTCTCTGACCTGAAAAGAGTCAGAGATCACAAGTATACTACTTTATGGTATAATTCTTCCGAGGCCTCTCATCAAATAAGAGACTTCGGAAGAAATATGCCATATACGACTAATTGAAAGAATCTTTAACCATTTGAGGACCAGAGAGCCATAGGAAGAGTACTTTAAGGCATAATTCTTCCGAGGCCTCTCATCAAATAAGAGACATCGGAAGGACTTGGCTTCATTCGAGTTATTCTACATTCATGCACCGTTAATAATCAAGGAACAGCAGTATAGCGTATGAGGGCAATTACGTGTAACTAATATTCCACGAAACACAATATCCTTGGAGCCTAGCTACTATATCAATGTAGCTAGGCTGCATAGGTATTGCACTTCTGGCTTGCAGTACTCTCATGGAAGACCAAGTGGAGATCTGATGCCGAAATCATTTGCTGATGTGGATGGAGCAGCGCTATGATGGCCATATCAAATGCTGCATAGTATCCCAGCAGCGACTCCAGCTATGAGATTATGACACTTTTGTGATTTGACGAGAAAGTTTTGCGGCAACTAATGGCAAAAATACATACTTTACAAAATGCCAAAAATAACTCTTTACAAATGTAAACTTTGTAAAATCTTTGGTGTCAAACATCGAAATTTCGAAATGAAGCAAAAACGTGACAATGTTTGCGCAGCGTAAGTTCTTTCCAATCTCAGCAAACGATCCATTATTTGGTTTTTCGTTGGGAGGCGATGCTGCTTTTGACTGGGAAGATCTTGCGAATAACTCAGCCCAGGCCTTATTGAACATGTGCCGTAAAAATGATCTTCAAATCGATCCACCATATTTAAAACGTACAATGATTCTTCAACTTCGTGAATTCATGGAATCTAAAGGTAAGAGAGCTACATTACAGCTTGCTCCAAGCAGAGAACACGTTGCAAACCTTAGAATCGATTACTTATCAACAAGTACAAAACCACAAAAGAGACAAGCATATACCCCATCCAGATCATCAACAAGCTCCGTCACTTCGGAAGAATATTCTTCAACAACATCATCCGTACCTCTCAACCAGCCATATCTCGAAGAAGATCGTCTTAAAGAGAAAGCTAACCTTGTTGATACAGTTCGCCTTGCATTCAAGGCTCCTACGAAATTCATGAACGAAATTTTATCAATTTCACCAGAGAAGCAAAGAAATGTCTTCAGATATTTATTTGCAGCTCTTCATATTATTTTATTTGTATCATATCTTACCTCAAATAACTTCAAATTGCAAAAACCACCTAGAACACTTAATTACCCATAACATGTTTCAAACGAATCAAAATATTTTGATATCTGCATGAAGTTTTTCTGAAGGAACAGGCTGAAGAACCTCCTTGATAGCGAAAAGTTGCCTAAATCAGAAAAGAAAGAGTAACACAAGATAAAAAGAGGAAGAAAAGAATTAGAAGATAAAATAGCTTTGCTTGATTATTTTATTTTTACAATAATGTTATAAAGGATCTCAAAATTAGATTTTGATCATTATTGTATAGTATATTAATTATTAAATAAAGATGTTTTATATTCCGAAATGATATTTTTTTGAATTCATTATATTTATATAAATATAATGGTGTCTGTTTCTAAGAATGACATATATCAGCCGACAAGAGTGCACATAACAATCTTGTTGGTCAAAGTTTCGCAATCAGAATATGATTGCGGAACAATGTGCCATTCTGGGAGACATACAGCGGCAATATCTCCAGGAATGACACATATCAGCCGACAAGAGTGCACATAACACTCTTGTTGGTCAAAGTTTCGCAATCTCAATGTAGTAAAAGTATTTGACCAAAATGATAATTCATATGAAATAAATTTACTATTAGTCAAACGTTTTATAAATCTCGCAATTAATTTATTATTTATTCAAGTGTATTTGTGAATTTTCTTATCAAAAATGCTAAAAAACAATTACTTTAAACTATATATTTAAAACAAACAATCATATACTATATATATAATCTTATATAGGCTTTGTTCTCTTTCTTTCCTGTCTTGCATTCGGATTAACTTTATCTTTCACGTATTTCAACATTTTTGTTGCTCCTGATGCCAATTTCAAACCAGGCATCAAAACAACATTCGGAATTGCACCAATTCTATGAGTTACAATCAAAGAAGCGATTGGAGATCTTCTCCAATCTTCATCTCCAGCTCCTGCTTCAACAGCGATGGACAACAAGGTCTCTGTCAATGATGTAGCACATGTTCCTGCATTTAAGACTTCTGTGGCCAGAGTTCTCATCAAAATTGAAAATGAACGGCCACCGAAGTTTCTAAACAAATTATAAACTGCGAGTCCTATCCTCTTGAAGTTAGATAAGACAGGTAATCCGCTTGCAACAGAAAAAGCGGACCATGCTAATGAATCAAAGTAAAATTCAGATAATCTCGCGACAAGTTCTTCTTTGGATGATATACTAGCAAACGCACACATTGGCAATGTAATTGTAACATCTTCTATCGATACAGATAGGCCAAAAGTGAAGTGCGCGTTGATTAAAAATGAAGAACCTTTTATCGCGAAAAAGTCAAATTTGAGAGGCCTCTCAATTTCATCGCTTTCAAAAATTGGAATCGATCTGTCGAAGAAATCAATTAAAAAGTCAATCTGGTTTTGTGTGATAAATATCCCAAGACTTGGTAATTCAACCGATAATCGTAAATTGTCACTTTTCATAATATCGAAAATGACAGAAATTTGTTTTTCTCTTTCTTCCAGGCCGAGCATCAATCTAGCTTTTGATTCTGGTATGTGGTCGATTACATCTAGCATGCTTGAGTTGGCAATGACTCTTAAACTGATGTCGTCGTTCAAAAATATTCCCAAATTTAATGAAACAACTGTATCTATCTCCAATGAAGGATTTTCATTTCTTGTAAGCACGTATTCGAATCCATCATCAAGAACTTCATCATCATTTGTGAATTCTGGCGTTTTTTGAAGTATTCTGAGATCAAATATTTTTTCGAAGTCATATCCACCGTAAAACAAAATAGAAACAGTTACTCCTGTTATAGAAATGGATATCTCCGGCTCACTTTTCGGTGATTCGAGTTGAATCTCAGAATTTGAATGTGAAAATTTTTCCAAATTTTCATTTTTGTTTTCAGAACTCATTACATTTTCAGATTCATTAATATTTTCAGATTTTTGATCTTCAAAATTTTCTGAAGTTGTAAATTTTTCTGAAGATGTAAATTTTTCTTCAGAATTTTTCACATTTATAAAAGAGAGTCTCATTGATTCCATTAGCTGCTCTTTGATGATATCTTGTGATATACTAGGCTTTGGCTGCACATTTAACTTGATATCTCCGTATTCTAGACCATATAAAATGTGAGCATAAAGAGATAAAAGCAAATTAAAGGAATCCGAGCACAAACCAACAGCAACTGTTGGATGGTTGATAGAGCATGAGAATCTGGTGTTATCCTGTAAAGAAAAGTTAACATCGTTGAGAACTCCCTTTAAAATTTGAGCAAATCCGTGTCTTGACAACAAATTCGGACTTGATAAAGCTTTCAGAGGTAAAGGCTGGCGTAGATTCGACATAAAAACAGATAGAGCAGCTACTGCAGTGCCTTTAAGCGAGTTATCAACTAATGTCAGAAAAACTTTTGCATCTAGAACGTTTGCCAACAGTCTTGCAGGCATTTTGAAGGTCATATAGTCTATAAATATGTTGGAAAAGTTCAAATTAATGGCAGATTGCGGAGAAGGACCTGAATTTTTTTCATTAATTTTCAGAACTTCGTCAACGAACGCCATAATGAAGTTGATTCCTTCTACACGAGGTACACATGCAACCAAATTGTTCAAATTCAAGTCTACTTGTATGATATCGCTTAATTTAACAACACAAGCGAATTCGCACTGATTAGAATTGGATTGGACAAGTGTTGTACCGTTTAATGTTGAGTAAACATTAGTTCCAACAACATTTACTTGGATATCAACATCTTTTTCCGTTGAAATAAAAATTCCAATTTGAGATTTCGTTGTTTCTAAGGTAAAATCATCCATAACCATCTTAGCCTTGGTTAAGTATAAAGAAACGGCAACAGGAACTATTGATTGGTCGGATTCATCGCTAATTTTTAATAATTCAAACATTTGGAATGTTTTTACCATGTTTAAGAAATTTTTAAGCGGTAAATTACCTGTAACTTCAGGTGTAATGATTTTTACACGTATAATATTAGAGTTAAATACCTTATCTTCCCAATCAATTATATTATTTATTGAACAACTCTGCGGGAGAACAAAATGATCACCGACAGGTAAATTTACATTGATATATAATGGATCTTTGAATGTTACAAGGTTGGAATCTACACTTTTGATGGTCAAATCAACATTTGTTTCTTTTACTAGGATTTCTGTATCGTTTACATTGAATTTGTATTCACCAATAGTTGCATTACATCGTTTAATATTAACAGCAACGATTTGCTTTGATGATTCCGAATTTTCTTTTGGAATAAATTGTAAAATGAATTTTATAACAGTAGCTAAGTGTTTTAGAACAGTTTGATCGATTGTACCTTCAACATCGTTGAAGTTTAACGTAATAGATTCGGAATTCGCGATAAATGAAATTTTTGATGATTCAGCAATTTTAGTTTTTGAAAGTCTGGAGCCGTAAAACAACATTATTTTGCCTACTTTTCCTGAAAATAAGGCGCTTTCTGAATGGTTGATTACAAAAGAAAAATCATGAATTTCTACAACTAAAGGAGGCAAATCTGGCGATGTTTTGACAATAGCAGTGAATCTCTTGACTTTTAGCTTCACTGATTCCACGTAGTGAAATAACCATTCTTGTATAGAAACATGATTTTCGATTGGAAGTTGTTGTCTGAAGTTTTGTAATGAAGCAGTAAGCTCGTTCTCATGAACATCGTTGTGTTCAGTTTGGCATAGTGATAATTCGACAACGACTGTTTCTATGTTGCATTCATGTTTTGATAAATTATAGGCTCCATTAAAAGAAAAGTCAGAAATATAGACAGAATCGAGCTTTATAAAGTCTATCGAGTTATTTATTAATTCAGGTTTTAAAAAAACTTTACGTAAAATGAGTTTCATCGACCAATCATTAAATAATTCGAGTTTTACTGAGTTTTCGTCCTGTTGATCTATAACCATAGATAGTATACGCGATAATATTGATGTTGCCGCGGTATTTGATGCTTTAGAAAACTTCCGCGATACCCAATTGAAAATTCCATTCATAAAATCTAGATTTTGACAAAAAAAAATTTTATGACAAAATTTCCTCACTGTCAATTATGGAATTATTTGTATAAATGTTTAGCGCAAAACAAAACACTTAATCCTTTTGCAAATTTTATGATTGAAAATTGAATATTTGTAAATTTAAGGTTAAATGGAATCTTGTTTCAACCTTGCTGCCATAAATTATACTCAAAGTTGGAAAGGCCTACTTAAACACTCTTATCAACTTTATCATGATTTGTATTCAGATCCTTGAATTTAGTTTGACATGAAAATATACACTTTTCCAACTTTTTGTCAGGGGCGCGAAGCGACCCAAAAATGTCGGAAAAATGTAATTCTCAGATAAATGATTATTTTTGCTTTTAATGCCGAACAGCATTTGAATCAAAAATAATCGTATGTCTGAGAATTCTCATTTATTTGGGATCCGGGAAATTCCATTGTTCAGATAATGATTCAACGTGGAATTAACGACTTAATTCACTGATGACTCAAAAAAAAGCCAACATAAATTTTAAAGGTGAACAAGGAATCTTATATTGACATTATTTCAAGAGACAATGTTGAAGAACTTCGAAAATTAGTGAATAGCAATAATAGCACAAATCTATTTGAACGTATTTACCAATTAGATTTTGATTATAATAATTTGAAGGAGGACTATCTAACAATATTTCATGTTGCTGCTTGTCATAATTCACTCAGATGTTTCGAATATTTACACATTAAATGCAATTTTCCAATTGATATTGAAAGTAGTTCATCTTGTACTCCTTTTCAATTTGCCGTTTTTACTGGCTCAGTTGATGTTGTAGAATACATCTTTCGCTATTATGAAGCCAATTTTGGGCAAGATGGTCTCGAAAATAAATTGTTTTCTGAAGAATACTCAAATCCTAAAAATGTTAATTCAATAATCTTATTTGCTATATCAAAGAATCCAAATATATTGAACCTCCTTTTCAAATATGGTTATAGCTTTGGAAAATATTCAGATACATGCAAATATAAGATCAACAAAGCTTTAAAATATTCAATAACATTAAAAAATACGCAATTTTTTGAAATTCTTCTCAAGAAATATTGTGAATCAAATCTCGAAAAAGATTCAATTTTGATTTTATATGCAACTGCATTACAGAATAATTCTGCACTTCGTTTACTTCTTGATGCAAAGTTTAATCCATCATATATGGCAGAAGATTTTAGAACACCAATATCTATTGCATGTTTTTATTCTAATGTTGAAACAGTCAAAATGTTGGCAGAAGTTACTGAGGAAGTTGATATTCCAGCGAATATCAAAGCACCTTCTGCTGTGCACTGGATTTGTAGTTCAAAGAGTCCAAAAATTGCAAAAATATTGTGTTCAAAGGGAATTGATGTCAATAGAGTCGATGCACAAGGTCGAATGGGTCCATCGTTTTTTATTTCTTCAAATAACAATAACAAAGATGATATAGAAATTTTAAAGGTACTCCTCAATTATGGCCTGAAAATAAATTTCCATCTTCCAGGAAAAAATACAATTTTGGGAGATTGCCTTACAATTGATAAATTAATGTTTAAAGACCCAGTTGAGATTACAGAATTCTTGCTTGATAACGGTGCCGATCCAAATGATCTTATCTATTTTAGTGGTAAATCTCCTGTATCATGCATTGAATATATTAAACGAAAAGCTCGACGGTCAACAAAATATAAAGAACTTTATGATAATTATTTTAATTCGTGATACTTATCTTTTAAATTTAGATTTTCATTCATCTTTTTTTATTAATGAGAACACTCACGATCATCTAAATTTAATTCAAAATTCTGATAACTATTGTGAGGCATCTTGAAAAATACCATGTCATATACGCATAAATACACCCCTAAAATTTTATCTTTTGATTTTCTTGTCTTTAAGGCTGCACTTACGCCCATCTGACTTTAATTCAAATTTCTGACAACTGGAGTGAAGCGTCATTGAAAATTAACCTTAAACATCTGAATTGAAGGCCGCGTCATAGGGGCGTAAGTGCACCGTTAAGAAAATTAAGGGTGCACCTACAACTTTCTGACGCACACTCAAATTTTCTGTTTAAAGTTTTATTTTCTGATCTTCTTCACACCTGTATTCCTCACTGTGTCAGAGTGTGTCAGAATTTAGCATTGCAGTGAAGTTGAATAGTATTATAAATAGTAAATACCTGTTACTCTCAAATGGAATTCATATGCAAGTATAATTTCTAGATTATTATAATTCTAAATTTATCATCAATTTTTATGCTTATTATTGTGAATATGGTACTATCAAAGCAAATCTCAGTTATAATTAATTTTTATTTACATTATTATACAAACAGAGATAGAGAGTAAATTAAAATTATAATAAATGCTCTTACATGTGATTTCCTTTTTCTTGTACTCATGGAACATAGTTGTCTTAATATTCGAAAAGTATTCAATTGACGAATCCGAAACAACAATTTTCAAAACAGCGTTTGGATTCTGAATAATTCGATTAGGTATCTGAGAGTTACCGAAGTAATATATTGTTTGAAGATTAGGGCACAATCGGATAAAACTCCCAGATGATATTTGAGATATATTTCCATAAAAAGTAATAGTTTTTAATTCATAACAATAAGAAAATATAACATCGTTTTCAAATGTGACGTTTTTCGGAATCACAATTGAATTCAAAGTATTTAATTCAAAGGCTTTTAGCCAAATCATTTTAACTGTATTAGGAACAACGAAATCTTTCACGAATGATGTTACTGCAATTAAAATAGTTTTCTCTTTGTTATATAAGGAATATTGTTTATCATGAACGAAAAAATTGTTGTCATCAGAAACAATAATCTTCTTTACTGGATTGTTGCAAAATGCACCGTGTATTATTGTTTCAACATTACTACCTATGACAAAATTTGAGATTAAACTAGTAGCAAATGCATGCATGCCAATATATTTTAGAGAAGTTGGTAATACTACTGTTTCGATAGTCATATCCATCATGTCAAAACCAAATGATTCAATAATTTCTAAATTTTGTGGTAAAGTGAGAGAAGTGACACCTTTAAGTTTGTAAAAGGCATGACCTTTAACTGTTTTGACAGGATAGGAAACACCATTAAACTCAATACTTGTTTTTAAGTTTAATGTTTTTGGAGGTGAGTTTTTATCATAAACAGCGCTTTGAGCATTATCACCAATACCAATTTCTGCACAAGAAAGATCTGGATAAACATAATAATTCACCCCAGAATCGACTACTAATGTACCTGACGACTCTAAAAAAAATGGTTGGCAGGCGTTCAAATTTTCAGCAAAATTTGACTTGGAAATTGAATAAGTCCATTTCAAATTGCTTCCAATTTGATAACACATCGATTCGACAATAATTAATAAAAAGGATACTACCAAATTTTTAGTGGAAATTCCCTGTAAAAAATCAAATAATAAGTAAATTCCCTACGAAATATTCCGTACAGTAGAATGCATATAACTATCAGTCATTATAATAATTATAATTCATTTTATGCTCAAATCAAACTATAAATTTAAGTTAACATATAAAGTATAAACTTTTTATTTACATTATTATACAAACAGAGATAGAGAGTAAATTAAAATTATAATAAATGCTCTTACATGTGATTTCCTTTTTCTTGTACTCATGGAACATAGTTGTCTTAATATTCGAAAAGTATTCAATTGACGAATCCGAAACAACAATTTTCAAAAAAGCGTTTGGATTCTTTATGATATTATTAGGTACATGTGTATGACCAAAGTAATATATCTCTTCGAGTTTTGGGCAGCCACGAATAAAATCGATAGACGATATTTGCGACATATTGCCGTATATAGTGATTGTTGTTAATTCAGTACAATAAGAAAACAAAGCACTATTTTCAAATTCAACATCTTTAGGAATCACAATTGAATTCAAAGTATTTAATTCAAAAGCTTTAAACCAAACAATTTTTACCGTACTGGGAACAATAAACTTTTTCACATATGATGATGCTGCAATTAAAATTGTTTTCTCTTTGTTATATAAGGAATATTGTTTATCATGAACGAAAAAATTGTTGTCATCAGAAACAATAATCTTCTTTACTGGATTGTTGCAAAATGCACCGTGCAATATTGTTTCAACATTACTACCTATGACGAAATTTGAGATTAAACTAGTAGCAAATGCATGCATGCCAATATATTTCAAAGAATTAGGTAAAATCAATGTATCAATAGTCATATACATCTGGTCAAAACTATATGTTTCAACAGTTTCTAAATTTTGAGGCAAAGTGAGAGAAGTGACACCTTTAAGCCTATGAAAAGCATGACTTTTAATAATTTTAACAGGATAGGAAACACCATTAAACTCAATACTTGTTTTTAAGTTTAATGTTTTTGGAGGTGAGTTTTTATCATAAACAGCGCTTTGAGAGTTTTCACCAACGCCAATTTCTGCACAAGAAAGGTTTGGATAAACATAATAATTCACCCCAGAATCGACTACTAATGTACCTGACGACTCTATAAAAAAAAAAAAACTCAATATTTGTCTTCAAATTTAATGTTGTTACCATAGAGAATGTAAAATAAGTCAAAAGGTGGTATGTCCAGCTGTAATGATAGATGGATGTCAATGACAAATATAATAAAAACAAAAAATTGAGAGAATGCCAGATTTTTTTTATATTGGGAAATGAATAGAAGCTACTATACTACCTATTGCATATGCAGCTTATTCGAGCTCTAATATTTGATAATTTTCTCTCACTCTCAGGGAAGGCACCATTAGTATTAGAAATGTAACCTATTCATAAAAGCTTTGAATGTAAAAAAAAAGAATGTCAAAAAGTGTTATATTCAGCTATGACGACAGATGGATGTCAACAACAAATATAATAAGAACAAATAATTGAGATAATATCAAAAAGTGTTATGTTCAGCTATAACGACAGATATGTGTCAATGACAAATATATTGAGTCAAAAAAGCTAAGAATGTCAAAAAAATTGAGATAATGTCAGAATGTTTTTACAATAAAAAAATAAAATAAATATTTTTTAAATTCTGCTCAAGTTATCCATTGCTTCTATATCATCAAGAATTCCACCTTCTTCGTCGTACTGTTGGTAAGGCCTCTTCTTGTTCCACTTTATGCAGCAGTAGATGACCAAAGCGATGATTGCGACGAAAGCTGCGACTCCGAGAGAGATCCAGACAATTTCTGTTCCATTTAGTATCTGGTACGAGATGTGCGGCTTGTATCCTTTCATCTCTGCGTAGATTACGCTTTCTGCTGCCTGGATTTCGATGGAAATCGGAGTGTTTGGCGTAGTTATGTTTTTGACATTTTGTTTTATGATGTTTGTCCAGAGAGAAAGGTTGGATTTCTGGGATTGAACAAGCATAGCTGTATTGGAGAAGAAACTGGCTGAGATATTACCATATGCTGCTTCAGAAACAGAGAATTCAACAAATAATTCTTTCGGAATCTGTTTTCCTGTGTAAACAAGCTTGGAATAGGTCTCAGTGATCATGACATACAGTTTAATGGAGATACCTGATATGTCTGTCTCTCCTAAATCAAGTAATGCCGTTCCTGGAATATCTATATCAGAATTAACCTTTAAAACATCAATTAAACCATAGGAATTATCATTAACTATGGTCTTATCGATGGTTGTAAGCTTGTAAGTGAGTTTTCCTTGGCCATTTACTGTAATTTGAGAAATTGTCGATTTTTCTGCTGATTCGATCGAAATAGCGAAGTTGTCGACAGTAAATGGTGCAATTACGAACTCTTTGGATGCAGTAACAGTCAAATAACAACCAGATCCGAAAGATATTGGTAAAATTCCGGTTGAAAATGACATTGTAACGCTGCAACCAACGTAATTGAGGAGACATGCCTTTGGCCAGTCACCTTCGACCTTGAATTTGATACTTTGACCTGTTTGATTCTCCAAAAATCCAAATCTAAGCGGATTTTCGAAAGTAGATGACGAAATATTAACAGTAACAGCATCGTTGTTGTTAAATGCAAGGATAGGAAGGGTATCTCCTCTCTTTTGGAGAACATATGAATCACCAAATTCGTAATTCGTTTGTGCGAAGGTAATGGATGCTTCGGAGTGAACGTCCAGGAAGTAATCAACAAGATCCGCGGACGGCAATGTCTCGTAAGCCTTTTTAGAGACTTGTAAATATCCAACTTTTCCAACTGATTGAGATCCAGCAAGGAATACAACATCGTTGAAGTAGGCCTTGTTTATGGAAAGAGGAGATCCAACAAATTTGATCTTAACCTTATCAACATAGATCGCATTCAAATAATCTTTTGTTGAATCCGAAACTTTCAGGTATAATTTGGGATAGGATGAATCTGTCGTGTTGCTGTCAATATACAAATTGTTTTTAACAGCTCCATCAAAATTGAAGGCTTTTTGATCGTCCATGTCCGAATTAATCTGTAGAACGGCCTTCTTAGTGTATTTAGTGATGTACGAACCGAATTCGCCCTGCTTTAAGGCCCATGGGAAGCCTGTGCAGTTCTCGTAGCAGAAAACTGGATAAACTCTCGAAGGATAATCAGCAATTCTGTATGTGAAGGTAGAGGAGTCTCCGGAGCTCTGGCAACCCATCTCTAATACACTTGTGGATTTAGTGAAACCTACCACGCCTGTTTCCGGAAGGTTTATTGTGATATCATAACAATATGTTCCTTTTGTCTTAAAGAAATTGCATGATTTGTTGAGAATCGGGTCCACTTCGTCATCTGTTGGCATTTCGTCCTTATAATACGAAGCATTGATTACAATTTTACCTGAATTAGACTGAATTACGGAAATCCCAGTTCCTTTCAAGCCAATTTTGTAATTAAATGCGACATTTGTCTTTAAGTTGAGTATGTAGAACTGCAATGTTGAGTCAATTACTGTCAATGACTTTGAAATTTCGAATGGAATAAATTCATTGAAAAATTTTGAATAATAAACAGAGTCAAACACAGCAGATTCAACAGATATAGGTGTATACTTGTTAGAAACGAAGATAGAACTGTTTGTTACTTGAAGTTCTTTGATATTTACTGTTTGATTCGATTCTAAAGTAATTTTACAGCCATCTTCGACCAAATTCAATTTTCTGAGGTTTAAATTGTTAACTGTGGTCTTGCCAATTAACGTTCCTTTGACATTAAATTCAAATGGAGAATTTGAGGTCAATGAGTTGATTGTAAGTGGCGCAGTGTTGGTAATTGTGATTGGTGTTGTATCTAGCTTGCAATCAACACTAATTATCGTATCATTTGTGATGTCAAAATTAATTGTTTTGATTTCCTCAGTAATATTAACAATATTTAAGGTAAATGCGGTGCCTTGGATATCAGTAATGAAATTAAGATTAGAGCTAGCGAATTTGATTGGTAAAACAGCTGTTTGCAAGTTAAAAACAATATTATTATCAAAAGTAAGCGTAGAATCCTTTTCGGAAAGATAAGCTGTAAAGTTTGAATCTTCCTGAGTAAGATAAATCGACTTTTGTCTGGTAAATTGAGCAGCTGTGCCTTGTTTAATGATAATCTCTGCGGAAACAGTAATTTCATCAATGTTTTGGACGGCCTTTGTATCAAAAGTGAATTTGGAAGCAGAGACACTGATTGTTTTTCCATCTCCAACTGTAATTGAAGAATTAAGAATGGTTAAAGCTTGAGCATTGATTAAAGCTGCTGTTTCTGTACCGTTTATGAATGTGGCTAAAGCACCATTAATGACTAAGTTAGTAATTTGTGTAGTATTAGCTAAATCAAAGTTTAATAATGAATTATCATCGCCATAGAATGTAATTGGCTTTGTTTCAATAGAAGCAAGAGAAATAGCAACTGTATTTTGAGCGCTTCCGTATATTTGAACAATAATTTCTTCATCTTCAGCAGCAGAAGTTTTGATTTCATCGAAAGTCTGCGCCAAAACTGGGTTTTCTAGAGTACAATGGCTATCTTTGTCTGTTTGTGCCATTAAGCAATAGTTCTTACATAAGGAAATTGGAAGAAAGAGCGAAAACATAAAAGCAATAATGTAAATTTATAACTTTACAAAATTTTGAATAGAAAAAAAGTTTTACACCAGTAGCCGTTTATAAATTAAAATTAGGAATAAAAAATAATAGAGATTAACTTAAAGTTACTAAATTTACGTCGAATTTTGTTATAGTGGCAATTTCGCATTTCAAATTGAACCAAAAAATGATATGCTTGTAAAATCTATACGAGCAAAACTATAAGCACATAAAAGTTTCCATTTAACTCCATTTAATATTTGAATTAGCGCTTTATCTTTCTTGATAAAAAATTATGACAACTGATATTTGATGAGATATGCAAATATGATGCAAACACGGATCAAACATGCATAGATTTATTCTCTGATAATCTTTTTCATATAACAAAGAAACAATATCTCTATGAGATTGCAATTGCAATTGAGTCACTGTCTACCAATTTGTAATGAATGATTTATGTATTGTCATTATATTAATTAGTACTACAAAGGAATTCAAATGCAAATGTGATAAAAATCCAAGCTTTCGTTGTCAGTGTCTTATTAATAAAAAGTGCACAAGATCTGATGCTCATATCTATTCTAAAAAATTATTCACTTTCAGATTCTTGATTTCTGAATTTGAGGGAGATTGGAGTAAATTTCATTTATTTCGTTAATGAAGTACTAATATTGCCATTCGATAATCTATTCGTTATATAACCTTTTCCGAGCATTAATAAAAAACAAAAAATTCAGTTTCTGCCCAAAAAAATGCGACATGCACGAGGGCAAAGATCACGAACATTGAAAACTTGCGCATATTTACGCATACCTCGATCTGAACGCTCCTCATTTCAAGCAGAAATCGCAGAGATCCTGAGTAATGTAAATTCAGGAACAGAACCTCTAATTTCCGGTTTGAAATCAATCAGAAGCCAAGTGGAAGTCTTTAATTCAGATGAATTCATAATTAAATGGTTTTCTTTTCTTCAGTTAATAATTTCAATTCCAAATTTTGGAATACGAGATACAATTCTGCAAGTTCTCGACTTATCACGCAAACTCCGATTATATGCAGCAAAATTTACCTCCGTAATTCCATTTCTACCTCGAATTAAATCAGCTTCAAGCCATTGCTCTCAAATAATTCAAGTTCTGAACTATTTTAACTACAAGTCTCCATTAGGCATTGATGAAATCAATTCTGTTCTTTCTTTAATCGATGACTTGAAAAGGTCGAATCAAGATATTGACGTTGGACCTCATCATACGCGAGCATTCATTAATATCGAAGCAGAGCGCGCATTATTAGAGAAGCTTAGTGAGGATATGAAGGCAATTAAATCAACATTAGTCCTCATTATTTCAATAAACAAAATTACAAACATTATTAACCGATATACTATCGAGAAACTTGCTTTATTCAACGAGAAGATTAATCTGAACTTCACTCCGAAAATATTACCCTTCAACAAAACGTTTGACGGAAGAATTAAAATTACAACTCAAGAAAGTTTTTTCTTTATCAACATTCTCGATGAATTATCGCAACTAGGCATCGACATATCTACAGATAATGGCATAGACCTCAAACATGACCATCTTTTCATTCCAAATTTTTTAGAAAAATTCAAAACGATAGAAAGTCTTTATACGAAGCATCCAGAGCTATTTTCACCAAGTTTCATGACCAAGATCCAAGAAATACTCGTTTCTCCACCTCTAGAAAGCGAAGTTTTGGAATTATTATCTGAATCTCTTTCTGTCAAATATTCCATGGACTTCACCGGCCAAACGAACACAGAAATTTCCGAAATCGCCAACTCCCTCAAGACTTTACACCTTTGTTTGTTGTTTTTCAACGGTTTGGACATTATCAACGCAATTCCATACGGAAACTCAGTTCGGATGCTTTACATGCGCACTATGACCAATATAGTTCTTGGAGAAGACGCATTCAACATCTCTTTGACTGAAATTCCTCAAATTGAGTTGATGAATTCAATAAACACAAGGGTTAAGGATTCGAACTCATTCATTGGCTTGAACATCAAGAGGTGGGTGTTCAAACTCATCAGAAGCCATTTCATTCCTTTAATTGAATTTTTAATTCAAAATCCAGATTTTTCTTTCATCCTCAACTTTTTGGTACAAGCGGAGTATTCCTCAGTCAGTGCAACAGACATTGATGGAATTGTGTCCAAAATTGAGGATTTCGGAGAAGTTCCTGAAGAAATTTCGAAATTTTTAGAAGATCTCAAACAAATTTCAGTTAAATTCAGAACTTCTTCGGACATGCCAACAGCATCTGACATGATCATCTCTTTCACAAACATTTTCACTGAAACTGAAGTAGAATTAGCTGCTCCTGACATTAAACTCGAGTTTTGCGAGATTTTGGCTGATACTATTGATGCTTGTCTCAAGAATAATTCATTGATTATCCAACATGGCACGGATTATTCATTTTTGAGGCAACAATTCAATGAAAATTTCATTTCCAACTTTATTGAGCTCAACAAGTCAATATTTGTCAACCATTCATTCCTATCTCACAAAGCCGCTTCGGTTATGGATTATTTGTCCAAAGACAAGTCAGATAAAAAACACGAATTTTTATATCTCATTGATTGGATGTCCAGAGGCTCTTTAGACAGAAATAACATTATCCTGTTGATTCAGAAATTCCTACAATGCAACTGCTTCAACGTAATCCAAGAATATGCCGTAATAATAACTAAATTATGGAGATTCTTCATTTTAAGAGACGAAATCGCTAAATCTTTGTATTCAGCCGGATACAACGAAGCATCTACTATCATCTACCCATCACTTAAGCTCTTCAATATGAAGAATTTCTATACAACAATGGCAAACATCGCATTCTATTTCAACGTCACTTTTTCATCCGAAAAAAGTGACAACCCATCAAAAATCATGGAGCTTAAAAAGCTTGCAAACAACATTCCAGACATAATGGAGCCAGATTCAACCATTATTTTCGAGATTGACAAAGTTTTCGAAGAAGTTTATGATTTAATTCGAAATCTGAACGTCGAAAACATGATTCCCAAGGCCAAGGGAATCTTTGAGATCTTGATAAGGACTAAGAGCTTCGTTGCGACGAATAATTTGGAGAGAGATTTCACAGAACTCTGCAAAGCAGAGAACTACAACACTACTCTGTTCAAGCACATGACAAAGGATGTCAAACAGATGCTAAATACCGTTGGAGTTAAGAAAGAAAACGATCAAAATATCGAATTTGTTCTTACAATGATCAATTCCGTTGCTTTCTACTATCAGACCATCAACGATATTTTGTTGTTCAAGAATTCAGTACTTTCGCTGCAGAATTCCGTTCAACTTTCGAACCAAAACTATTTCTTTATGAATCACGACGATAAATCCGAGAAATTCCCATCGAACGAGACTTTCTTCCTTCCTCTGCAGTTCCTGTTCTCAAAAGGAAACCCAGGATTCACAGATTTCACAAGTTCTTTGCTAAACGAAATTTCTTCGGAAATAAAAAGTGACAAAATTGAGGAAGAAGCAGATCGAATCATTGAATTGACGGAGAGCGAGGAGCTACAGCCAGAGTACAGGGAAATATCATCTTTCATCAAAGAAAACGTGAAAGAAAATGATACAATTTTTAATTTGCTCCAAAAACTCACCGAAATCAAATCCAACATTGACATCGAGAAGGAGAAGAACAGTGATCTCAATGCCAAGCGCCAGACAGTCACAAACGAGAAGAAAGAGGAAATCTCCAAAATCCAAAGAGATTTCTTCACTCAATACGACAGCCACAACAGCGAAATGATTGAGACAAACCTGGAACTAGAGAGACTTGAGGATGAGAAGAAGCTGCTCATTCAAAACACCGAAATGAAGGAGAAAGAGAAATCAGACTTGATTTATCACAAAGAGTGTTTGATCAGCAGCGTTGAGGGATTTAAGACAAAACTGATGCCTCTGGCTTCTCAAGGGAATGATGATGAGACATACAAGTTCAGTGCGTACTTAGTTCCTGGTGCTAGCATCTCTTATTCTCAGTTCAAATGAAAAATTATTTTTTTATTCTTTTTATTTATAATAAAAAACTTTTTTTGTTTTATTATTAATTGAACAAAAAAGAAAAGAACTATTTACAAACAATCAGGAGGACTTAGTATCAAATACATTAGTTATTGTGTTTAGGAGAAACATAGCGGAGATCTTTTTTTTGGGGAACTGAGGGAAACTGAGGGAAACTGAGCACTTTTTCTCTGTGAATATTAGATTTTTTATTAATATGTTTAAACAAATATTATCTATTACTATATTTTAGATTATTGTTTAAATAAAATTTAAATTATAATAAATATTCGCAGAGTTTTGATGAAAAAATTGTGTCACTTTTGCAAAAATTGAGAGCCCTTTTGGGCAACTGAGCGACGATTATTTATTCTATTTTTTCTTGATATTTAAATTCTAATTTGATATTAGTATATAATAGCACTTATAACTATATATTTAATATTAGATTTTAGAATAACTCTAATATTTGAGTAGATAAGAAATGAAACAAGCTCAATTTCGAATTCCCAAGATAAAGAATATCATAGCAAAAAAATTTGATTGAAATCATGATTGATAATTATGTTTAAACAGAAATCTACGATAAATGCTAATTATTCAAAATATAAGATTTTGAAATTTTTTAAGATATTAAGAAACAAACATTATTATGATGTGGGGATGAAATAAAACTTGTAATTTTTATGTGAATGTTGATTGAGTTGCAAATAGATATAAAGTTATTATCAGTTGCCCTCAGTTTCCCGAAAATTTTAGGAAAAAGAGCGATAGTTTCCTCAGTTGCCCGATGATTATTGTAAACATTGTTCAGTTTCCTCAGTTGCCCGAAATGACGATAGTTGTAAACTTCACTCAGTTTCCACAGTTGCCCGACGATTATTTTAACTATGATTTCCTTAGTTTCCCGAAATGACGATAGTTATCAATACATTTTTATTTTCTTAATTTTTTTCTTAATCCTATTGCTCCTCTATTATTTCAATATATATAATCTACTTTCCTAAATCATAAAATTTTGATATTAATTAACTTATTGGATTTCATAAATTCTTATTCTTGTTAAATTATGCAATAAATTAAACAGATTTCTATGAAATTCTTTTAATAAATATAAGTGTTTATAAATATTGATTTGAAACGTCGATATATACTCTTGACAATTCTAGTTTGTTAGCAAAAATTTTAAAATCCATTAATTTTTTTTACTTTTTCTTTACAGAGAAATTTTTTCTTTTGAAAAATCACTATCAATTTTAGATATTATGTATTTAAATAAAGATATCTAATTAAGTGATTGGTGATAATTCAAATTATAATAGTATAAAAGAATAACTTAGTCAAAAATTGTATAATTGAAATATTTAATAGAAATTGATAAATATAGAAGATAATGTATGAAAAATATTAAGATAATAAAGTAAATGAAAAAAGTCAGATGAAATAAAGTTTAAAATAATCATCGGGCAACTGTGGAAACTGAGTGAAGTTTACAACTATCGTCATTTCGGGAAACTAAGGAAATCATAGTTAAAATAATCGTCGGGCAACTGTGGAAACTGAGTGAAGTTTACAACTATCGTCATTTCGGGAAACTAAGGAAATCATAGTTAAAATAATCGTCGGGCAACTGTGGAAACTGAGTGAAGTTTACAACTATCGTCATTTCGGGAAACTAAGGAAATCATAGTTAAAATAATCGTCGGGCAACTGAGGAAACTGAACAATGTTTACAATAATCGTCGGGCAACTGAGGAAACTATCGCTCTTTTTCCTAAAATTTTCGGGAAACTGAGGGCAACTGAAAATAACACATTCAATACATCAAAATATACATTCAACCCTTTTCTATATGTTTTATATTATCTTTTTGTATTATTATATTTTCAAATTCATTCAAAAGCACAATATTTTTTCCAAATAATAAGATTCCTTTTCAAAAATTTCAATTTAGTTAAAAATTGTACACTATTCTTGTAAAGGGTACAGTATACATGGATATATTACAAATCTAGCTTCCAAATCCAAAATATTATCGTTAAATTATTTAAAACTAGATAAAAATTGCGTGATTTAACTATAAATGGATAATAATATCTGATAACAATAATAATTGATATCAAATGTTCAACTACTTTTAGTTAATAACTAACAGATATTGAGATATTGAGATTGATTGATCAAAAATAATCGTCGCTCAGTTGCCCAAAAGGGCTCTCAATTTTTGCAAAAGTGACACAATTTTTTCATCAAAACTCTGCGAATATTTATTATAATTTAAATTTTATTTAAACAATAATCTAAAATATAGTAATAGATAATATTTGTTTAAACATATTAATAAAAAATCTAATATTCACAGAGAAAAAGTGCTCAGTTTCCCTCAGTTTCCCTCAGTTCCCCAAAAAAAGGTGGCCCAACATAGCTTCTACAGACAATCTAAAATTAGTATAACTTTGTGAATTCATAGCATATTTATACATACATGATATAAATAATGATTCACAAGGGACTTGGTATTATACTACCCACATACTAAAAAGATATTTCTACGTTTTAAACTCCAAATGAACTTTTTAAATTTGAAATGTTTCAATTACTCTAAAATATGGGTCAATCCATAAGATGGGCGATATGCAATAGAAATTAGATTTTTCATAAAGAAATAATAAAGTAATTCATAGCAATATAGTTGAACAGCACCTTAAATTTCATCTATAATGTATTATGGAAATAATTCATTCACTTAACAGTCAGATAGAACATTTCATTATATGAAAGTTACAATACTTGTTCAATCATGATTTCATATGTTTCATTATTTTTGATTTTTAGAAAGTTGGCTCAAAAATTCTTGATCAATCATGAATTATGAATTAGAGTGTTTGTATCGAGAATATATTGATTTTTACAAAAGCATAATTAAAAAGTCTTTATTATCATATATAAAAAAACAACAAAATAAATAATTACTCTGATTCTGATTCAGGTTTAAGAAGCTGTCCATATAATTCTAAACAAGAAAGAGTCATTGAGTAATCAGATCTTATATTCATTCCGACTTGTTGAACTCTAAAATATCTGTAGTATTCGCTGCAATCGCATTTATAGCAAACAGATTTGTAGCCTCCATTCAACTCATCAACATCCATCTTCCTGTCAAGTAAATCCCATTTGTTCATGTCATTCGATGCAGTAAATGTCCAATTCGTGAGATGTCCTGTTCCTCTGTTTCCACCAGAAGTTCTCAAGTAGTACATGTTTGGACAGACCATGTAAGGTGAGAAGTCGAACAGAGCGAACTGATCAGGAGTGTTCTTGCTGTACCAGATGTTGTGGAAGTTGTCGAGCTTCAGAAGGTTCTGTGAGTCAAAATATTTGTCATGTGTTGATGAAACAACAACTCTAACTTTTCCGCCTTTCCTGAGAATGTAATCGACAATGCCTGCAGGTACTTTTTCATTGGCTGGGTATGGTATATCGTAATGTTTACCTGTTTTGATTAAAGTATCCATTTGTGTCGAATTTAATCTATAATTTCTTGATGGTCTTGGTTTCTCTTCTTCTTTCTTGGATTTTTCAATAAGCTCTTTGGAATCAATGCCTTGTGTGGCGCACAAGTCTATAATTGTGTCTTTGGAAACTTCATTAAGATGAATGGAATCCAAAAGAGGGTTTGCTTCTTTTCCACGACGTTCAATTACATGCTGAACAAAGTATGCAATGTTATCCTCGTTTTCTGAACAAAGAGTGTCTGAATGAACAATTTCTTCGAGAATAGGCATCGGAAGTTGAAGTAAATCTGGATTTGTCATGATTTCTGAGAAATGGTCTTTGATGTATTGAATGTACATCGAGCAATCTACATGATATCGATATAAATACATAATTGTTGGGCAAATTGTGGCTGGAGATATAGTTTTTTTCATGCATTCATATGCAGCTTCACTAATTAATGATAATCCAATCATGTATGTGAGTAAATATGCTTGAACGCAATTATCTGGATTGACGACAAAATCTTCTCCGTAACAGAAGTTCATTATCTTTGCAAAGAGTCCAAGCTTATCTGGTATTTCTAAATTGATCTTACTTCCGTTCGATTTTGATTTGTATTCAATTAATTTCGGTGCAACTGAGAAAACTACTACAGCATGGCATGGAAACTCAGCACCAAAGTTATCTATAACTAAATCACATGGTACCATACCATCTCGCATTGTTTTAAATGCTTTCTGTGGTGAAGGAACAACAATCTCGAAACTCAAAACGTCCTTCTGATTTTTTATCGTCGAGATTTTATATAACTCTTTGGAGCAAAACCTACTTACTTATGGAAAATAAAAATTCGATTTGACACATGAGCTTCTGCATGAAAGATTTAACGTAAAGCGTGAAAAATCAAAGATTCTTTTCAAAAATTTGCAAACAACCTTATAACCTCATTTATTAGTCCTATTCTAATAATGTGCTTGTAAAGAAAAGCATACTGGTTATTAATTTTTTATGAAGAGTAAAGATATCTCGAAAATAAATTTCAGATTTCTATTAGCACTCATAATGTAATTGGAAATCTGAGACAATATATAGTTTCAATTTAATCTTAAAAATCATTAATTCTTTAACATATTGGGATCCAAAGATAAAAAAAAACGAAATGAAAAAATTATTCCGATACGGGGAGTCGAACCCCGATCCTGTGGATGAAAACCACATATCCTAACCGCTGAACGATATCGGATTCTACAAAATAATAAAATAATTTAATACAATATATAAGAATTGAATGATGAAATCATTTATCATAAGCATTAAATTATAAGATATGAATAATAATCTATATTTACTAGATTCCAAATATCTCAAATAAGTAAAAATTTAAAAATTATGAAATGATAAAAAAAATTAATCGTGAATTAAAAATTCGTAAGGTTTGGATTGCTGTCTTAATCAGCATTTAATGTAACTGGAACTTTGTCATCTGAGTACTTTGCCATACCATTTAATGTAACTGGAACTTTGTCATCTGAGTACTTTGCCATACCATTTAATGTAACTGGAATTTTGTCATCAGATGTAAATACTCTGTTTGATTGTGGTTTAGATAATCCAACTTTTGCCATCTTTATTTGTTTTTCATCGAAAAGAGAATTTAGATCATTGGAAAGTCTTGGTCTTGGATCAACTAGAGGTTGAAAAGGTTTAGGTTGAAATCCGTTTATGAATGATGCACGCTTACGTGGCATACCTAAAGTGGGTGGTTTACTTATTTCATCTCTTAGTAAAGAATTTGGAATAGTTTGTTTTTGATCCCCATCAAACTGTGGATTGTGGAAATTCAGTGTTCCGAATTTTTGTTTACTTTTTCCCAGTTCTCGGAACATTTGATTTATTCCTATATCTCCATGATCATCTTCGTATGGATCTGCTGATATTTTTGGAGGATCTACTAAATCGCCTCGTGCATTTACACCGACATCCTGATCATCTGAAATTTCTTCTTCAGATGATTTTTCAGGGCGAGTTAATTGTGTGACGTATGTTGGTCGATTTATATCAACTTCTTCATCGCTGGGTATGAATCCAGTTTTAGGAGGTGTTGAAACTCCAGGTCTGGATGTATCAGTTAATTTTTTGAATGCATTTTGATCAATGAGGGGTTTTGGTCTTGGAGCGAGTGGAATTTGTACATGTGAAGGCTGAACACTGTTGAGATCATTTGCAAATGATACAACCTTGCCATCTTTATATGTAAAATAAGGAAGAGTAGATCTGGCATTTTCAAATGTAGATACAACCTTGCCATCTTTATATGTAAAATAAGGAAAAGAAGTTCTATGATTCAAAAGAGGGGATTCAGCGCGTGGCTTGATAACTGGTGTAACAACTTTTGGCTTTCCAGGATATTGTAAAGAATTTTCTAAAACACGGAAAGGTGGTGGTACTGGTTTTGTATCTTTGCCACTAGGCAAAGATTGAAAATATTTTTTGCTTTCGAAAGCATTAGCTTGAAGTGCTTTGAGACGTTTTGGAGAAGGAGGATCAAGATCATGATCAATTATAGACTTGGGCATACCTATAAATCCTGGACCATTTCTAGGAGTTCCAAATTTCGGTGGAGAGCTAGTGACTTTTCCGCCCGTTAATGATGGGAGAATTATAGGTCTAGAATTCGTGTATTTAAGTGTAAAACCTGTATCAAAAAGCTTGAAATCGTTTTCAATAGACTGAGAATTTATATGCATAAAAGGAACTGGGATTTCTTGAAGTGGAAATTGAACTCCATTAGGAATAGTTTCTTTGATTTGTTGGATTTCGCCCTTGATAAGAGCTAACTCGTCCTTGATCTTACTAATCAATTCATCTTTTGAAGATGCTTGAATTGAAAGACTTGAAAGCGCTAAAAGAAACATTAAAAAAAATTTCGTAAAGTTGGTTTTTGTAAAATATTTAAATCGGAATCTGATAAAAAGGCAAATAATATTAAGTTAACAAAAGATACTCTTTTTTATGATTTTACCCCTTAAACTTTTGAATACTAACAGAATCGAAAAGTTATAGATTAAAATAACAACATTGAATAGAATAAATAATACGATAAAAATCTATGTCAAAAACGGTTTTGCATAGAAATCAAAATCACAGAATTGATCAAATTTACAAATCAGATCAAAAGTTATTTTGGGTAAATTATCGGACCATTTGAGTTAATAGTTATAACATTTCAAGTTCAGATATATAATATTTGAAATTATTGATTGATTTAAATCATTTGATAAAATAATTTAACAATAATACAAAAATGAGCTAATATTCTAGTATAAAACAATACATAAATTATATGACATGGTAAATTATTGAACAACTCCGGATTGAAATTAAAAAATAAAAAAAATATTTATTCGAAATTTCAAGATACATGCATAGATTTCACATTTCAAAATGGACATTCAAAAGATTCACTTGATTTCAGGCAAATTAAATTCTCCTCCTAATCTATAGTTATAATTATTATACATTCTCTTTTTCATAACAGAAGTGTTATAAGAAGGTCTATACCCTTTCATATATGGGTATTCACCGTTCTTCATCGTATACATTAATTTTTCAACAGCATCGAGGGTTTTGTTTATATAAATCGTTCCACTTCCTTGATAATGACTCATATTCTGATGCTGAATTCCGATTCCATACATTTTTAGCATACATATCAGAGATAAATCAGGTAAATCAACAAGATCTGCAAAAAATACTACAATAGAAGACCTTTCTCTCATAAATAAAGCATGATAAACGATTGAACCTCCACTAGCAATCAAAAATAACGTTTCAGCAAATTGTTTCCCTTTTTCTTCAAGAGAATTGCACATTTCAATGATATTCCATTGAATTGGCTTGTATTTTGCGTTCAATTCTGTCTGAAGCTCAACAAAATTTGTAAAATGTCGACTTTCGGTCGGTTTTTTGTTCAACATATTGTATTTCGTTGGTATAATACTATCCAGCTTGAATCTCTTCCTAAACATGTCGTGCATTTTTGGAAGACTGTATCCAGTGAATTCATGTGCAACTTCACGAGGATGAATATAATATAACTCATCGCATCTGACAAATTCAAGCTGCCATGGGTATATCCTTATGGAAAACAGACCAAGGGCGTCGAGATGTTCTTCAAGTAATTTATTATCCCAATCGTGGAAGATATATGGGTTCTTATTTAAAACCTCTTCAGGAAATAACAGAATTGTAGCGAGCAAGTCATGTAAATTATGGCCATACGTATTCCAATATTTAATAACTAGGATTGCACAGTGAATTTGGCCGCGAACACCTGCAGTGTACTCTCCTCTTCTATCATGATTGTAAAAATCATAGATATAATTATCACATATAACTAATTTGTTGCCGACATAGCAGTCATATAAGTGATAAAGATATCCATGACATGCAATCATCTTTTCGGCAGGGTATGGAACATAACCAACTGGTTTTATATTGTCTGTAAGGTAATATGCGTTTGTAAATTCTGAATTGTAATTTATAATTTCCATGATTCTCATAGGTATCGGCAAAAACGATGTGCCCCTGAACTTGGCAGTGATTGATGGGGCCCGATATCCGAAATTAGGTATTATAAAGTAAATAAAAGGTAATACTTGGTTACCAATGCCTTTATTGAACAAGGCATAGATTATAAATAATGAGTAAAGAACTAAATGTATAATCCCAAGAATTGTTACCTTTGAAAACCTCTTATTGTAATTGAACATTTAGTTCAAGAAATTTTCAAAGAGCTCTTTGATCTTTTTTTGACTTCAAAATTCTACATATAGAGCTTTTGAATGTAACCAAGAAAAAGTTTGCATGCAAAGGGATCTGTATAAGACATCAAACCTTTTCTGTAAGTTTCGCTTGTCCTATAGATCAAAAGTTTATTTTTTGGGATTTGATATTAAACTTTCACATATAAAGAATGGTCAACTTGGTGTGAAACTTCCCGAAGTGATCTATTCCAATGCATATAACAACATTGCCCTCAAAGTTTGAATTGTTGAATTCAAAGTTTATCATTTATGGAGTTATTTTTCGGGTACGTAAGGATGTCAATTTGGAAGAAAAGTGAGAAAATTCCTAAAATGCTAAAAATGAATTTTCCAAACGTATTTTTTTAGGGGTATTATTATTGTCGTCTGGCGGTTTTAGACGACAATGCGAATTTTCAAATAATAGGATTTTTAGCCAGATAAAGAGCTACTCCATATATCATGCGTGTTTGCATACTATATACATAGATGGAATTGATGTTCTTCCTTTATTTAGGTACCGAAACATGCTTGAAAAATCTATTTTTTAGACGACAATGATAATTTTGTCACTTTTCCAGACGACAATAATAATTTGTCACCTTTTTAGAGGCAAACCCAAATTTTAGCTAAAAGTGACAGGGGAAAAAAACGTTTAGTATTAAAAAAAAAGACCGATGAGAGCTTCGTTCGAAATATAGAGGGAACTGAGAATGCGCAACCATTCTCAGGGAATATTGGATGCTATTCCCGTCCCCTCTGTATGGAAAATTGAGGTTTTCAAAGGGAGTTAAAATAATATCAAATTTATACTAATTTACTTCAAAATACAAAAGTATTTGACAGCTAAAATTAGTTACTTTAGCAAGCCTATCAATACCCTTTTACGATTATTGTTACTTTTTCGAAATAAAAGTAAAAACAAATTTATACTAATTTACTTCAAAATACAAAAGTATTTGACAGCTAAAATTAGTTACTTTAGCAAGCGGCTTAGGTCTAAGATTTTGATTCAAATCTTTGCTTATATTCCTTAAATTCTTTATGAAACTCGCAACAGTTCCATAAAAAATTTTAAATTCTAAACTGTCGAAATTACCGATCGGTAATCACACCCTTCACGGGTGTGTCACTTTTTACAAATGTGTCACTTTTAGCTAAAATTACCCCTACTCCCTTTTTAGACGACAATAATAATTTTGTCACTTTTTCCAGACGACAATAAAACATCCTCATTTTTTTATCTCATTTTTTTGATTTTGAAAAAAATTTGGAGAGAAGAACTCTTCGTTTTTGAATTTTATCACGATGGTTTTAAAGTATATTAGACACATGTATTGGTATTACTATTTTTGTATATTTTGAGAGAAAATCCCTAAAAAGTGAGAAAATCTAAGACGGTTTGAGAAAATATATAAACTATTGAAAATTTGAATTAAACTTCTAATTTGGAAAAAAGAAATTTGGAAAGAAGAAAATTCAAAAATCGAGATTTAGACTCAGCATCAAATGGAGAACAAAATGTTTCTTCATATGAAAGGAAAAAATTTTCTTGTGAACAAATAGAGTTTTTAAAATTTTATTGTATGTAATGAAATAAACAAATATTAAAATTATTTTTTGATAACAAGAAAATTCCCAACAGAAAATATTTGAGACAAAGAAAAAAAGAAAATTGAAAAATATTACTCTCCTTTATATTTCATGAGATTTTAAATTTATTCTCATAAAATTGACAATTTTATACGTTTAGATGAAAATAATTGATTTTGCTTGAAATAAAAATTATTGTTTTGCTTCAGCTATCAAATAGATTTTTTGCTATTTTGATTAAAATTTGTTCATCAAATTAATAAATTTTTTGTAAATATCTTAAATATCTGGATCACTCACTGATACAATGAATTGAACGATAAAATAATACAAATTCAACTAAGTTTCCTGTCTTTCAACTAAAAAAATTATGCAAATTAAATTAAATTGTTTATTCAAATATTAAACAAAGATGAAGTAATTACAGTTATCATAAACTTTATGAATAACTCTGTAATTGGTTCAGATTTTCGTAAAAAATATTTTTATTAATATCGATAAGAATACGTTTACCTACTATCACAACATATCGATAAACAAGAGTAGAGTGATTTTTATCATCGAAACTTTTTAAAAGCTGTAAGCTGGAAGGAAAATCTTGTTTTTTCTGAGTTAGTTGTAGAACTATTGAGCACGAGTTATCATTGTGATGTAGAAGGATGTCAATGTACTGACTGAAGGATATGAAGTGAATTGAATTTCATTGAATTTCAATTTGATCAAAATTTGTTGAAATGATATGAATGTGTCAACATCTGTATCACTCTCTTTCACTCCTTCCCTATTTTTTCGAGAACGAAGCTAGCTCAGCTTTCGCTGAGCGAATTGACACTTTTGATGCCCTAAACGTACATGCTCTCAAATTTATCGAAAAAAATTATACCACCTAAACTAGTATATTCTTATTTTAAATATGATATTATCCTTAGAATCAGGGTCAGGTGAGTGGGGCTTCCAGGGGCTGCGCCCCTTCTAGCCCCTAAGAAATTTTGCCCAAGACCCAAGAGGAGGACCGAACCCCAGCCGGTGACACTTTTTATGTCACTTTTCACAAATTATATATGTTTTTCATGTTTCGTCACTTTTCAGGAAAAAACATTTTTATTATATATATAAAATGAATTTTACAAAACCACCGTTACCCTTCTTTGGAAATAAGAGTAGATGTAAAGATATTCTATTGAGAGAACTTAAGAAACTACCAAATGGTCTAACATTTGTAGACTTGTTCGGTGGAAGTTTCTATATATCCCATCTGTGCCATACTGTATTTCCTGACTCAAAGATTATATGCAATGACTTCGACAACTATATGAACCGTCTCAAACATATACCAGACACAAACAAAATATTGAAAGAGTTAAAAGAAAAGATACCTATAGGTAAGATGGAACGTATACCATTAGATAAGAAAAATATTGTCAGAGAGGTTTTGGAAAAAGCAGAGTATATTGACTGGGATAGTATATCTGCTAGACTATTATATAGTGGTTCTATAAGAGTTCATGACATTGAAACACTTATGTCAAACGTTTTATATCTTAACTATACAAAGGTTTTCAAAGAGGACATAGAAAAATATACTGAGGGTATAGAGTTTGTGAGATGTCATTGGACAGAGTTGTATGAAAAATATAAAAACAAGGAAAATGTTTTCTTTATAGTAGACCCGCCGTTCTATAACACATACGATTTTCAATACCAAGTAGACTGGACTTTGAGAGACTCTTTAGAAACTTTAGACGTTTTACATAACCATCCATGCTTTTACTTTACATCGATAAAAGTGTGGTTTGGAAACCGTTATGAGATGGTTAGAGGACATACATGACTATGAGTTTAGATATGACAGGATAGAATATGAGAGAGGTCCTATAAACCGGAAAAAGTGTCACAACAAAGAAATTTTATTGGTAGGTAAATGTGGTTTGAAATAGGACTACTTGTTTTAGGTTTTTTCCATTGTGTCATTTACTTATTTGACGTGGCAGAAAGATACAGAGAATATGAAGATGAACCAATGTCTGCAAATGTTCAGCATATGTACTCGTAAGAGATATTTTTATCTAATATTAAATGGACGCACAGAACTTAGCGAATGCACAGCAACCTGGACAACCAAACCCAGAGAATATTCCAAATGAAGTTAGAATACAAACTGCAATGGCAAACTGGTCAAGTGCCAACAGATGTACAAATGCAAACTGCCATGTCAAATGACGCTGCGTTAGGTTTGCCACCATGGTATGCAAATATGAGATGGAAAGAGTTTTATACAAACCCTGAAGTGGGATATAAACAACTCTATGCAGATGACGCGAACACAGGAGTTGACCCAGAGTATGTTTTCTACCAGAGGAGAAATAGAATGTATGAGCTCCAGTTAAAGAATGCAATGGAACTCAGAAGGAAACGTAAGAGACTAGGCGGACATTAGATTTTTACATATAGTAAAATGGGTTTCTTTGGAAGAATAGGAAACTTCTTTCGAAATGTTGGAAGAGGTATATGGAATGGAATAAAATCTGTCGGAAGAGGAATTTGGAACGGAGTCAAAAATATTGGTAAAAGAGTAGGTCAGTTCGTTGGTATTATACCTAAAGACCCTGAACCAGAAGAACAAGCTCCTGTTATACAACAGCCTGAACCTGCACCACAGTCAAGTTGGCAACCAAATCCAACACCTCAACCGTATTAAAAAATTATATTTTTACCGTTCGATAGTAGTTGTATATGAAACTAAGTTCTAAGTAAAATGCATATATAATGGAACTATTCTCTTTCTTCCATCTGTTGTAAACCATACTTGAAAGTCTGAAATACTTCCACTCGGTGGTTCATATAGCTTTGTAGGTTTTTCGTAAAAGTCATTTGCCAAGCATAAAAAAGAGTTTTGTGCACCAGAAAATGAAGCATGAACTATAATAGCGTCAGAGTCGAAAACATTTTCATATGTTCCATTAGGGTTTGAGACTTCATAATAGTCCCGGTGTACTGGATACCATGCAGGCTGATTTAACATCCTCAAAAATCTATGCCATGCCAAGTTGTTATATTTTGTAGAAATATAAACGTTTCTCCAAGGTCTTCTATTTTATTGAATTTAACAGTTGCATTTTTCCTGTCATATATAATATCGAGATGGTACTCTCCTTCGTCAATGTTGTACTGGTTTGCATAATAGATATCGTTTATTTTTCTTGAAAAGCTTGAAGAGTTGTTTCTAAGTTTACAAGCAAATTCACTTGTAAAAGTTTTCCCTGTTCAAATTTCTCATACGTACGTTTTTCTTTTTATAGTATCGAACTTCAAAACCGACCGTAAATGGGAAACCATGTATGGCTTCTGAAATGAACTTCATTCTACGAAAGCCA